AAGCAGCAGCAGCAGAGTCAGTGAGTCCGTCCCACATTGTGTAATCTTACACTTCCCCTGGGATTAAGAAACAACTGAATTCCCCATCAAAGTAGTGATATTTGTATAATTTCTTTGTCTTCTTTTTATTTCTAGCAGCAGCTTCCTCACTCGTCTCAAGTTGAAAGGTGGTCCTTTCATTCTGCAGCCACAAATCTCACAAGATGGGTATTATCTTCTAGCCCTGTGTGCCTCTGTAATACACAGTAGTGATTCATATTCTTCTCTTTGTGTGATTGCATTTCAGCGTGGGTAGCTGTAAATTAATATCTCTATACTTCTGCCTCCATGTCTCTTCCATCTTCCTAAGCACTCTGCTATTCTCTACCTCCTGTCGGTACAAGTCCAATTGGCCGGGCGAACGCTACTGTGTCCGACTAAGACTTGCCAGCCGCTGATTTTTATTGGCTGTGTAATGGTGCAGAACCTAAACATTTATCAGGGTCGATGGGCTGTGTGTAGTACAAGCTATTAGGGGATGCAGAGGAGGTGAGTGGGCATAGAAAGTTAGAACAAGCAGTATGTGTCCGATTGAGCTGTCACCTCTGGAGGGAAATTAAAGATGTCACAAGCAGGAAATTGTTTAGGGTTTGTTGCTGCAATGTGGCCTAGCCCCTGTCTGCTTTGCATTAATGACAAACTACTTTACCAGAGAAAGTTGGTGCAGTATGGCAAAACGCTGTAGTATTCATAAGCTTACAAATGCTGAATGTAGAGAAAATAATTAGTAAAATGAAAACGGGGAATGTTATCCGGTCTATCTTCACCCTAACTCACTCTATCTTAACCTAACCTACCTGGGTAAAAAGAATAGGGATACATCCGTTTTTTGGGTATGGGTGCATTGTGTCCTCACCCAGGTGCTGGCTGTCCCACTGTGATCCTCTGGTTGACAAATCTGTGGATAATCCCCTAATGTTCTTAATCCTGGGGTCACATTAAAAAATGGATGAGAAATTAATCTCCTGTCAGGTCTGTCAGGTATATTTTGTCAGTGCCAGTGCTTATTTTCAACCAAATCCTTCTGTATGGGCCAATACAGCTCAACCACCAACCAAACCAGCCAGCCAAATCCCTCTGTACAGACGCTGTCGAATGTTCTCCGTCCTTTTGTCCTTGCACTTTGAAGATTTCATTAAAGTGGAGAATTTAAAAGACAAAACACCCAAAGCACAGATCACATAACAAAAGTTTGGTGTTCTGCTTCTTTGAACTGCTGTAAAACAGTGTGGTGAGGGGGAAGAGAAACTATTGTGGCTTGAGACAGAGAAAACTACTTTACAGCCAGAACTGAGTGGATCCTTTTGCTCCCCTGGCAGACAGAAAGTTAGAAACTTGGTCACACTGTGCAAATACATTACTGCTTCCTCCTCCACATGGATGCAAACATCAAGTGTGTTTTGTTTCCATGTCTGCCATATCTGCCTATGCCATGCTATGCCGTGCATATGTGCTGCAGTAACCAGGCTAATTTCATTGCTTCTGGCTGAGTGGATCAAAAAGACCCACATTCACTGTTTTTCTTCTGTTTGCTCTCTCCCTTTCATGCAGTAATCTGCGCAAAAGGCAGAATTAAAGCAGTGCTCCCCTGGAGCCAGCCTTCTCTTTTCAGATTGGTGAAAGAGGAGAAATTGGGAGGACATGCTTGTTTTGGGGGAGAGGGATTGCAGGATCCACTCTCAGGTGAAAGTTCTGGTTTAATCTCTTATATTTTCTGAAAGGCCATACTGAGCAGAGCAGGCTGCGGTCGTGTGAGGGTATTTCCTCTCTTCAAAATAATGTAGTTTGGTTTAAATTAAGTATGAATAAAAAACAGCTACAAATAATTTTTATATCCAAATACAGACACACATGCACAGACAGACACCAAATAATCTGAAGAGTTTTAGTTATTCGGAGTCCTGTTATGATTGATTTGATTGTATTTTCGGATCTGTTCAACTGTCCTCTTCTAACACCTTATTCCAGGGGACTTGTCAGTATGATGTAAGGTGGCTGCCATGATTGTTAATAAAGGTGTCAGCGCTCCAGCTCCATCAATCACCTCCACCAGTCTGGCCTTGTCCCTCAAATAAAAACACACTCTGGTCACGGTGTTGTCACATCTGCAATTCCAAACCACGAAATATACTTTCTTTGTCCTTCTCACGAGGAGACAACCAAGAAACAAGTAGATCTGCTTATCAAACCACAAACTACTCACCCAGTCTCCCCTGGCTCTTTTAAAAAGACTCAGGCCTTGAGCTAAACTATTATGTAGCTAAATATATAATGCCATGCTTGCTTGTGTAAATCTTGTAACATGTCATGTTTAATACAAAATATAAATATTTTAATGAATAAGCAGAACATATTTTTGACTAATAAACACAGACCCATGTGTAATATCACATAATCATCATTTTGACTGGTCTCATTTGAACTCTGTGTTTTAAAAATAACGAGTTGAAGTTAGGACAGAGAGACGATTACAATGAACAAGCTCTTTTTATGATGATTTCATTATCCTCTCCTACAGCATGAAGATTTTACTGTGCCAAACAATGAAATTCCTATTATATCAGGTGCCTTTGGACAAAATCTTTTCAAATTTGACCTAAGGTATGACAGTTTAAGGTAATGTGGTTTAAATATTCGTAGGAAATCGCTATATATACAATTTTAATACCGCAATTTTAGCTTCTTTCGCGACTTGATGACTTCAACATTTTATGCAGCATAGATAAACAAGGGAAATTAACTCATATACAGTTTGTTTTTTACTCAACTGGAACAGCCTGCCTGCTGGCCTAAGAATATTATATTATTTAAAATTGAAATTATTATACTCATTTAAAATCAAACTTCCTAACCTTTCTTCTTAGTGCCTACACTAAATACTGAATATTTATGTTGTTATATTATATTTTGCCTGGCGTTTGCATTTATTATGTGAAGTTCTGTGCTTTTATGCATTCTGTGCTTTCCGTGCTAAGTCGTGATACATTTGCATGAAATATGAACACATTCAGATTTTTTTTCTGGACTAATTCTCTCAGCTATAGAACAAGTAGAGGAGTGTGGGCGTTTTTCTGTAGAAGTGGAATTTGATTCAAAGGATCTTTCATATATTATAACATTGGCACCTGCACACCACACACACCTACAAATAAATGTGTTCAGCATATGATCTTAAATAAGACTTTTTAAAAATCCTGAATGAAGGTGGACAGAGTTGTGATGAGGTGGCCCACTCTGCTCATAAAAAAGCTTGTTTGTTTGTTAACTAAGTGCCTTCCTCTCCCACAGTATACATCCAGGGAGAAGACCTCACATTAAGGGGGGAATACGTGTCTCTAAAAATCTCTGCCTTCAACCTGAGCACCTGCAATCACAGGAAATTGAAGGTGTTCCTGCAGTGTTTCGCCTTGTAGTCTTAAAATAGCTTGTGTGCAGCCTTGATGTGTTCTACTGCAGTTGTCAGGCTGGGTAAGGCCAGCAGATAATGCATAGGTCCATTAGACTAGATCTCAATATACAGTGTGTTTGCATTGTCTTGGATGTGTAAATCTGAACCAAGTGAATCTTCGTGTGCAGTTATTGTACTGTCCGCCAGCCAAATGCTCTCTATGTGACCTGTAACCTTGCTGCCATGGCTACAAAAAAAAGCAGACACACAGGTACAGTTTAATCTCTGCTGAGCCCTGCAACACTCACATGATGTAAATGCATAACAGCATGCATAATTGCATTGGAACATACCCCAGTAATTTTGCCATTTTTGCTGGAGTTTGAAAGCAGGTTGAATGTTGCAGTAAAATAAAACTACCAAAGCATCAAAAACTATGGCAATTGAATTTAAACACTGACTGTTAAACATACAGGATTTTTTTATTTGGTTGTGCTATTTTCCCTCATTTCTGTGATGCTGTTAAGTGAATATGGAACCCTGATGTTTTATAGCTTTTGTAGTAGGGCACTTGAGGAGTAATTGAATGCCTAAGAAATATACAGATGAGCAGGAGAAAGAGGAGAGGGAAACAGAGATGCACACAGGCGTGCACTGCATTGCATCAGAACAAAGTTGACAAACGGCTCTCCTGTTTTTCTTTTTTTTATGGTCATGACTTAGGGAGAAATCTCGGGGTCCCTGCTGAGTTGGAGATGGATGCGCCAGTGCTGCTGCTCTTCGATTTCTCCCGGCTTTGCGGAGTCATCTTGGCAGGAGAATCGTGAAGAGACCAGCCCTTCCCAGATCACCTGCAATGGTCGGCCGCAAATATCTCATCTTATCTGTCTGTGTCTTTATTTCTGTCTCACTCTTTCTGTCCCTCGTGTGGGCATATTCTTGAGCACTTTTCTCTTTCCCCATCTTTTGTTTTCATTTTGACCTTCACCGGGATCATACAACCTTCCTGTCAGTTCAGGCTGCTTTCTCAGTGTTTCTCAAATGAGAGAAGAAGGACGAGCAGAGCTGCAGAAAGGGCAGCTCCCTTTGTATTCAGAATCATGATCAGCTTCTACCATTCCTGCAGAGCATGAGGAAAGTCACAAACTAAGTTCACAGTGAGACACTGTGAATGTATAACTCGCCATAAGGGCTGAGGGCAGTTTTGGATTTTATGCATGCCATATACACTAAAAGTTCCCCCTGGCCACTCTGTTATGGAGCTTAAGTATTGATGTGTGTCATAGAAGCAGCACCAGTATTGCAACACATTGCAGAGTGATGACATCCTGTACAAGGTGTGTCCTGCAGTATTTTTTCTTTTTTTTGTAGAGAGTGGGTGTGGCTAACATCTTCACTGCACCAAGGCAAAACTTCCTCTGGATATACAGTATATATATAAATATATATATATATATGTGTGTGTGTGTGTGTGTGTGTGTGTGTGTGTGTGTGTGTGTGTGTGTGTGTGTGGCTGTAATAGGTCAGTCAACACAAGCTAGAGTAGCAGACACAAAGTACTGCACCTCACACATTTCTGGTGTACATGAATCCCACTTTTATTTTCCACAGAAAAAAAATTAGGTTTGTTTTTTTTTCCGGTCTGTTTCGGTTACATTTAAAACCATTCTATGAAAAACTGTAGCACCAGAGCAGATTTCTATTGCCCATTCTTTGATAAAAATGTCAATTTGTGCTATTTTTCAGTTTTTGATCAGCTTTGATTGGGGAGAGACATTTACTTCTTGTATATAAAAAAAAAGACTAGCACTTCATTTCTTATTCCAGTCATTTGCAAAATAAAACAGAGAAACTGTATAGAACAGAGAACTGTATATCTTGTTTCTTTTTTCAGTTAAATCACAACAAATACATTTAAAGCAAATAAAAAAATTGGGCGGCATTAAGCATAATCCAAGCAGGGAATCAGCTTTCATGATGATTATTATATATTTATATATTTATAAGTATACATATATATCATGTTTATATACAAGTATGGCACTTGATTACACAAAAGCAAGAAAACACTTCACAAATAAAAGCAGTGGGCGCTTTGGTGTGTCATAAATTAAGGAAGTCACAGACGTTAGCGTTTGCAGCAAATTCACCAGATACTGTTTTGCAAGTCAGCTATAAAGCAATGGAATGGTTACATATGTTAAGGTCAGTGGTGCAACACAGGCAACAAAAAAAACAAACAAACAAACAAACAAACAAAAAAAGACATGAATTACGTTGATGTATTTTAACTAGGTCGAACCATAGTAAGTAAGGATTTATATCTATGCATATATAAATCTGGATGATAGATTTTTTTTTCCTTTAACCACTGTGTATGGTGCCATTTAATTAGGTTGGTGCCAAAAATAGATGGAAAGAAAAAAACGTCTTAAAAACACCGTCAGGTCAGTAGCACATTTTGGATAAGGTCAGGCCCTCAAGTGTTCACCTCTTAGTGCAATTTTTGCATTTACTCTCTTCAAGTACAACAGAACAGCCCACAGAGAGTAAATATGTGAACACGTTTACATGGTCTCCATTTAGCATCTTACATAGAGTATAAACGTTACTAAAAAGTTGCATCAGTGCAATAATAAATAAGTAAACAAACGTGTAATCCACGCTTGCCATGAAGTCCTTAAAAGACCAACAAATAAAAAAAAAACAAAACAAACCAAAAAAAAAGAATCTGCCCACTCTTTAAGTCGTGACACGAATTAGGCGTGCGGAGCTGTCCATCATGTCCATCATGTTTTTTAATTATTTGTTGTTGTATATATTTTTTTGTCTTTTACATATTTTCATTTCCTTCTCTCCGTTTGTGTGTGTGTGTGTGTGTGTGTGTGTGTGTGTGTGTGTGTGTGTGTGTGTGTGTGTGTGTGTGTGTGTGTGTGTGTGTGTGTGTGTTTGTTACACATAAGCAGAGTCACTGGACTGAGTACGGCCGAAATTAGGCACACTCATCCTCGGCAAGTCCTTATTTCTGATCTCATAAATGGACTTCCGCCGAGCCTGCACTCCTCGCACGGCCGTTTTGATTTTCCTCCAGCCCAAGTGATTGAGTTCTGCCAGGTTCAGCACCACGCAGAACCCGCTGACCGCGAACATGAAGACCAGGAACACTGTCTTCTCCGTGGGTCTGGAGACGTAGCACTCGACATCTTTAATGCAGGGGTAGCGATCGCACTCGTACACCGACGGGACGTTGAATCCATACAAGAAATACTGACCCACCAAGAAGCCTATTTCCAGCGCGTTTCTGAAAACCACCTGGATGATGTAAAACCTGGAGATGCCCTCTTGTCGCCTCATTTTGGACTTTGTAGTTCTCATGGCCGAATTAGGGATCTCTTTGACTTCTAAACAGTCTGGCTCGGCTTCTTTGGTGGAGTTCTCCGTGTTCTGAAGTACTCCATTAACAATGGTGTTCTTTATCTTTTTGCTCTCGTCTCGCTTCAGTGAATCTTGATCCTTATCCAGTGTCAGATAGACTGTTGAGTACCGCCGCTCCTTCTGCTTGGCCGACTGGTGCACCGAGTACGTTATAAAACAAAGACTCGGGGTGCACACCATGATGATCTGAAAAACCCAATATCTTATGTGTGAAATGGGAAATGCCTTGTCGTAGCATGCCTGGTTGCAGCCCGGTTGCAAGGTGTTACAAACAAACATGGTCTGCTCGTCATCATAGACAGTCTCTCCAACTATTGCTACGATTAGAATCCGGAAGATGACCACCACTGTTAGTAGGATCCTAAAAAGCAAGCAAACAAACAAACAATGTGAAAATAAGTGTAAATATATGTGTGTTAACTGATTTAAATGAGTGGTTCACTTGTGCGCCAAGAGCGCCGAGTCCAATTGTGATGGTGTGCAGGGTTTAGGGAGCTGTCCAGTGCTGAAACTGGACGCTCTTGAGGATGATTTGCGTTTTTTTCTTTTTTGTGTTCTTCCTATTATGCGTGTCTCGGCGTGTCTGTGTGGTGTGTGTTTTTCTGATTTTAATGGATGAAATGACATGTAAGCAATCGGCGTTGCTTTGACTGTACCTGTGGTGGTGGAGGTTTTTTTTTTGTTTGTTAATGGAAAGATGTGATAACGCCGACTCTCTCAATCTCTTTCTGCCACTACTGATGAGCACACACCACAACTCAAACTCACCAACAAATATCAAATGGATAATGTGGATGGATGAATACACGAAATGACACGTGAATTTTAGTTTAGTGTAAGCTGTTTGCAGCACCATCCCAGGTTCTGAAAAGACAGCTGTCGACTGATTTACTTTGCTGTCTCGTTTAGAAGGAAGAGGGGAAAAAAAGGATATCTGTGAAAGAAGACAGAAAAAATCCACAACACAGACACGGAGGACTGGGCACCATGCTACAGAAGATCCTTGAGGCACAAGACAGAAACGGGGGACTGGGAACCATGCTAAAGACGATCCTGGAGGCTGCTGCGATTCTTCTGTTCTTTCTTGGTTTTTTGTTGATCTTACCTTCCTATCATAGTAGAGTGCTGCTGGACAGCAGCCTCCAGGAGCCTCTCTAGTATAGTCCATTCCCCCATTTCTGAGCATCCGGAGAAGACTAGAGCACAACGGCACTCTGTTCAAATCCCTCCAAAAAAGCGCGTTATTTCCCCGTCCTGCTTCTCCCTGCCTCTCGTTGTTCTCAGTCTCCAAAGCGTCCGATTTTAGCTACAAAATGCATCCGTCACTGGATGCTGCTGCCGTCCCCGTCTCTCTCCGTCTCTCTCCGTCTCTGTGCGCGCTATCTGGTTGGTTATGTGCTGAGCGCGCAGCGCCAGTGAGCGTCCTGCTGTGTGTGCCGAGCGCTCCCACGACGTTGCCACACTTTTCCTTGTCATGGGAGTCTGAAGGGCTGATTACTATAAGCCCTCCTATTTTCGATCTTCAGATCAGGTTGATGGGCTGTGCGCTGCGTCTGGATGGAGGGAGGTTGGATTTAATGTCTTGCCAGCGTTAATCCGCCTTTAAGTAGTCTCCCCCCACCCACCCCTCCCTCCCCTGCGTCACGTACGCGCAGACAGGTCGGTGGAACGCAGCCAGGAGTATGGGCTTCTGATTTCCAATATTACAGTTTTGTATATTGCATACGCCGTTCAGTGGGCATTGCTGTGGATGGTTGTGTATAGAGTGTTACAGCCTTTAGTACCTTGAGTTTATGGATTTTTGGATGGGTGGTTCCACTTGAGAATCAACCCTAACTCTGGCTGTATTGTTATTATATATAGTCAACTCGCTGAGCATGTGCAACACATATACTCATATTCATCTTTCCGGGACAGGGCTTGGGGACGCACTGTGACCTGGGCACATTAGGACTTCCCTGTGTATTTAACTTATCAGGCATATACAGATATTTAGACGTGTAGCCTATATGCAATATTTATTATATAATTTTAACAAAACCTATTGTCCCATGCCTATATGTGCAACTTGGCTTCATAAAAGGACCCGATTTTAGTTTTCTGGGAGCGGATAGCCTCGCTTGCCCAGAGCTATCTCCCTCCCCATGTCGCAGGCTGCTGGCCCAGCTGGTAGAGCTGTTGTTTCCACCTCGGGCAAAGATGATGCTCTGGATACAGTGACAGAGTGAAAGTACCATCCGAGTTGCTAATCGCTTTACAAGGCAACCTGCCTGCCCCTCTCTCTCTCTCTCTCTCTCTCTCTCTCTCTCTCTCTCGCTCTCTCGCTTTCTGTCTGTCTCTTTCTCTCTTTCTATGTGTGTGTGTGTGTGTGTGTGTGGAGGTTTAAAAATAGAAGCAAAATATGTGACCCCGCCCTGCATATTGCTCTGAGATGTGATCAACTTATGGCGCTGCTTTGTGTGTGCACTAATATTAGACCGTTGTGTGGTTTGACACTATTCATGTCTCAGTTATTGATGTGATTGTCCTTTTAGATTGAATTTAGTGGCTTGGATTTACAGTGCATTTATCCTAAGAAATACCTTTCCCTCTCAAGATGGTGCATATTAAATTTCTTAAATAATTGTGTATAATATGAATATTATTAATATCAAAAAGTATTAATTAAGAGTGCATTGATGCTACTTAGGAACAATTTAGGAATTTGTTTAACTATTATTATTATTATTATTATTATTATTACAAGCACCATCTAAATGTGTTCAGTAGGTTTACAGGTAGGCAGTGTGAGCTTTGTCTAACCTGGGAACCGGCGGATTACCGATCACGTGACAGTGGTGTTTTCACAGAAACTTTGTGCGGTTAATTTCTCATGAGGTGGCTTATCCTCTCCGCTCACTGTAATCTTTTCTAATTCAAATCTTTAATAACCTTTACTCGTCCATCACGTGACGAGAGGACAGAGTCTCGCTGATTTCGAGAGACAGAGAGGTTTTTTATAGATCCTACACCAGATCCCGAGAAACACCCTTAATTATCAGATTTAAACCGAACACTTAAGAAAGAAAATGCGTCTTCTGCAAGTCTCAGTTCTCGTTTAATTATAAACCTATACATATCCACATATAAATTGCACTTGAGTGTAAACAAATAATTTGACGACAACACACACGTTGGGTTGTTGGCACAGTAGGAGGGAGGTAAGTGAGGAAAAGGGAGGGGCAGCCTGGCGCTCAGAAGCACTTCCTGTGGACGATGGAGGGTCCAGCCTCGTCGTACTCCTGCTTGCTGATCCACATCTGCTGGAAGGTGGACAGGGAGGCGAGGATGGAGCCGCCGATCCACACGGAGTACTTTCTCTCAGGAGGGGCGATGATCTAAACGCAAACACAGTTTTTTTATAATCCAGGGACTCATAGCTCGTAGAAAAACGTTGCACTGTGATTCAACAGTGAGTCAAAGTTACCTTAATCTTCATGGTGCTGGGGGCCAGAGCAGTGATCTCCTTCTGCATGCGGTCAGCGATACCGGGGTACATGGTGGTGCCGCCGGACATCACGTTGTTGGCGTACAGGTCCTTACGGATGTCAATGTCACATTTCATGATGCTGTTGTAAGTGGTTTCGTGGATGCCAGCAGATTCCATGCCTGTGCAAACAAAGCGCACAAGTTAGTGAGTTGTTTTAACACCCCCCCCAGCAAAGAACACATCTGAAACCGCCCTCAGCTGTCGGAACAGGTGCTGAAATGGACAGCTCCGCCAACAGTTGGGCGCTCTGTGGCGCAAATGCAAACAATAAGCCCCTGCTTTAGATTACTCGTGTCTATTTATCGGCCATGAAGTGGTAAAGCTGAAGGTGGATAAACTGTGACCTCCAGTTGGTGGTCTAATAATTAGGCGGCCAACCAGGCAATAAACACGTCTATTTTCGGAAAACCATCAATGGTATCCACTGTTTATCCTAATATAACATAATAATTGATATCATATTGATCTTTGCCTGAAATTGTACACTTTCTTTTACAGTCCTGTTTCACTCCGATGCAAGGATCCAGTCGTGCATTGAGTCCTAACATCCTCACTACAAGTGTGGATGAATACATTAAGCTTGTTTCACCTCAGCCCGGTTTTTTCTATCTCCAAAAAAAAAAATAGAATAATAGTTGATTGGCGCCCAAAATATGTAACATTATAATTCCATTTGTCATGAATTAATACTTTAGGCTAACTCTAATACTGAAATGACTATAGTAAAGGCTTAAAGTCAAGTTACAATATGAAACCTTTAAAACCCACAGTTCACAGTGTCACCAAAGCTAAATAAACTCATGGATGTCTGCGCCAGCCTTTACGCACCGATGAACGAGGGCTGGAAGAGGGTCTCCGGGCAGCGGAAACGCTCGTTTCCGATGGTGATGACTTGACCGTCGGGCAGCTCGTAGCTCTTCTCCAGGGAGGAGGAGGAGGCGGCGGTGGCCATCTCATTCTCAAAGTCCAGAGCCACGTAGCACAACTTCTCCTTGATGTCACGCACGATCTCGCGCTCAGCTGAAGGAAGGGGTCAGATTTTTGTGATATCAATCTATTATGCATCATCTAACATGTCAAAAAATGCTTGAAGATAATTGTATGTGAAGAGAATTTCGTAAAGAATTTGTCAGAGGGAAAGGTTTACAAAACTTCCAGTTGCTCACCTTTTCCCCTTCTGTGGGTTTGCCATACATATGAATTTGCAGTCTACACTCACCGGTTGTGACAAAAGAGTATCCACGCTCAGTCAGGATCTTCATGAGGTAATCTGTGAGGTCACGACCTGCCAGATCCAGACGCATGATGGCGTGAGGAAGAGCGTAACCCTCATAGATGGGCACGTTGTGGGTCACACCGTCACCGGAGTCCAGGACGATACCTGATGCCGAATATGTGGAGGTTTAATAAATAATACATTGACCCATCGTACAAAATCGCTTACACACCCTGAGGAAGCTGTCCTACCTGTGGTACGTCCAGAAGCGTACAGGGACAGCACGGCCTGAATAGCCACGTACATTGCGGGGACATTGAAAGTCTCGAACATGATCTGGGTCATCTTCTCTCTGTTGGCTTTCGGGTTGAGGGGTGCCTCTGTCAGCAGGGTGGGGTGCTCCTCCGGGGCCACGCGCAGCTCGTTGTAGAAGGTGTGGTGCCAGATCTTCTCCATGTCGTCCCAGTTGGTGATGATGCCGTGCTCGATGGGGTACTTCAGGGTCAGGATGCCTCTCTTGCTCTGGGCCTCGTCGCCGACGTAGGAGTCCTTCTGGCCCATACCAACCATGACGCCCTGATAACAGCAAGAACCAGGACATGAGTGATATGGTGTAGTGAACTACTATTAATAACACATCATCTGCTTTCCTCAGTTATCAGTTGAAATGTAGATGCCTAATTGTGGCGCGTAAAAACGCACGATGGATCTGGCCCCTCATCCAAAGCTGCACAGATTGTTTTCATGTGATTCTTAAACTGACCCTCGTCCCTTAACATCCGTGGAGTGTATGGATGGGTGACTTTACCTGGTGACGGGGGCGACCAACGATGGAGGGAAACACGGCGCGAGGTGCGTCATCGCCGGCGAACCCAGCCTTCACCAGGCCGGAGCCGTTGTCACACACCAGGGCGGTAGTCTCTTCGTCGTCGCACATGGTGTCAGCTGTGAAACACACACACATAAGGGCAGTGGCACTGTTAGATTAGGTAATGGAATTCCCCTTGTGTGTTTGGAGTGGATGATGGAAGGTATTGCATTCTCACAACACACATAAAGTCGCTTTGTGTGGACAAATAGTGTTGTGTGATTAGGTTTATAACGTGATATTATAAGCTATCAAAGTATATTTTATAGGATTGGGTTAGTCTATGGTTTTCTAGAGCTATTAAAGTCAATATTTGTTTTAGTATTTCACAACAACTCACAATCCGCAAAACAAAAGAAGTGGATGAACTACAGGCAGATGAGGTGAGATAATCCGTGTCAGTTAGATGTTGGTTAGGTTGAAATCACTGTTAAAATCCTGTATCCATCCTCTTGTGATAAATCCACTGGTTGGTTTTTTAAAGTCCTCCTTCAGTCAGCAGTGCAGGTACTCACCAGATCAGCACCAGGCACCGGATCTTGAGAGCGTGAACCAGGGGGTGCCGAAATGTCACGTCGGACCAATTTATACCCTGACAAGTGTCTGGAAGAAGGGGCCGAGCGACCCCTTCTCCATATTTGGTACCCCATTGCCCCATTGACAACAGCCACTCCATGAATGGCATGACATGGACCGGGAACTCCTGCGCAGACATCTGTGCCTGCCGCCCATGTATGGAGGGCAGTGGTGAGGGCAGACAGACAATGACAGGCTTCCCTTTGATCTTTTCTACATCGATAAATCACGATAATATTTCTGAAAAATATGAAAAGGCTACTCTAATGAATAATAATATGGCACAATTCTGTCTAATGTCAGTATAATATTGCTATAAAATCAGTGCTCATATCAGTGAAGTCACATGCACAAACCCTGGGTGTTGTCTATGATTCTGAGCTCTGTCTTGACAAACAACTCAGTTCTTTTGTTAAAACTAGTTACTATCAGTTAAGAACCATTTCCAAACTCCAACTAAATCTGTCTAGGCCTTCCCAAGTCTTCATTAACTCGCCTGCAGATGGCACAAAATGCAGCTGCAAGGATGCAGCCTATCTTCACTCCCCCTGTTCACTTTAGAATACATCTTAAGCCCTTGCTGATTCATTTCAATTATCTAATATTGGTCATTATCCTAATGGTCAGGCCCCATCCTCTATCACAGACCTTACTCACTGGCACTCAGCTCCTAGGTCTCTTAGACCTGACAGCAGATCTCTCTTGTATGTCCCATGATCATGGTTAAAACTAAAAGATGACAGAGCCTTTGCAGTTGCTGCGCCACGATTGTGCAACCAGTTGCTGTTAGATATTAGTTGTGCTCCCTCCATCTCTGTTTTTAAATCTAGGCTAAAGACACATTTTTATTCACTGGCCTTTTTGGCACCCTAATCTTTTAATCTGTCATTCTGTATTTTCCCCTTGTTGCTTATTGTTGTAATTGTGGGTTTTTACTTTACATGTTCATGTTTTTTGTACAGCATTTTGGTCAGCTTAAGCCATGTTTAAATGTGCTCGAGACATAAACTACTTTTAACAGAGGCAAACCTGATAAATCATCTCACTTAAGGACATAATCAGTAGAACCAATGGTAGATCCACTGTTTATCCAAACATAAAGAGACACATTTCTTCCTCTTAACTCAAGTCTAAAGAACCACCGGGGGTCACAAAATCTCCATACTGTCAACCCAAGCCACATCTACTGTGTCTGAATACCCAAACAAGAGTCTGATGGTTAATTCTATAGTCGTTTCGGTATTCTAAATAATAGCGTTTGTTTTGTGTCTGTGTTTCTGGAAAGGTCTCCTGAACATACATGAGTTTAGACTGGCAGGACACATGTAGCCCTACACAACCAAATGGAGAGACCACTTGTGCCACACAGCTGGTGTCAGCAGCTGTTTGACTGTATTAGAAGCTCCAAACCCCAACATTTCAGAAGGGAAACCACTGCTGCAGAACAAACATTCCTATTTCAGTACAGTGTAAGTGTGTCCCCCATTCAAAACAGACTGATAAAGTTTCATAATAAGTGTGTACATATATTCAGAAGAAAAAAAAGCCTGTGGCTGGACTCACCATATGGCAAATGAAAAGATACTTTTGCCGTGCATTTCTAGATTTCATTTGCATAAAATCAATGAGTTTCCATATTTCTAATGAGCTATGTGGATGTTATTGATGTGGTGGCCATGCTGTGTCCACATATGGAAAATTGTGGAATTATTAAAATTCATGCTTTAGTCAAGCTCTCTTGGTTTTCTATTTGCATTTTCTACGTTTATTGACTCGTTATAGAGGAATCCTAATGCAAACCAGATATATACTAAAACCTTTTCAATGTCTTGAGCATAAAACATTCAAATTAGAACCCACAATGTGCGGTAAGATCTACCAGGAAGAAATACATTGGCCTAAGTATAATATCAAAGGTTATCTCAGTGCATTGAATTTATTCTCCTTGGCATATTTCTCTTCCTCTGTCCGAACGTATACTGGTACCTCAAACACCAACCGCTGGCCTAGTAATTACCGTTTTATATAATAACAGTCAAGGTAATGTATTCTTCCGTGTAAGAAACCTTTACAGATAAATCAAAAGCAATGTTGATACTATTTGTTGTTCCCGACATCAAAACAATAAAGAAAAAGGAACATCTCTTGTTGTGACACATGCCATATTCTTTCTTCATTCCTGCACTGAGGAAAGAACAAGACATAGGAAATGACATTGCCGGTTTACTTGAAACAGACAAGGAGCGAGCTCTGAAGGCTGTGAAATAACATTGGCTAAGAGCAGTGGATGGTCCTACCACAAGGAGGACAAGACAAAAGGGCACAGCAAGCCATGAATCATATGCTGCTGTCACCCGACCCCGAGCCATAACCCTTCACTGTGTGACTCTTTGTTTTGGTCTTATGTAATGAATGGTAGGCTGCGGTCTGCTTTAAGCATCCTTTTGCCCCAGTATTCAAATAATGCTAACATTTTATGACCAGAGTTTAGCGAAGTATGTCTACGGAGAATAGAACTGTAAAGATCAAGAGGGAAAGGTGGTCGACTGCTTTCAACATGAGTTTGCCCTTGTGCCAAAATAATACATTCTTAAAAAATTGGTATTTCAGTATTTGCTGCTGTCCTTCTTCAGAGCACCCATGGGTGTGAAAGACTCATGCCAGTGCCTGGATTAGACACAGAGACACTTGGAGGCTGCCCAAATAGTCCTGTAGTGTGACTTTCACTTTAGCTGTTGCTACTGAGTTTAAATCATTGTGGCATGATCATTTTCTTCCTACCTACGACCCCTCAAGAGATTGTACTCATTACCCAGCAGTAGAGATGAGATAATAAGGACAAAACTGTCCAGAACAAAAAACATATTGATTTTCTACGTGAATTTCACATCATAAACAGAGTACAAACCCTTTTAAAGAACCCTGAGGGGAAGTCATTTGCCTGATGCAGGCAAGGTTTTGTACCTAAATCAATAATATGCACATATATAGGAATGTCCCCATGCTGGATCGTAGCATTTGAGCTGCTCATCAAAACCCCGCTCAATACAAATGGTCTAAAAGCACTTTGTTCTTTCCAACATGGCGCATTTATCTGTGTTGAGTGTCAGGGGCCATTTAAAGGTTGCAGCAGAAAGAAGACATATTGCTCCGTGAAAATTGGGTGTCCTCTTTCTGGCCTGTGCACTGAATACTGAGTGACAAGCTGCTGGCTTATGTTAGAAGTCTTCTGCTGGGTACCTCAAAGGAGCACAGAGCTTGGATCACTGTCAGTATGGCTGCAGTTACACAGCAAACACTTGCTCATTTATTACCACTGATACTTTGGACAGTAAGTCTCACTTTTCTAAAAATGCTGTTTTTTATACTTTCATGAACATCTGTTACATAATAGGCCCATTGGCAACACGTGTTAGGACTTCACTGAAAAGACACTGAAGTTAAGTTCAGATTTTTGAAAAGAGAGTTACAGATTTTATGAGTTAAAGTCAAAGTCAAAGTTTATGTTTATAATCTTAAATGCAACATGATGAAATTAGTTAAAAATGCAACAGCATCAATATTCAAGCATATCAAATGATCAGAGCTAGACAGGAAATATATCACATTTATAATTAATTAAATTCAGAGTGCTTCTCAAACAAAGAATAATGAACTGACTATTTTATTTATGTTATTTAAAGTCCTATGAGTAATATTTAGCAGGATCTATTGTCAGAAATGGAATATAATATTCAGAACTTTCATTAGTGTATAATAATGTATAATGTTTTTGTTATTCTAGAATGAGCCATTTATCTACAGGTGCTGGGGGTCGCCTTCCACAGAGTCCGCCAAGTTGAACCACCATGTTTCCACAGTAGCCTAGAAGGGATAGATCAAACAGTTGTGTTCTCCACTCGTTTTGCAGCCACCATATTTTCTCCTTCACGCTTGGAAGGGGTCTAAACATCCTGAAACCAGCCAGTAAAATGCCCTCCAAGTTCAAGTTAATTGTAGAATGTAAACTCTCAGGTGACTAAAACCTGCAAATGCCTAAAAGAAATACAGAGGATATGACCTCAGGGTCCTCAGCTGCAGTCCAATGTTTACCTTAACCTTAACTGTAACTAAAACTACTAAATCATCCAACCTCCAACCCTCAATGATAAACTCCTAGAAATTCCTCATGAGGAAACTAAACCTCTTGTGGACAGGAGAAGTGGCCCACTTTGAGGCCTTGCAAAAACTGACATTTCCTCACATAGCCATTTAACAGTGTACCCACTCCACCTTGTGTGTTTGTGTGTGTTTGTGTGTGTACGTGTGCGTATGTGAGGGTGAAATTACAGAGCAGTATGTGGTTAATTGAATGGGGAGGCCTATACTTATCCTCTCTCTCTCTCTCTCTCTCTCTCTCTCTCTCTCTCTATCTCTCTCTCTCTCTCTTTATCTATCTATCTATCTCTCTCTCTCTCTATCTATCTATCTGCCTCCCAGGTCTCCTTGCAGCCAGTAGGAGCAGGCTTTTTCCATAGCCAGCCCCAGACTATAATGAAAAATTTACCAGCTTGCCTCTCTCTCTCTCTCTCTCTCTCTCTCTCTCTCTCTCTCTCTCTAGTAGCCTCTCAGTAAGACAGTGTCAGCTTGGCTTCTAGGCCTGTCGCCTGCTGTACCCACTGCCAAGGCTTCTGGGAGGAAAAACAGAGAAAGTTGAATTAAAATCAGGCAATTTTTTTTGGCAAGGGCTTCTATCCTCAGGATGTTTGGGAGCAGTACTGGGCAGACAAAAAAGCAATCTAACTAGGTCTCATATGACACTCACATAAATATTGCAATACACATTCGGGCATTGGGCACCTAATTTTCTTTTACTTTTTTTATGAATTTGTCTCAGACTATGGCCCGCATTTAAAAGAATGAGTGAGGTTTTGTCACTGTGTGCATCTGTCAACAGTGACGGGTAGAAAATGAGGTTAAAAAGCGCTTTGGATTGAAAATGAAATATTCATGAATTCAAATTTGAATAAGCTACAAAATAGACAGCTACCCAGATTTGTAGGTAGGCTGCTCAGCAAGAGTATTTTGGTACATCTTTATAGGGGTCCCTAAGTATTGAATCCTGAGCTATTTTGGTGGTAGCTGAGAATGTCAAAACTGATAGGAAAGCTTGTAAGTTTTTAGGCAAAGTACCCAAAACACCTCGCCTAGAAGAACTTCAGCTAAATAGGCTTTTGCTCTCTGATAGTCTTGCATATATTCAGACTGTTTAATTGAGGTTCTACTGCAATAAGATAGTAATTCCAAAATGTTGCTTTTATTGCTTCAGGGATGCTGTTATGAAGCTAAATCTGCTCCAGCGTCAAAAGAAAACTCTCTCTTTGGGATCAATGAAGTGCTGCTTTAAGTATTGCACATTTTGCCCCCCAGTAAATAGTTCAGTTGTACATCAGTGTGCCATTTGATTGCTACTCTGTTGCAAGTCCTAATGACCCCGTCTGCTCCTCTGTGATTCTGTTTTATGTTTTACTGTTCATCTCACCAATTTCAGAAAAGTATACAAGATAGAAGTAGCAAAGGTACTTTCAGTTGGACTTAATGTGAAGTTTGCTGTGAATTGGGGGAAAAGTCGGCCTTATCTTGAAAGATTCAAAAGTAATCTTGTGATCAGTAGAATTTTAAAATCAATATGGAACAGACAGTGTTGGTTGGCTATATATCATCAGAGTAATGTCCTCTACAATAGCACAAAGTACAATATTTCTTTCTGAAATGTATACAGAAAGTGGAAATAAAGTAGAGAACAATTGCCTCAAAACTGTACTTAAGTACAGCATATGAGTAAATGTACTTAGTTACATTCCACCACTGAAATCCCTTTTCTTAGTAGAATAAATGATTCCAGTGTTGATTCATGGCAGTCCCCTCTACTCAATGAGGCTAAAGTGGACTCCTCTGGCAGCATATTACCACTTCACTTTAAGATTATTTTCCTTGCCAAAGCACCAGTCACTGCAAGACAATATTAAAAAACAGAGCTGACAAAAAACCAGCAGAAAATAAAACCTTCCATGATAACTGTTTTTTTTTAAATAAAAGGATCAACTCCTGCAACAACTTTCCTGCTGGCCTCAGAGCTCAACAAAGCTCTACTGGAGCAAACCAAACTGACCTCAACAGCAGCAATGTAACAAAAGGTGACTTAAGGTCACTAAATTAGTATGTGCCAGATGAAAATGGTAATTTACCATGATATTCCTCTAAAATGTTTGGTCAAGCACAAGCGCTCCCTCCCCTATTTGTCATGATAGCTCAGAGCATGGTTGGTTGAGTCACGGGGTTGAAACTAACAACTAGCCTTAAAGAAATGGAATTAAACATAGCCCGATCTCCCTCTGAGATACCACATGGTATAATAGCATGGACCTAACTTGACTTAAGGTCAAAGTTCCATGGCAGCTGATCTAACAAAGACAGGAAAAAAATGGGATGGAGTTCACTGAGGACATAAGAATATGCAATAGTGTAATTAAAGAGTAACACATAAAAACAAAGAATGAAAAATAGTACATTTATACAACTAACAAATAATCATGGTTTAAAGATTTTTTTGGACATTTTGGGAAATACACTACTTAACATACAAACTACAAGTCAAATAAGGAGATTGATACCTCTCAAGTGTCTGTTTGTTAAAGTTAGCATGAAGACTGGAAACAAGGGGAAAACTAGTCTGCTTGTGTCCAAAGGTAAAAAAAAACTCCTACCAACACCTCTAAAGCTTACTAAGAACCTGTTGGTTTTACATTCATTTATATGAATTAAATCACATAACTTAACCTGGCCTGTTTCCCCTTCATGCTAAGCTAAGCACATGCTGACTCCAGCTTCATATTTACCTTACAGATGAGTGAACTATTGATCTTATCAAGAATGTGAATAAGCGTATTTCTCAAAATGTCAAACATTATTTATTATACATTATTATTTATTAGAATTCTGGCAGGAATATACAACACTTACATCTACGAGAAATACAATTGTCTTTTGTAATGCCATAGAGGAATAAAAACATGTATTTTCACAAAGAAATAAGCAAAACCGGAACAGTAACATACACATACAGTAAGAAAACAACAACTACCTCTTAAAACAACTACACATAAACATACTAATGAGGATGTTTAATTGTACATTACTGTTGTACATGTACTTCTAATAAAAAACAAAAAAGACTAAACAAATCGAGAAAACACAAACAAAAAAGAAACTTGTGTCAAACACTTTCGCACTGAAAATGGATTTAGTGAAACTAAAATAATACTTTTTTAAAATGTATTTATTCATTTAATGAACACAGATATTCTATGCACTGACACCTTTAATGAAGAGTCAAATGGGCAAATATAAGAACCATACAGTAAACATCAACACATCAAACACATCAACCAACTACAACAGTAAAACTGTTTTTACATCAGTGAGTAAGAAATAATGATCTAATTATATAATATATAATAGTATAATAGAATAACATAGCATTTTCCTGATAATACTTACATACGTTTACTTACCTAACATTGCAATGCAGAACTTTTACTTGTAACAGAGTATTTGTACAGTGTGGTATTAGAACTTTTACTCCACCACTAGTCGTCCCTTTCATCACTCCACCATGAGATAGTTCATTTTGTATATTGCATTGGATTTGCCTACAGCGTTCTTCTCCGCGTGGTGAACTAGGTCTTGTCTTTATGCATTAACAATACTGCTGCGTAATAGTTCCACATTCAGAGCTCTTCGCTGAGAACTTCTCACCCTTTTCTCTGGGTGTTGGCTTTCAAAATTCAATAACTTACTCAGGCATGAAACGCACAATGTCAAAACTTCAGTGCAGCTATCCGGCGCTATGGCCCACTGGATTGAACTTCTTCAGAGCATTTTTTTCTCAGAAGTTTTCCATCTTTACTTAGGATCCTTGCTTTGAAAGGGTTCCAGTCTTGGAGTGGGGAAAAAAAGAGGCCTAAACCTTGAATCCAGAACTTCAGAACTTTCACAACAATTTTACTTGAAGCCCATACCCAGTTGCAGTCTCAAACAATCTCATAAACCCCTCATTATTAGAAACAATGATTGAAAAACAAAGTAGGTTTGAAAGTCTTCAGACACCCTGTCAAAGTTTTACAGTTGTTGCCAGTGATTCCATATTTTATTTTCAGTCTGTCTCCCAGAGTTAGCAGCTGTCTCACACTTCAGCCACAGAGGCACGTTACTTTCACACTCATTTTCTGAGTGATTTTCAATCTTTAGCTGACTGCTGACAGAAACACTTGCTAACTTTGAATACCAGTTTATTTCAAGTTTAGCCCGTAGCTTGTTGTCTTAAAGTTTTGGTCAGTACAAATAAATCTGTAGGTTATACAGTAAGGCTGTGATCTTTGCCTCTTAGCTTCTGATTTAAACTCTAACATCACTCATCTGAAAACACGTTGTTTATTGTACAATTACACCAGAGACTTAAACTTAGAATTAGCTATTTACTAAATAATTACTATATAATTATATATCTGCCAAATAGTAACAGTTTGTATTTAGAAATCTTAAGCTTAAGAAAGTCAGTTTTGCTCAATACACAGATGAAATTATTTTTGTAATTCTCATCAATATGTAGTATGGTAGTGCAACAGTCTCACCACTTTCATCAACCTAGATTCCAGCATCAGTAAACGAAAAAGGTAAAAGCAGAAAAAAGTCATTATATGTCAATGTTGTGTTTACAGGTTGTTCTGCTGCCCCCAAGAGGCCAACAAATCAATTAATGCTGCTGCTGATGTATTTATGTGAGCAACTGTGTTGAGATGATCTAGCAAATTGTCTCAAAATGATCTCCCTGACTTCCACTGAATTCATGTCAGGATAAGCTCCAACCCCCCCATGACCCTAAATAGGAATAAACAGGTAAACAAAATCACTGAAGGAAACTACAAATGCACCTGCTCATATCGCCAGCTTTCTCTATCTCTCTATTTACCTTCACCTTAAAATGTCACAACATGGATTTTCCACCAAATAGCGTATACAATAAGTCAGTCGACAAACACAGAGGGCAAGTTCAAAGCAGTTTTAATCGTATTAAAAGTTTCCATACAGTCATTTACAAGTCAAAGCATTTCCATTGTTAAATTGCCATTTTCATTCTTATCTTCTCCATGCAGTGTCATCATGAATTAAACAGCAAACACAGACCATGAACACAAAGCCTATTTCCTTCCTGACAAACCCATACAAATTTGCAATCCATGGTTAATTACATGTTAACAGAACGAGTTCAATCCATTTTCCAGACCTTCCGGACCTTTTTGTTACATAAGTTGCTAAAGAGTTTGTCACTGTATTGAGTGCCAATCATCTCAGGATATCTCCACATAAAACAGACATTAACAGTCCTCCTCAAAGGGAGGGATTTCCTCTGTAGAAAAGAAAGAACCTGGCCTTTCGATCTCTGGTTCTGAGTACTCCAGGTTTGGATCTCAACACAAAGGCTTGCCGTGCCTCATGTTATTGGCGCAGGTTCGGCCCAGGTTGGCCCCCTCCATGAGTAGATCGGAGAGTCGGTCCAGGCCGAGGCAGGTGGTCAGTGGGCTGATGAGGCCATAGAGACCCCCTAAGGCGATGCTGAGGGGCCAGCCAACACACAGCAGAACCACCAGCCAGATTATGCACCAGAAACATGACCCGCAACTGGCCATCCTAGTCTGGGAGGAAGAGAGGAATATGAGAGTGGCTAATCAAAGTGGACATTAGCATGCTTTGCAAAGCCAAAATGCTTCCACTCAAGTTAAGCAGACATACAACTATAACTAATCTTTGGATGTTGGGGAGGGGGGGTCTGGCAGGAGAGCACTTTAGCATCCTAAATGACAGCACGTCAGTCAATACAATAGCATCAGAGTGTGTTCCTGTGAGCGGCCGGGCCTCTTCTGTGATGATGGGAGATTATCAGATTGAAATGTGCCCTGTTGATGATCTGGATGTACTTGTCAGGATTAGGCAATGGCCTTGACAAAGCATGATAAGCTGGCAAACCTCAAACAATAGCTACCAGGCCTGTCTGCCCGCTGAGGTCAACAGGCCGCACACTAACACGATGTTGAAGACTGGCACTGGCACATTAGTCACCCACTAATAGCAGATCAGCAGTGATCATGCATAACTTTGGTAATGAGCATTACTTTATCTGTCAACGGTGATAACAAATAGCGGCCAGAAGTATGATATGCTGCTATTTATTAGTTATAAAAATGCCTGTTGTTTTAAAATGCCTTGATGAAAAACTGCTAATTGGAATGCTGCGCAATGTGTGAACCCTCCCTACCCGATGAATTATGTAAAGTATAGAGGCAAACATATGTGGAGACTTTTGTTATAGTGAAATCTTTTTCAAGATATTCTACATTAAGCAAGAGGAGCTTTTTGTGTGTGTGTGTGTGTGTGTGTGTGTTTAAAATCCAGCAGAAAACTCTGCCCTGAGGCCCAGCCTTGAAGTTGAGATTGTAGAACTGATGGTTTTATGAGTGTGAAAGTGTTGTGTGCTGTCAGACTAATTCCCTAAGCCTGTTTTAGCTTTAAGACACAATGGTCAGATTCCCCCCCCGGCACTTCTGTCTTGACTCTATGTAATGTGTAATTTCCTGTTGTGACACTGCTGTCACACAGGGTTGGGCAATAAATTACACATTCAACACGAGTGTGTCCCACGGTGGATCCCGTGCTTTTGGTAAAAACATCTTCGCATTCGAAAGAGAGATTCAATCAGCCACTAAAATTATTTTAAGGCCAGAATAACTTTGCACAATTGGACTCTGACCTCTGCTGTAGTACTTCAGCTCTCTCTACTGTACTTCCCTCAAATTACTCCTCTAGCAACTCCTATTTATTGCTTTTGTGCTGTTAAATTTATTGCAATTTCAATGACAAAAATGTTTAAAAAATGTGCTGCAGGTAGCACAAAACACATTTCTATGTGACAAATTACAAGTCAGCATATATAGAACAATAACATACCGTCTGTGCTCATGACCAAATTAACAGTTTTACTGCATGCTGTTAGTCTCTGTGACACATCAGCCAAAGACAAATGTTAAAAAGTGAGAGCTTTGCAAAGTAGCTATTAACCTAATGAATACCTGTCGTGTGAGTATAAAAGACATGTTCACCTTCAGCAGAGAAAGGTTCGGGGAGTGAGGTCCTGATCTCCTTCTTGCTTGCAGCTAATTCTTCCAGTCTCCCAGGTCCTGCTTGAGACTTGCAGAGATGTTGTGTGCAAGCAGTAGCCACTTCCCACCAGTTATCTCTAATTTACAACAACAAGGTACCACAGGCAACTACATTCTCAAGAGGCCAGCTGGAAGAAAAACAGAAAGTTAGTAACTGGAAGGCTTAAGGGGAGGGCAGATATTACACAATGCAGACATTCATGTGACTCAGGAAAAAGTATGCTCTCTGTCATGGGTTTGAAGAGGACTAATTAGTCATATATATGACAGAACAAAACGCACATTTGTGTTATTGCTACATAAGTGTACTGAGGTAATAGGTTAATTTATACAGTACAAAACACAAGATACTTCAGAATCATGTGATACAGTATAGTGGTCTTTTTCCTGTGTAATTCGAAGGTGCAGCCTCAGCCGACAGATTATCTCCCTTATCTAACCTCCCATTGTAATCCTCTCCTCAGCAGACAGAAAGGCATAGCCTACTACTCCTTAACACTCACTTCAACCTGGAGTGTCCTGCTCTCAGTAGATAGAAAAAATAGCCCTTACATGCCTCTACACTTGACTGAATGCAGAAAATGTGTCTCTCCACATCTATCAACACATGGTTCTCCATCAGGTCTATTAAACCAGCCCAGGCAAGAGCAGCTGTGCAGCTGACCTGTTCTCTCAGCCTGCCTGAGGTATGATGTAACAGCAACCAACCTCTGGTGCATGATAATGAATGAATTTCCAGTCTGTGTTTTTTGCCTGCAGGGCTGTGGACTGTGTTAACTTCTTCATTTTAAGTGGATTTATGTTTAAATGACTAAGACCTAGGTTGGAGCTTTTGAATGACTGTTTTGACATAAAAACATTTGAAACCTCAAATTATTTCCTTGAAATTGGTCGTCAAACCTCAACACTGATATGAACTATTTCTGCAGAGCACTGTGCTGTTAGTATTCCAACACAAAGTTATGAATGGCAGAGGATTTTAAGGCTTGCTGGTTGAGTGACTGTGTACATCCAGAAGGCAAGTTGAAATCCCCCAGTATGCACACTGGCCCTTGGGTGAAGTGACTGACCTACAAATGCAGCTTAGTCGCAGCTTGTGTAGCTGGTGTAGGCTGAGCCAATCAGATTTCAGCTGTGCTTAAAGCAGAGGAGAGAAGCAGATGAATGGATGGAAGTATCATGACGGAGAGATACAAGGCTTAAATGTGTTGACTATACACTGTATTTGTCTCTCAATGTGTGCGTGTGAGAGGGATATAGATTACAGTCTCCTAAAGAGTATTATAAGCCCTGGTGGGTGCACGTGCAGTAAAATATATCACAGACAATAAAGAATTTCCATTTTTTTAATAAAAACTGTTGGTTACAAAATCAAATGTTCTAGAAAAGTGAATGAAACATTATCGCTGGATCCTTTTGTCAGTAGCAAACAAATTCAGAATCACTGACTCCCCACTAATCTTTTCTTAAGGGACAGTCCACTTAGTCCCCTCAATAACTGAGGCCCTTAATTAGACATATGTGGACGCTCTACTGCTCTTGCTCCTCTGCGCTGTCCTCTCCGTCACTGTCGCTGTCTCTGCCGGGATGCTCTGGCATCTTAGCATGGTCTACTGTGTCTGGATTTTCTTTCTTCTCACTGGTGTCCTCCGAGTTTGGCTCCGAGTTTGCCTCTTCTTCTGGGCTTTCCTGCTCCATGGGGGTTTCTTGCTGCGGTTCCCCAGAGATAGCTGGCACTTTCTCAGCAACAGTATCTGTCTTGGTTTGCTGCGGAGGCTGAGCCAGTTTCTGCTGTTGCTGCTAAGAAGGAAAGGAAGGAAGAAAATATTCAAAATGGAAGAATATTTTTAGTAAAGTAGTATATATACCATCAAAGCCAAGTCTTGTGATGTTGTTTTAAGTCAACATGCACACATACAAAAATCCTCCTACATCTAACTTATTTACTGTGCTACATTAAAGTTTAACAGTTCAAAATACCAAAATAGCAACCAGGGAGAGACATGATAGCTTTTAGCACTGCTTCAATGCAATTGAGAGTTACTAAAGTGTTGGTATAACGGAAAACACAGTAAAAGCACCAGTTTTAAATTGTCTCAAGTGTACCGTAAAAGAGAGGCTGATATCACCATGAGACAGCAACAGTACTGCTCTGCCAGTTGTGCAGGATCATACAGTAGTACATCCTGTCTTTTTATCATATTTATCAACCTTTTTTTTTTTTTTTTACCTGTCTGTACTTCTGGGAGGTCTGGATCATGTGCATGTACATATTGTACACTAGGTTGGCCATCTCAGGCATGTTCTTGATGATTTGGTCTGGCTGTCCAGAGGCATCTCTCTGAGGGAAGATAACAAAAGATAACAGTCAGAGAAAGATTGTTTTGAATCCAGGCTGTGAAGTGAAAAGAATGACAATGAAGAATTGCACTTGTTTTGTTAGCAGTCATGCCAAACTATTGATCTGATGCAAATATGCAGGGAAATTACAATTCACCTGTCCGCTACCTGCTTGTTACTTGAAAGCAAATTTCTCACTTGCTGCCGCCAGCAATCACTGCTCACATACCATCAAATGGAGTCAAGGATGCAGAGTTTGTAATCTGACAGTATTAGTATGCAGACAAAGTCTTACAGCTTAAACTGAGGAGAGAGGCGAGCAGAATATTCAATCTGCTGGGCTGTTACCTCCTAAATACAGGGGAGATGCTCACAGACGCCCTTTGGGCATCATGTCAAAGTGAATGCACTGACTGCTTCAGTACTGTAAAACTTAACTGTGTGTGGTTTTATTGCTGTAAAACTATCAGTAAAAACATCAGGGCGTTAATGTGTTTCACTGTGATTGAGTGTGATTAAACATCAAGCTTTACTGTCTGTCCAATACTATCCAACAGAGCTGTAAATATGTATACATCTATATGGAGTATTAAGCAGCAGGGTTATCATTTATTTTTATAACTGCTTCTGAATCAGCACTGTTAAGTAGCCTGTGAAAGTTCTGGTCGAGTGTTGCCAGACAAAAATCTGACGTTTAATCTGCATGTGCGTGTAAGCAGCAGGGGTCTACTGACTCCAGATAGACGGGCTAAGCAGGGGCCGCATGTGTGTGCCCGAAAGAGCTGTCCCCCATGGGGATGAACACTCTAGAGTCGGAGAAAGTGTCAGAGGCTATAGGGTATTTTAGACACCCCTGTTGCCACACACGCCAGTCAGCGAGACACAGTGACCAGACAACAGTCGTCTCATGCTGGCCTGATGGGATTTGGGAGATTGGTTATGCCCTTCTGACCTTCGGGGGTTAATTATAGCCAGGCCTGTGTTTCCCATACTTGCAGATGGCCCCCCACAGAATGCTGTTAGAAACCGGGGCCTATGGGTAAAGCTGTAGTAAGACTTGGGACCAGTGGGACCAAGGGGAATGAAGATGCCATTCAGAATATAGAGGCAGGATTAGACAGAGTCAGGGGGCTGTGGCAGCAGTGATGTGGGAGGATGTTGGAGGGTGCAACAGTTATATGGAAATGGGGACGGATGTGGAATATGAGGAAAAGTAAGCTTGGTTCTTATCAGCACGTTTGGAGCTTGAGTGCTTCATTATCAGCCAAATTTAATGGAGTAGAAGATTACTGAGCTTTAAGAAACGGTGTGTGCATGCGTGTGTGTCTACGTACAGGCTGTTCCTGGCTGTAGTATTCGTGTGGTCTGATGTGCAGCTGCAGAGGTCTGGCCGTGAGCTGGTTGAAGGCAGGAGTCAGCTCGAAGCAGTTTTGGAACAGCGACACCCGGGCAAAGATGTACAAACCCAGTCTGGCTCTTGACATGGCTACCACCAGACGCCTCACATCCCTGTGGAGTGGTAGGGGGAAAAAAAGTTGACAATTGGTTTGAAACAAGGGGAGAAAAAAATATAAAATAGAAGTGGCAGGGGCGGGGAAGAAAAGTGTGAAATTGTAATAGGAGAAGAAATCATGTAAACAAAAACTGAACTAAAGGGATCAAAGTGGAAGGATCAAGTAAAGATTGTAAAAGGAAGGAAAAAGCAGTGTAGTGTAGGAGGAGAGAGGTTTAGTGAAGGGTTTAGTGGAACAGCAATAGGTGAGGGGGACAAATATAGAAGCTAAGGGAGAAATAAAGAAATGAAGGAGAAAGGGCCGTGATAAACAAGTCAGACAAAGAGAGGGAGAGGTGGGGGAGTACAAGCGAGGGCAGATAAGTTACTTTTTCTTGTCATACAGTAGAATTAAGAGATTAGAGGCAGAAGAGTAATTTTCCAGAGAATGGAGGAAACTGCTGGGCTTGCTGTAGTAGGCCAAATGGTTGTTTACCCCCCTATTTTAGAGGAATGTAACTGAATGTCTTTATAACCTATAACCTAAAAAACAGGCTTCACACGGCATTAGAAATTTAAGACACAAAGTGTAAAAAAAAAAGCTATTCTCGTAGTACACATCCACATGTTGTACTACTTAAGTTGTACACATTACATATACATATGGTGGAAGAGAGGCTGAAATTCTTGGACACCTTCTAAAAGCCATGAAAATGTGCTCTTTCAAAAAGTGAACCAATAAAAAAAAAAAAGGGAGGAGGTACCCTTCAACCTATTTTATTATGTAATAAATCTTAATATTGTGTGTTTTAGGTGTTTGGATGGGCAACCTAATGGAGCTGAGCAAAATATGACAATTTAGCTGGCCAATAAATCTCTGAGCATATTGGCTTACAGAAATCTACAGAGCACAGAAAAAGAAGAGCATGTGAGGGGAAAGAAGTGTTTGGCTTATTCAAGCAGCTACGGTGATACAAAAAAACAGCCTTTGGTTTGATGTACAATAATTTGGCACACACCAATGTTTGTATGCATGCACTTACCAACACCCACAAACGCATACACACGTTGAAGTGCAGCCAAAAAATGTGGAATATGTCCACCTGAGCACTTCATGAGATTAAGAGGATTAATCCTTGCAATATGCATGATGAGTTCCATGAATATGTAGAGGGGGGAAAAAAAGGCTTATGGAAACCATCATGGAGGGTTTATTCGGCAGGTTTATGTAAAATTACTGTAAATTTCAAGCATAATACAAAACCTGAAACTTGAAAGCACAACATTTCCACAGCGACAAACTACAACAGCCTACAAACCAATGAGCACAGAGCTCTGGAAGAGATGAACCAATCATGAAGCATGATAGCCTGTGGACATCGCACTACTGAAAGGCGCCCACCTGGGCCGTGCTGTGACTTGACCGGGCAAAACGGACGAATACCGTTTGTGTGTGTGTATGTGTGTGTGTACATGTCAGAGTGTGTCTGGATCTGTGCTTCCCTGTCAAAGAGTGTGCTCCTGCATGTGACCGTGCCTGTGTGTATCAGCAGGAATGCTTCTCTTGTCAAAGCAAGGGTCAGCTTGTCATATGGTCAGCTGCGTCCCCTGTGGTTGTCACGGCAGCAGATTGCCATGAGGAGAGATGCAGTAAGAGGAGGATTGTGAGGTAGGACTCAGTGGTATACCTCTGTGATCCCAGTATGTGGAAAACACAATGGACAGCACCACAATTTCCCATGAGCCACTGTTTTTTCAACCATTCAGAAGTTTAAGGGACACAAATACATGAATGAATATTGTTTAAGGCAAAGCAAAATTCAGAAAAATGGAATAAAAAAAAAACAAACATTATCTGTTGTCCTAAGGGTGCTCCCTGATTGGAGCACCCTTAGTCCCTGCTCCTCATTGCTGCTTGAGCTTAGCAGCTCATAACTACATTTCTGGCTAGTGGCTGGTTCCACACACCAAAGTCGCAGACCAAACCATCTGTAATTAAGTTGCATTGTGGGTAATGTAGAGACCAGGTTTTGACAAGGAAGAAGAATCTTGATAAAGACGACATCTCAGGTTCTGCTGCATCAATTTTGTACCATCATTGTTATAGGGTAAAACTTGGACAACGTTCACACTTTGAGTGGGCAGGTGAGGCAGAGTGCAATTTCCAGTGTAAGATAAGATCAAAAGAATGATACAGAGAGGCGAGCAGGCGCTGCCAGCAAGATAAACTGCCCCTTTCTGTGGCCTGCTGCACTCCTCATTCCCAGCTACATCAATTCATTGCTTTATCTATGAGATGAGGAAAGAACAAAATACAGTTTTAAGTGTTTTTTATAGCACTTAAAAATGACCACACTCAAGGGTGATGTGTGTGTGTGCGTGTGTGTGTGTGTGTGTGTGTGTGTTAAGCTACAAAAGGAATGACTTATTAGTCGCACTGGGGTTCCAATTTGAAGACTGTCCAGTGTGAGGGTGGGTGAATGCACTGGCAGTACAGCTGTGATAAAGCTGTGAGCGGTGCAATTCCAACCGCAGCTACTGTACATCACAGCCAGAGGCCAGCATGGCCAGCTTAAGCAGTGTAGAAGAGTTCAGCCTCATTGTCTGGTATTAAAACATGCAGCGTATTAAGTGTGAAGAGCTCATCAGGATCCCATGGCAGCTGAGGAATGAAAGGCCATTTCACTACAAATCAATCCAGAGCAATGAGGAAAGGGGGGGGGAGCAGAGAGATAAGGAGACAGAGCTGAAGACTAAGAAGAGAGGTCAGGAAGTACAGTTGAGCAGATAGCAATGGGACATGGAATGAAAAGACATAAAACCTACAACTGCAGTTTGGTTAACCATCATGGCTCTTAATGACTGTTCTATGGTATGCCTTTGATCAGAACAGAGCTCTTTGTTTAATAGTCTCACCCCAATCATCAGAGCACAATGGCTCCTCTTAACCAGGACAAAAAAGAATAGTCAGCTCCACCGACTCCTGTCCTGAAGCACCCTTTGTCCTCCCTGCCTCAAATTAAGCTCATACATACTTCAAGGCAGCCACAGAGCTATTCTCGTTTTCTTCTTTAGCAAACTTCATTCTGTAGTAACACATAGCAAAAGGAGAAAGCCTCCCGAGAGCAGCGGTCTCAAGAGAGTAAATTTTTGCTGTGTTGTTTCCCAGGAGGAAGAATCTAAGGTGTAGATCCTATTATACAAGTATTTTTGTAGAAAGAATAGCTGCTAAGGTGCTAAAGGTGTCCATTTTTGGGTGAGGCAAGTTTTTCTGCTTGGCATCGTTTGAAGTAATTACCTCAGGTGTCCAACGGCTTTGGTACGGACCAGGGAGAGGATGATGTAGTCATTCTGCTGACCCTGGAACCTGTCCACTGTTGTCACCTGCACGGATAAACATACATATTCATTATTGAACAAAAAGCACACAAATATACACTAAAATATCACAGATATGCAAACTAAGCTATGGCAGCTGATGTATTCTGAAAAGTAAATGAGTGTGCATTTTAGGTGGGTGGAGGGATTTAGCGGAAATGTTTGAAAACATAAGCGTGACTGCTTTCCGTCTTTCGTTTTTATTTATTTTTTCTGAACGATTGTGCCTGTGTTTTCCTGTTATTGCTGTTATCGCTGTGGGCCATATGGGCAGCCAGCGGGGCTAATACGGCTTAGAGGGCATTTGCCACCACTAGCCTCTTACCTGGGCCCCTGAGACTCAGGGCCAAGGTACCGGGGGCCACGCTGCTCGACTGGATCAGAGATAATTTCAGGGAGTAAAGGAGAATGGAAGAGAAGTGTCTCTCTGTGGTATTTCTTTTTCAAAGCAAAAGGAAACTCATGTCAGCCAATTGGCTTTTATACCCTGGTAATCCGGTCTTGCTGAGAAGTGTACTTATTCCCGTACATGAAGAACAGAGCTGTGTTTGACTTTGTCACTGCTGTTACACCTTACATAATAAAGACAACACACTGCACTTGCATTTGGAACTTGATACAAAGCGAGGAAACTGATGAGATGCAACCCTATAAAAACTGAACCTGTTATACATACAGTACTAGCTGTGCTGTATAACGGGCTGCTCCTACAGCCTACATGTCATCAAAATCTGTGCACAACCCATGGCAGTGTTGAAGAGTGCATTCATAGCGTATGGTCTTAAAGAGAAAAAAGTCCTATTTCATTCTCAAGTGCATACAGCCTGGACTTCCTGTCCATCTTTAATAGAGTTGCCAAGTTGGAGGAGCTATTTTTGGCTGCCACTTGTACAAGAGGGTAAAATCCCATTAATTTCTTCCTATTCGCTCAAATGAAGTTGAAATGATTATAACTGACGGTCATACATAAACCTAAAGGGTCGTCTAATCATCCAGGAGAGTCCTGTGTTTGCATGGGGAGTAACATTGAGGATATTGTTTCAAAAAAGGGAATGGGAACACAGAAGGGGAAAAACAGCTCTGGATCTTCTTAGACATGGTAATGGGAACCCAGTCATAAGGAATACTGTTAAACCTACATAAAGTAAGACTGCATGTAAATCGAGATTACAATAACAAAACGGTCCTCCCTATTTGCTATTGTACAAAAAAATAACACTATGCAGCTATATGGGCCACATGTCGAGAAATCCTAACCCCCGCAGAAGGAGGTTGGCCTTTCCTCTATAGATCCATTCTCTACAGTGGATCAATAGGACATCAGCTACCATTGAGAAGCCACACAGGCAGCAACCAACCTATGAACTAGCCAGGCTAAAGAAATCATCCTGTTACCTCCTATTAGCTAATGAAACTTTCAGCTTTCATGGAACTCCCGTGGCTAAACCCCCTTCAAAACCCCTTTTGGGTAACAGGAAACGAAGTGTGGGAAGAATGAGTGTATGTGAACTTGTAAAAGAGGGATGGGGCTAACGATGTAGTAGACCAATATTTATTTATGTCTCCCTGTTGCTATGTAGAACAGGTGCAGCACCAGAGGCAACAATATGTCGGTTTTACAATAGCATGAGGTGTTGCGGGCTGTAAGTTGAAGTCAAATGTTTAATGTTAAAGTCAAACAGCCGTGGTATGCACGCACATGTTCACACAAATGTAGCATACACAGACAGACTCAGGCACATTTTGTTGAAGTAGGGTATAACAGTGGACTTAAAGGGGCTAGAACTGCAGGGTTTAAACCAAAACAGAGAAGGGGTGCTTAAGAGAGGGAGGTATTCTTAGCCCACAGACAGTGACAACAAAGCCCAGATAGAGAATCTCCCAAAGGCGTAGCATTTTGCATGGTGTTTAGTTATTTATGAGAAATCTTCCAGGGAGTGAATTACAGAGGTCATGTCATTGTGGCACATGCATGTCTGTGGATACAAGGAGGCACATAAACACATAGAATACATTTAGGGACGCGTGTGTGCATACAGTTTTTTTTACTAACAGAAGCAGACTTAGAATAATTTTCTACGATCTTGCCCTCCTTCTCTGCATTGTCATGAAGGAAAAGACACAGTCTCTCAGTTGATGGTCAAGCTTGGATCTCTCCTCTCTTTCATTCTTTGTAAGTCACTCTGTCTTTCCTGCTATGCCTTATTCACACCAATTAAGCCCTGGAATGTGCAGAAGTCAGACTGCTGGATTATTACATTTTTCACAAGAGACTCTCTGGGATGACAACGTTAATAGTCTAGTGTCTCATTTCTTTTGCCTTTATATCCATGCGTGTCAGTCTTTAAAAAAAGAAAAGACAAGACATGCAGGAACATGTTAAGAAGATCAATCAACATATCAGGCTACAAGATATCCTGGTTCAGTCACACAGCAACACTTCTCTCTCTGGCTCTCAAATGAAAGATATCCACAGGAGGGATGGGGAAAGTGTGTGTTTGTGGCCATGTGGAAGAGCTAGAGAGGGGCGGGGAGGGATGCAGAATGTGGACGTGAAGCTTTAAGAAGGGTCCACTGTGTAGGATTTGGTGGCATACTTGCTGATTGCAATGCCTTTGCCTCACCCTCCCTCCTGGGAGAAACTACGGTGGCCGCAAAACATACAAAAGGCCCTATCTACAGTCAGTGTTTGGTGTTTTTGTCCGTTCTGAGCTACTGTAGAAACATGGAGGTTCAACATGTAAAAATGGTGGATGCTGTAGTACAGGACCTGCTCCCTCTGTCGATACATGTTACACCCTGAACCTTTAACGGTCCAACTTACTCTTCTCAATAATCTCTCCTTGACTACTGATGTGCATCCCAATGAACTTTCTGGTTTACAGTTGCTCACAATTCCATCACAGTTTTGTTAAGGTGTAAAGAACAGATGTAATGACTCTGAATCTAGTTTGCATTTATGTGACCAAGGTTAGTAACCTGGACGAATAAATACTATCCTACAATTTAAAATACAGCACCAACAGAAGGGGAACACAAATGGACTAAAATCCACAGAGTAAACTGAAAAACAAACGTTATTAAAGATGCATAACTGCATGCATATTCATACCAACTGTTGTGTTTGAGATTCAGTAGACAGCTTAAGCTAATGTGTTTATTTGAGTATGGGACTATGACTGGTGCTAACTGGCCTCCCTCCCCTTTCTGTCTAATTAAAATAATCACAGTAAAGTGGGCTTGCTGTTGACATCTGCTTGGTTTTAGCCATTGTGACATATTGTCAGACACACTGTGGACCCAATGTTCAGTGCTGTGACCTTTCTGCTGCTCAGCATTTTCCCACTAGAGCCCCTCTTTCTTTTTCATCTCTCTCTCTGGCTATCTTTCTTCTCAGCAAATCTAACAGCCTGTCACCCCAGTCACTTTATTACTGGACATGCATACTGACTAAGGCCATGAGCACAATGAATGAAGTTTTATAGCTTCACATTGCAGGACATTTAACATGACCAAGCACAATTTCTGGCTAGCTGTCAGAACACGATATGTATTTGACGACAAAGCAACAAGGTAGCCTTGCACAGCACAAAATAGAGACACAACAACAGATTATTAAACACTCCAACCCTGCAGGTGGTAAGGATGCAACATTAACACAAAGACAGATTTGCTTCCTGTTACCTCGTTAAACAATAAATAAATAGCAACAAGCTGCAATTTGTGTTTGTACCTCAATGCGTTAAAGCTGGTAATATTGTACATTTTTCTTAATAAATATTTCTTTGCATTTGCTAGTGTATTGCTGTTTGAGGAAATAATTTAGCCTTTTATTAAAAACTCAAAAAATCTATGTATGTATTTGTGACCAGTTATTAACGTGGATTAAGTGTGGACCTAATTTCCTAACCTAACCTAACTTAGTCTGAGACTCCACTGAACTAGCTTTGCATGATTCACTCATTCAAAAAAAATCTTTATTTATTTTATACTGGCCATAAATGCAGCCCCTCAATTTATCCGACATTGTGGAAGCCTGCTGTGTGGCTGTAACGAGTGCTTAGACTGAGCGCTCTGTCCTTTTACCGGTGTGCTCTCGACGGCATGACAGCATTAGTAACGTAGCATGGACAATAGTGATATGGGGCACAGAATGTGAAGAAATTACTGTTTGTCAGACCACAAATGAGAAAAGAATTAGGTTGGAAAAATGACAGACGCTGCTGGAGTGTTGCTAGGGAATGGGCCTCACTGATTACTGTACAAGAGCACACAACTATTATAACTATCCACTGGTTTCGGTGAAACTAGGTCATATTTTATGGAGAAAATATTGCCTGGTCTTCCCTCTGATGTTACCCAGCTGGTCTGCTTCAACTTTCAGTGATTTACTAAGTTTCCTGATGGAAATATAGCCTTAACTACTTGCTGTTAGCTTCTTAGCAGTGCAGCTAACTTAGCCGTCCTATTAGGTAACTGCCAAGACTGGAAACTCAGAACACTGGGGCAGTGTTGGTGTTTAACATTATATCTCTAGTACAGGAGCTTTGAAGCACTGGTGCCTCGACCTCCCAGTCCATTAGCAGTAGGTAGCAGTGAGTGTCCATCAGTAAACTCTGTAAAATGAGTTGAGGAAGACATCGCATGACTTTAGAGCTAAAAACTGAAGATGCACTTTCTGCACCCAAAACATAAAGTCTTAGTCCTGACTCCTGAGCAGAGCAGTGTGTCCCTGTACTGTGGGCATGCTCAGCATCGCTCTGCCTGGAGAAGATAACCATATGAAGAAATCCATGACTAGCCGATACACATTGAGTATGTATTGTTTATGTTCACTCTGTTCTGCTGTATTGACATAAAATGCAAAAAAAACATTGGCCAATTGAGCAAACCACCCTGCCTGACACACACACACACACACACACACACCACATAAACAACAGAGAAACTTTGCAACATAATTGGAGGCATGCTGACCTTCTGCCACTATGACACTCCACTCCAATCTTGTAACTTTCTCTGGCATGCCTAAATAGTGTGTGACACTCTAAAGTGTGTGAAAGGCCTAAAGAACAGAGACCAAAGAAAGGTGAGAGAATGTGGGTATAGTAAAAGAATGAAGGAAGAGGAAAGCATAACCTGAGGCTTGCGGGTAAAAGCATTTAGCAGTACAAACAGAAAACGGATGGGAAACTGTGCCAACGGGCTGCTGACTTAACACGGTAGAAAGGAAGGAAAGAAAGAAGGGAGACAAGAGGAGTCGGGGGGGAATACCGTGGGCTGGAGGAAGACAATCAAACAGTCTCCTTCAGGGATGAACATAGCACTAAGTTTACACCCACTCTCAATGTATGCAGACTTGAATCCTTTCCTCGAACACATGCACGCTCTTACACACACCTCAATGAGTTTGATTTACAGAGGTATGCAGTGGGCTGGTATGTTAACAGAGGGCACAGAATGTCCTGCTTTATTTGGGTCTCATGACCTGCAGCAGTCCTAATGGTCTCATGATTTGATGGAGCAGGACAATGAAGGCCAGGGTGAAAGAAAAAAAACAAAACAACTCTTGCTTAGCCAGTGAAAAGCGAAAAGAACCTCCATGAGCTGCTCATTAATTTCCCCCTCAGCAAGAATCACAGAGATCTACTCAATTAAGCAGATAGTGTATGTCACACTGCTAGGATATGGACAGTTGGGAAAACTTAGTAGTTAAAATGTACAAACCTACTTAAATTGCACAGGGAGAGAGACTGAGTGTGTTTGTGCTAATGGGAGACAAGCAAACGCCTTGTGAGAATTCAGAGCTGTGAATTTCCTCTCTCAGCGCAACAGACGTTAAGAGGTTGGTGCATTGACTGCAGCCGACATCTGAAGGTGTGAAGAAACTGTGTTCATGTGCATGTTATGTATGTTCCTACTTAAACGTCCTACACATATATAGGAGATGAAAACATGTCTGTTGGGACTGGAGCCATTCCAGACTGGGAAAGAAGAAATGTTTCACCCTCAAGTGATATTAGAAGTGTGCATAGCTTTTTGCTGAATGTTGAATTGGGTGTATTTCAGTGTTATGCTATGTGAAATATGTAAATATAAACACTTAATAATTTGGCCATTACCAAATTGCCATTTTGTTTGCCTTTTTTAAATGGATAAACAAACACTGTGGTTCAGAGGTCTTAAAACAAAATGTTTTTAAGTAACTTTTCAGGTGTATTTAAGACAATTTCCTTGCAAAGAAAGAATTAAATGAATGATGATTTTTAGCCCTTTAGCCTATATCAGCACATTTCAGCTAGCAGATGTTTTTTCCAGTCTAACATTTCATAAGGACATAATTGCCTTTTATTTATAATAATAATAAAATAAACACATTTATAATACTTTGACTTAATAAAAACAATAATACAATGATTGGATGGAACTATGTGCACTGTTCACTGTGGTCAGTGTCAACTGGTGAATGTGTGTCCTTACCTTGTTAGGCTGACTAAAGAAGGGGTTGCCGGCACAACGCTGGTTGATGACATCTCTGATCAAATGTTTCTGTCCATTGTACGTGGTGAGGATGCTGATGCGGTCAGCGGGGTAGCCCAACAGACGCATGTACATGTACAAAGCCACTGCATATTCCGCCTCTCCCAGGTTCTTCACAGGAAGAGAGAGAAAAGGAGGGGTAAGATTATTATTATTAGATTTTAACTGAACAATATTGTATACAAGTAATGAGAGACGGAAGAAAACTAATGTTTGTTTAAGTGACCTCTAAACACCTATTCTATATCAATGTAGTAATTTTGTAGTGAATCAAAGCCCTAAGCTAAGCTGAATAACCCAAATACACACATCTCTCTTCCTATCAGCACTCCCAGGGCCGTCTGCTGTGTTTGACACCTTGCTGTTCTCATTCTCTTTCACTTTTAACATCTTGCTCTAGTCCTTCCTCGCCTGTCAAGTGTTTAACTTTTCAGCCAGATAAAAGCACACTAATTCACATATGAGTAGCCATCTGATTTGGGTTGGAATTAATTGCCTTAGACAGAGCTCAACACCACCACTAGCTAGGCAGGGACAAAATGTCCCAATCTAGGATTCCCTACACAGAAGCAAGGAGGGTGGATGGCATATTTCCACTGTGGCTTTGATATTCACTAAATGGGGAATAGCTGATTGTGTTTTTGGAAGTGTGACAAAAGTTGCACTACTCAGTCTGATGGCAGAATGTTATAGTATTACCAATATCATGACTTTTACATTTTAAGTAGGAAAGGCAAGATTTTGGGAGAATAGTTGCTAGTGGTTTCCACCTTAATGAACTTGAAAAATATATATATTTGGGCCGCACAAATCGAAATATTATCCAAATTGCAATATGGCCAAGTGCAATATGCAAGCCCAAATACATATTAATAGAAGCATACACAGAAAAAACAACAGTCTTAAACATCTAAACACACCCATTTGCTATTGATCTCTCATTTCCAATTCAAAATTTTTAGGCCCCAAGGACTTCATCACAAGCGTGTCCTCCAAATGTGACTAAATGTAAAGGCCAATGTTGCATTCATCATTCACCCACTTTACAATTAACAAATTCCTCAGCATGTACATGTGCATCCTGGCTCCAAGGCTTTATTCTGCCCTTCAAATGTGACCAAAAAAAGAAAAAACGGAAAGAAAAAAGCCAACAGTATGCATTATTCATCCAGTTTTAATTAATCCTGGACTGCAGCCCCACATCTTTGATAATAATTTATGCAGCTTTATCAACAGTTCCTGATCCAGCTGCACTGGAGTCAACACATCAAAAACAGTGACAGCCTTTGTTCTTCTTTCCTTATTACCTGTCTCCAAATGGCACAAATTCATAACTTTAATGACCACATTGTGTTTTTACTGATAGAAATTCAAGTTTGGCAGAAAATGTTAGGCTGGGCCTTTTTTTTTTTTTTTTTTAACACATTTATTGCCTTTATTAGATAAATGTAGCCAAAGAAAGACAGGACAGTGTGGGGAGAATGAGAGGGGATCACATGCAGCAAAGGATCGGCTTTTCAACCCAACCCATGCATATTTAACATAAATGTTAGGTTGCAGAAAAGGGTTTGAGGCAATGGCCCAAGGATATATGAGGTCCGGAGGGTATGGAAAGAGGGACAGAAACAGATGAGATAGAAGGTGAGAGAGGCTTGCACATCGTGGTCTAGCTACAAACACATTAGAGGTAATAAGAGGTATAAATCTAGATTACCTGCGAGTATGGCCCACAATGTTTTTTGCTCTTGTGTAATTTAAAAAGCAGCTTGTGAAGCAGAAGAGCATTCACTAACAAGCCTAGTGGCTGAGAAAAGCCATTTTCTAGCAACAGAAGATGTGGATTTAGATAAGCATCTTACCCTTTATGAGCCATTTGACAACTTGGGAAGTACTACCAACGGGCTGAGACTCAATGTGGAAAGTGCTTTAACAAATGAGGCAAATAAGCAGGAACAGACCTTTGGATTGTGGAGTGTTTGAGTGCATGCATATGTATTTGTGTGTACGATGGGTGTTCAGTGCAAGAGTGCAAAGCAGAGTTGTGGCAGTGTTTGTTCAGCTGTGACAGGCATTCAGCATACACTGGATACAATTGCTTCTCTAGTGTCCAATTTATCCCTTCTGGTTCCTAGGAAAGTGCATGCAAGTGTGTGAGAGTGTGTGCGATGAGTGTGTGTGTGCACGTCAGGCATAGTGAGTGATACTGGCAATTCCCCTGAGAAGCCTGAAAATGGCAACAGGCAAATGCAGTTGAGCTTCATGTGACATGGTGTCTCGAGAAGTGCACATGGTCTGGATTTAAGAACAATAAGAAGCTTCAGGGACATGAGCATGCACTGCTGACCACTACACTAAGATTCATAAAGCCCTGAGATATGTTCATTGGCCAGGCTGCTTATAAACAAATCAGTTTTTTCAGAACCACTAAATAATCAAGTTAAAGTAGCTGGTTTCATGTTACATTTCCCAATCATTTCAGAACTTAAAGTGTTACTTTCATACTGGATGGTTTGCGGTTATATTTGATGGCAACATTTGTGCTCCTGTTTTTTTTCCTCCCCTTTTTACACACCCCTATAAACCCCATCCCCTGCCCACACACAGTCTTGAGTGTCTCAGCAATGTCATGATGAAACACAATCTGGCTCCTGGTGTGAAGGACAAAGCCACTGGTCTGTGCTGGGCAGCCAGTCTTAGCTGCAGACTAAGCAGGGTTATGAATATATCATATGGACTGGTAGCTAAACCATTAAAATTTAAAAATGAATGAAGTGCTGTACAACAACCATTCCAGAGAAAATGGAGGCAAGGGAGGAATATGGTTCTCTGCTCTGATGGAACTAAGTGTGTATGACTGTGTATCTGTGTAAACGAGTGTATAAATTGTGCTTGAAAACAGCCCTGCACTGTGTAACACTAACTATTTTTGCTGTCCCAACATTGTGTATGTACCTGTGCTACAGATATACTGAATACATATATATACTGTGTTATATACTGGGTGTTCACAGTTCTCTAAGTTGAAGTAATGGGTATATAGTATATGGGCCTGTGTGGATTAATGCTGTGCAGCAGGGGTATTTATAATTCTAGTTTGGTTTAGTTAGTTTTCACAATTTATTAACCGTTTTTATTTTCTGGAAATTACTCATTTTAGTTGATTTTTGTGCTACTTCAGTATTAGTCAGTTTCATTTTTGTTGTGGATTTCTAAAGTAGAAATTGAGTATTTAACTGGTAGACAAACACACAGAGAGTAAGTTTTGTTATGTTCTACCTTCTCAGTACAAATAACAACTGCTGTGTGCACACCTATATATGTGTACTGTGGTGTGTACTACTACTGACCTGGTAGAAGTAAGGGTTGGGCTCAGATTCTCCCACTCCATTGAAGTCCTCCACGTTAATTAGCTGGAAGTCAAAGGTCAGGCCAGGGTTGGGCACCTGGAACTCAGGCAGCTGCTGGACATGAGGCAGGTTCCCCAAGTGTTTGTAGCGCCAGTTGTACAGGTTACACAGGCTGTGGGACAGGAAGATAGAAACATATAACACATAACATCACACCGTATGTCATTTCTGTGAGGAGACAGCACCAATCACTAAGACACTGCATCGTTTGTGAATTTAAGCTGCTCAAAACTGACTCTAGCTGTTTATTCTGTCAGTGTGACCCACCTTGCACGCGCACGGCCCTGTGCATCAAGGTCTATGGTGGGCACTCCCAGGCGCACAAATCGGGTAAAGAGAGACTGCTCCATGTTGGAGTACTTCTGGAAGGCCATGTTCTTGATAACAGGGGGCAACTGGTGGTGGTCTCCAATCATGATCCAACGCTTCAGCCTGCTGTAGCCATCCTCTGGGTTCTGTAGAGAGGGGAAGACAAAATAAGTGTAAGAACACCTGTTACAGAGAACACTTAAAGAAATACAGGGGTCTGTACTAAACTCAGTAAAATATTATATTTTCCATGTTGGATGTGTTAGGTCAGGTAGTTAATTAGGTTTCCCTTTGAAAAACCTTGGCCAAGGAAACGTACAGTGGATGTATCAATTACAATCTAACCTGTAATGTCTAACCTATGGCCACATGTGTAATGTCAGTGCACTATAACTACTCCATGTCGTACTATATTCAATTTTGTTTTTCTTTAATAACTTGACAATATTATATTGTATACATGAAATCAGATCTTCAGCAGAGAATAAAATTTGAGTTGCAGTAGTCCAGTACAGTTTTTTACTCATGTCTTTGTCACACTGACAGATTTTGCTGATTAGATGTGGTTTATTTGGAGCTTGACCCCAGACAAATCTGATATATCAACCATTGCAAGTCAAGATCTGATTTAATGACTGAAATCACTGATAAGGGCTGAATGGCTGGATAATGAAAGGGAATGGAAGAGAGGAGGAATAAACAGTTTCGCTGTGACGTATACCTGGCAGAGGGCTCTGACTGTGACTCACTAGAGAAAAGAGATAAAGAGAGGAGCTTCGGCGAGGTTGTTAGATGGGCTGATGTGCTTAATGATCTCATCTGTAAACAGACATTAGCACTATCTCGGACAATTAGGCACAACTACCAAAGACAAGCACCATTACTGTGTTTGGAGCCCATCAGTCAAACCTTAACAGAGAGAAAGCCTGAGTTAAGGATTAAACTAGACTAAGTGTTAGAACTCATGACAGTGCTTGGGTTTGGCAGTGAGTTTTCAGGCAAGGCATGACTGGTTTTCAATAGTTGAGATTTATAGCTAAAATATTATTATTATTATCATATATTATAATATCAAGTCATACGCTTGAGTATCATGAGCTAAGACTTAGACAGGGCAGGGTTACCTGTAACAGGAGGGGGATGAAGGTCTCGATCTCCAAAATCTGAGCAGCTTCTTCCATCAGGATGTTGTCATACTAATAAAGAGAATAAGCAATGTAAATTAAGTACTTAAGGTAAATGCATGAATGCGTGAATACCAACTCATCCAGGTTGTTTTCAACTGAGAAGAGTGTACCTTAAATCCCAGCTCCACCAGGTCATGACGTTTGAGTGCAGCATGTGTACAGGTCATGGCAATGATTTTGGCTTCCTTCACTAGCAGATACTTGGAGCGGTCCAGTCCACTCCTCAGCAGCTCAAACGCCCTAAACTCCTTCAGGGGTAGACAAGAGAGAATGTGAGGGTCAGGAGAAATGTTTTATAAAGAGATATGATTGGGAACACAAATAGCAAAAAGAAACCAAGAAATGAGCTCTGGAAAGAACTTATATATAAACGTATCTATTTGTGAGTTAAGTTTTGCTTTCATGTTTTATACAGTGGGGTTGTGAGGGGAAATTTAAATGGAATACTGACAGAATGATGGATGAATACTGTCAAAGATGATGGATAAGATTATTATCTAGGGTGAAATAATCAAACCTCTAAAAAGGGAAAAAGGCACAGTTCAATAATTAGATAAACAACCAATGCATCTTCCTGTCTACCCACATTTGACAAATGCAATGTAATGTTCGAAAAACTCTTAATCTTAACTCTTTAACGGTTAACGCTTTAATAGTAAGGGTGCTCCGATCAGTGTTTTTAAGGCCAATCACCAATCATCAATCACTAGAAGCAGTATCAGCGTATACGATCACTGGGTCTAATTAAAGCCTTATTTTTATTTAGCACGCACACATCACACCTCTGTCTCACACACGCTGGCTTGACCCACCCTGCCTCTCTCTGCCATTGTCTCCATATACAGGCTGTATGTGTCTCCAATACTTTGTTTGTCAGCAGTAAGTTTTATAAAGTTGCCCAAGAAACGCAACTCACATTTGAAATGTTTTCACAACAGCAGATGAGCCGCGCATTAATCAAGAGGTCCGTTAATGGCATCGCCTATCGAAAATGAAACTGTTGATTTACCTGCTCTGTGTGAGTACAATATCCACCAGATAATGTCTCTCTCTCTCAGTTTCTCTGCAAAATACTAAAACGAGTTCCTGGCCATTAATATACCGGTGGCCCGCCAAAGTAAATCTATGTGTCAAACACGGAATAACTTTCCTGTGGAGTAAAATAAATGAATCTTCTGATCGCCGTTGATAGAGATTCCCTGGAGATGCCCCATAACTCCAAAATACAGGACAGTCACAAAAGATAAAGAAATAAAGATGATTAGCAACCTTCCCACCTTTTAATTAAACATTATCAGCATAATCCCTCGGCTTTCTATTCTCATTAGGAAACACAATCTACTCTTTTCCCATGATGCACTGATACAGAAGCCAGCCAGCCAGCCAGCCACTCTCTGAGGAGACTATACTGGGTGTAGTTTGCTGTTCAATAACTGCAGCTTGAAGAACCCTTTAGCACAGATTTTCTTACATGACTTAGACTCGAATGGAAAATTTAGGGGGCAGTTTGTAAAAAAAGAATCAGTTCACTTGAGAGTGCCGATATCATGGCACTATAAAAACCACACTGTGGGGCAGTGAAACGCAGAGGGGGAATATGGGTAAACAGGCATGCTATTTTCAGGTTGCCACACTAGCTGTGTAGGGGTAGGGAAGGGAGAGAGGGAGGAGGACGGAAGAAGTAGGCGACGGTAGAAGTAGGCTTGGACAGCGCTGGGGTATAAATATTTGATGTGTTACTATTTTAGCATTAATATTAAACCGATCAAAACATGCAATATTGATGAGATCTATTCTTAACCCCCATGGCTCCAGAGCAGTTGAAGGGTGAAATCAAGATGGTAAGGATTCATGGATACTGAGAAGAGAGGGAAGAGAGCAAAAAAAAGTAAACAGAGGCAAAGATGTGGTGGGACTGCAGAGGAGGAAACAGGAGATGTCTATACAGGAGGAACCCAAGAGGCACATTGTATATCTGTCTGTCTAGCAATAAATTCTTGGGTTATTCCTATGACAGCTTATTCCAAACTGCTTTTACATTTGAAAAGGCAGACAGATAAGCAAATTCAGCAGAATGTTGCTTTGTCTACCCTGCACCACAGGCAGCAATACCTCTTAATGGGTGTACAGATTTCACTGCAGCATGGGTGAGGCTGAGGGAGGAGGGAGAGGTGCCGTGATGCAGTGATACAGAGGCCAGCCAGATAAATCAAGGTCACCACACATGTTGGGATATTACCTCCAGCCAATAACTTCTTTATTGCTTTTCTGAGACCTTCTTGGTGTTCCCATAAATCTGAAATGTTATTGTTATCCCTACAGAGATACTCGATGGGCTGAGGAGGAGTGATACATTCAGCCATGTGTTTGTGAGTGCGAAAGAGTGTGAAAAAAGTGACAGAGTAGATAAAAGATAAGTACTAAGCCTTCATAACTTTGTTGTACCACTTATCTTTTCAAAAAGGGTTAGAAATCATATCTACAAGTACTGTTAAGTATCTTATATAATGATTCACTATATCAACTGAAGCAAAGAGACAGGTAATGACAAAAACGTAGAGATGCAAAAGTGGCAGAAGATATGCTTATGAGCAGACATATCCACAAAGACAGTGTCTGACCAATCACTGTTAATCTACAACAACCTGTCACTGTGGTGGCCCGGAAAGCACAGTTACTTGTGTATGGGAGATTGTGCAACACCGGGACACACAGCTGGTCTGTAAGTACGATCGAATACAGCTGCCATAGTCTGTGTGTTTGAGTAAAAGAAAGAAAGAGCTGTATACATTTACCTCAGATAAGTAGGAGTGTGTGTGTGTGTGTGTGTGTGTGTGTGAGTGTGTGTGAGAGAGAGAGCGAGAGCGAGAGAGAGAGAGAGAGAGACAGTCTTACCTCCAACTGGGTAAATATTTTCTTGATGTGGCGGTAGCAGCCCTCTGCGATGTCCATGTCCTCTTCATATGACCGTCCCTTGAAAACAGGCTGCGGGGCATTGGAGAAGTACTTGTGGAAGGGAAAGTGTGCAGCCACAGCTTGCACCTCCACTTTCTTGCCTTGTTTAGGCCTGACTTTACTCATGTACTCTTCCCATCGAGATATCACCTGTAGTTTGGGGGGGGGAAGAGAGCAGACATTCAGTAACCTCTACATGTTAAGAGGCTGAGCGCCAGTTATGATAGTCTGTGTTTAGAGAATGCTATAGAATCCCACACATCATCGTGGCTTGTATGAATTTGGGTTCTTTGTCACTGATGCCTGTCTGAGGTCTGTCAAAATGCTGTATGCACAGTGGGTATTCTGCATGGCTCTGCCCAGCCTAAATGGTGCATGCTGTTTTTTCTCTATAATTATTTGACCATAGCAAAAAATAAAAAAATACATTACACACAAATTAACAAATGACAACAGATAGCCTCACTTGTATAAAGCTACCCCTGCTGAGCGTCTAATAAACCAGCTTCAACCAAACAGCAGGGTAGCCTAGTTCTATAAATACTTTACCCCTGTGAAAAACAACTTTATGGATAACATTAGTAAGTCTGCCAGAGGACTCAGCTTAATTATGTGTTAAGTCTCTGTTTTTATGGACTATTAAGACCACCATTAACACATGTCTACATGTGCTTTGTTATCATTGATGACTTACAGACTAGTCTGCTCATGGTCACAGATTCACCATGCTAACAACTTGACAGTTACATCTTCAAATGTCACAGAACTACACTGTTGGCAAGTTTTCAGACCTAAAATAAACACAAGAACTCAGCTAAAAAGAAGTATGGGTTAAGAAACCAATCTCTATGCAACACCAGATTAATGAGGTGTGTAATATGGTGTGTGTGAGAGAGACAACTGACAGACTAGGCAACGTGCAAAAAAGGCAGCATGACTATGACCAGACGTGAACTCTTACACTATAGCTCAGGTAACGGCCATGGAATCCAAGTAATTGCTAAGATTTTAAGTCACAAAATAACTATCTGCTATAGGATGTAGTTTGAGCTATGATTACCACTAAAACTATGTCGCTGGGATCTCTACACTGTTTTTATAGGTCTCACATTGCTGTTATGATGCGATACTTGACTCTTTTTTTTCCCCCCAGAAGAGGAAAAGGCTGGATATTAACTTGAGCTCCTCTCAACACCCAAGATGACAGCTACATCCTGCACTTCTCCATGTTACAAATGTCAATAATATCTATTTTAGAATCCTTCTAATGAAGCATGGGAGTGCAAGTAATTGTCTGCAGTGGCATTTCTCTTGCAGCCTGAGAGGACAGTGATAATTAGGTGACAGGAATAAACAGCAAGAGTTGAGACTGTTTCTAGGTATTTGCAGTGTAGGCAAAAATTGCAGCGAGTCTGGGGAATAGAAACTTTAATACTGTCTGGATTTGATTGGCATGAATATGTCTGAGGAACAGGACAGACAGTATAGAAATCCATTCTAATTAATTCTGCAAAATATCTCCTGATACCCTTCTCTCTCTCTCTCTCTCGCCCTCTCTCTGTAAATCAATATTACTATCCAAACACAAATTTCAAGGAAGTTTAGAGGCTTAATAGTAGGACAGAGAGAAGTGTCTGACTTTTGAAAGATATGTTTTGTTAAACCTGTATGCAATTATGAGTTGTTTTTGGACATTGCACTTAGTTTTAGCTTGATGAAATATTATGCACAATGTGAACCAATACTTTATATAGTATATACAATATATACCACATACGTCAATTATATTGACAATTACAGTTTGTGACTTTTCCCTCTGCAGATTGTAGATTACCTGGTAGAGGTAGAAGTGTCCAGCAGTCTCACAGGTATATGAAACATCTCCTGGGACATCCAAGCTCTCCTGTAACCTTCCCACCTCTCTGAGGAGCTCCAGTCTTCTGGCTAGGACATAGTTTACCCTGCCATATCTGGAGACAGACAGCAGTGCACAGTTAGTCAACAATCCAAACGGTTTACCTTTTTGTACAGGGATACAGATAAAATCATCTCAAGCAACTGTCAAGTAATGACACAATGATATATGATAAGATATGCTGATTTGAGGGAAACGATTTTACCAACTTCTGGGTGTTTCATGTTTGTTAACACAGATACAGATCATGGTCTCATTCATTCAAAAAGACACTGACTTAGTTAATGCTGTTACTCTTAATTTATTATTATATATTTATATTATTATTATATTATAACTTATGTGAGTGATCAGATTGAGTCTTGTATGTTCCTGTGCTCCAGCATCAACTTCACTGCAAAACAACTGGTGTCACGACCCGGGTTCGGCACCCTACATGCTGGTGTGGTAACCCAGAGAGAGACCTCAGACAAATGGCATATAACAAACAGGTGACATAACGTTTCTTCCTATTGTGGATTCAGTTTCTGATTTTAATCCGACTGTGGCATAGATGAGAATGAATGGATTAATAGAACAGAGTTAATCTTGATCTGACGATGGTTCTGTGATTGTTGAGTTTATTGTGTGGAATTGTGGTTGTAATTACCGCTATTGTGTTTGTGCCCTTTGTGGAGAGCAAGCAGGTGACCAAAAGCCTGGTCATCAGTTAAGTACAGTAGGTAAAATATTTAAAATATATTGTAAATATGACCCAAGGGAGTACAGAAGTTTAAAGAGAGCAATGGCTGTCCTTGACTGTACACAAGGTTTGTTTAATTCCTACCATGCATCCTATTGTGTGGCTAAACAATACTGCTTAAAAGCAACAAAGAGACAAGCAGCACATACATAAAGACAGGAAGTGGGAGGGGTCACCGGGTAACACTAGAGGTGAATTCTATTTTTAGACCCTCTGCAAAGATCCTCAGTCAGCAGATGACTCAAAGACAATCACAGTGCTGTGCCTGTTTGGCCTGAATAAAATTTAATAAAAATAGGGAGTGACCTTGCTTCCCAGGATGGCAGACATGTAAAGCATTCTGTTACTGAGACAAAAAAACGCAGAATAGATACACAGGTGTGAACAGCAGCATTATCTAGAGGATTGTTATTTTTTTTTTTTCCAGTAAATATAAACCTTGCAGACAACAGCACTAACTGTGCTTGAACATTAATGAGGACGCCGCATTTAATTTCCACCAAGAGCGAATGTGAGATTTCCTTGACCCCAAGTTTATCTAGAACATAGGGTACAAATATAGACTGTCCAAAACTAAACATACAACCAAGACATTTTAGAAGATGTCTCCTATACCGCAGCCAACTTGCACTCTCAAAATCTCATTAAAACAGCAGAAAATTCATCATAAAATGCAGGGAGGCATTGTTAATTCATGGTGCTGTAGCTTTCCCTTTGTTAGGCATTCGGAGGAGCACTGGCTTCCACTTTGTCATCTCATATACAGTGTTAATTAAAACTCTCTGGCTCTCTCCTCTCGCTGGTGTCAGTGGGGTGGAAGGAGTGTGGAGTCTGCATGTTGTTATGAGGCAGGCGGGAACATATTAAATGCTGCTAGCTAACGCTTTCTTTTATGTCTGTGATGCTGTATAATTTAAGAATGTAACAGAGTGCTTCCATGTTCAGACCCCAGTTCCCATACACTGATATTCATACTACAGTCATACACTGTGCAGTAGTCATACACAGTATAGCAAATGAGCATAATGCATCACCCCTCCCTTCCTCCTCTGGAAGTGTTGCTAAGAGCTATAGGGTGCAATTTGCTCAGTGCCACAGATGGATAAGGTGGTAATTAAAAATGTAGGCTATAAGGAAACTTTAAATAGTAACAGCATAAAAACGTAATTAATATTCAATAATACTGAGCTATTTATATTCAGGAGCTGGCTCAAAAGCTTTGCTAGTAAAAAAAAGAAAGTCTGGCTGATTCTTCTAATAATAGTGTTAAATATAGCAGCAGTCATGTGGAACTGTAAATGTTTGGGGTATCTTGAGATAATCTCCCTTTCTCAAGTCTGTCATGAGTGCTGAAAGTGTGCTCTTTTCCCGTCTCACCATGTCTCAGTAGTAAGGTCTGAGTCACTATCCTTCAAGGCATCTCACACAGACACACACAGCACAGTTTACACAAAGACGTGGGTGAGAGAGCTGGAAACTACTGGGGCTTCCTTAACAGGACTCTAGTGGTTCTTATCTGAGGCCATTTGTTCAGTGTCCTGCCACCAGTGCTACACAAAGAAAATTCTAAAACAACTAGTGTCAACAGTTTATGTTGGTTTTATTAGGTAATGTCACAGATTTATGAGGGCTCCTTCCTGACCTGAACTAAATAAACATTCTAACAGTATTAAAAACCTGAAATTAAATGTATTTATTCATGTAATTAGTTATTTTGTGTATTTATTCATTTAATTATTAATTTATTTTGTGTATTTATTCATTTAATTATTCAGTCATGTTGTCAATTAATTATTCATTGAAAAGTCCCAATGTATCCCTGAGTTTGGAAAATGACAACATTACAAAACCAAATTCCCTGTTCAACTTATATCAAAGGTCACAAACATTTTAACATTTACATTATTTGTACATTACATTAAATATTGTGGATCATATTTTTGCTAATATTTATTTGTTTAATGTACCTGTTTTCATCAAGGCATCAACAATAATTATTATAAAAAAAATATACAGAAGGTCAGTTCTTGCGGTGCAGAGCAATGATGAAAGGGTTAATCAGACAGGAATTGCCTCTGAGTGCAGGGCTGCAGGGAGAGATCCCTTTCACTGGAAGAACGGCCTGAGAGGCCAACGATGCCTAATGAAGATAAACCTGGTCCATGGCCTGGCATATGGGAGTATCGAGTAGCCCTGTCACTGTGTTGGCTCATACTAAGTATGTATGCGGACAGCTGGGCTGCTTTTGTGTATGTGTGTGTGTTGTCTGCTTTGATCAAACAGCAGCAAATATGCACTTCTCCACATACTTGTGTGAATTCAAGTTGTCTTCATTTCACATATGCATTCATGTTTGTTTAGGAGCATCAATGTCTGTGTGTGTTCTCTCTCCACCTGCCCCTTGCTGTCCTCACCTGCTGAAGTCCTTCTCAGTCTCCAGCTCCTCTTCTCCGTGGCCCAGACGCAGGAGGTGGCGTTCGTCAATGTCTAGAGCCATGATCTTTTCAAACAGCTGGTTCAGAGCCTGGTGTAGAATGAACCGTGACAAGTAAACATGATCAGATGTGTGTATGCTTTTCATCTATCAAAAGTACTTAACTTTTATTTAGTGTGCTATGAAGCAAGTGTCCATTCCTGTAAAAGGAATATAAATGCAACTCAACTATTAAAGCTTTCCATCATTATATCTAGCTATTTTTCTTGTGGCCAAGGTTGCTTTTGGCAGGCTTCCAAATTAAATGGGGGGGGGCGAGAGAGAGACTGACTGAGGCACAAGGCTTAGATTTAAAATTTTCCTCCATGATTTGCATACTACGACTACAGCCTGATTAATGGGCAGTTCTGAGTGCAAACTCTAAATTCTCCAGACAGCTTCACTGTTTTTTAAGCAGGGTGTTGGGGAAACTTTTCAGAGATCTGAGATGTGATGTGTGTGTGGTGGGTTAACCTGGTTTGAATGTGTGACTATGAGCGTCCTCTGCTCAGGAAAATTGTGATAGAGGTTTGAGATGATCTGAACGGCAACATCTGTCTTTCCGGTTCCTGGTGGTCCAACAACCTAAAGACAAAGGGCGGTGTGAGAAAAGAAATCAAAAAAATGTTAACATAAAGAAGCCCAAGAGATGATAAGCACGCCTTGGAGACACCCTAGTGGTTGTGACAGCTCGGCCATGGACATGTCAGAACTGGCTAGGCAGGTGCCTCATGGTTAGCAGTGCACAGATAAACCCAGTGCAACAAGGATGTGGTGTTGCCTGGCATGCCAAGGCCCAGTGACTGTACAGGGGGGGGCAAAGACAGAGAGCTACTGAAAACAGAGAAAAGCTGTAAGAGGCATAAGTAATTTTTCAAGCCTCCCTTTTGTACTTGTCATCTAAATGCAAGTAGAACTTCATCTCTGTTTACAAGTTACAATGATAATATGCCTCCTATTTACATCTAATTTACTAAATAAATATTCATGAAAGCTTGGTCTTAGTATGGGTATCTCAGGTGAGTAATTTCTGTTTTAATAGTAAGCACAATTAGATATTCCTGCATAAATTAGTACATAATCAGCTCCTTGGTTTCCCTACATGAAAGCCAAGCAAGGCAGACCGGGAGGTAGTGTGTGTTTGTTACGGCTGCTAACGACCGTGACATATGCCAAGAAGGAGGGTTAGAGGGGTTGATGAGAGGAGCGGAGAAAGGCATGCATGCAGAGTTGTTTTACGACTCTGCTTACTTGCCTTATTTATCTCGGCAAGCTGCACAATAAATAACTCAGACCTCTCAGCCAGCTTCCAATCACCACATCAGAATGGCACTTTTGTCAAAACAGTGCGATAACAACAGCACATTGGAATGACATCGATGTGGATGTGCGTATGGACTGGGTGTGTCTATAGCTGTAATCCTATGTCAATTTATGTGTAGTTGACTATTTTATTGGCAATGCCAAAATTACAGAGGGTTTTAGGGAAATGTGTCATCCCACTGTATGAATGATGGAGACAGGGACACCAAAGAGCAGCATATTTACTGGTGAGGGAATTCCCTTGGTGTACATCACTAAGATTAATGGCTGCAAATCTTTGGCTTATAACAGCGAGCTTGAACAGTATGCACCTGCAGTATCAGCATTCACTAGTGACTAGAGGCTGGTCCCAGACAGCAACGAACCAAAGGATATGAATGATGACTTTATAGGATGGGTTTAAAACATAGCTTCTCCTCAAAATTAAGTATTAAGTAATAGAATAAAGCTAGATATGAAAAACAAAATGAAACATTAGGCTGTGTGTGGCATTCAAATTCATAAAGTATTTTTCTGTACTGCTATGAACTTAATCTTCCAAGCAAAAATAAACAGGTGCAGGGTGACTCAACAAATATTGAAATCCAGATATCCATGATTACTAGTCATTGGAAGCTGCTGAAATGTGACAATTTTTAAAAAGATCATTTATTTTGGCAGATTTTCCTTAGGAGGCCTCCATTCAATCTTCTGTAGGGTTAGGGTTAGAAAGAGAAATCTATACAATAAAACCAGAAATGAACCTTACCATGGTGAGTCCTGGCTGCATCCCGGCTCGAATGGCTTCAATCTGAGTAGGGGTGAACTGAATCGTATTCCTGTAAAAGAATTTACATTGCTGATATTAATATATCAAAGTAATTAGTTGGAAATACTGAAATACTGCCTTGACAGTATAAACACATATCTGTTCAATTGCTTTCTTTTTCTTTTTTTTAAAACAGGCTGTATGCCTTAATGTTGTGATGACGACCTTTAAAAATTGTTAAACCTAGGCTTCTCCAAGGACATGTTGTTGCTATCAAGATTTAAATATCAAAGTGCGAACTAAAAATTCTAAAACACAGCAAGATTAATCTTAAATTCTCATGAAGGGCAATTATTTTGTTGGGTTATAATTAGTACAGGAATATTAATGCCTTTTCTGTTCATCTTTAATTGCATAAAAAGTTTCATCTGTAAGTGTAGGCATAACAACAACCACAATAGCACCATAACATTACATGGCAAACAAGTCAGAAGAGATACCATGGAGACAAGCGCAGCAAAACAAATCAAAATAGTCAGGCCCAGAGTAAGGCACCAATAATAAGCATTGGACTAGTGCCTGTGTGGTGTCTTATACTGAAAAGATGTTTTGGATAGAAGTTAAAGACTTCAAGTAAGCAACACACACTTTGACACACAACTCAAAAGTGAGTGATACTGTACTATATATTGTAGGTAGAGTTCTAGTTAAGATATAACTTTCTGTAAAGAGGTCAGTACACTGACTTCACTTTTTGACCCATAATAATGTTAAGTTGTAAATAGAAAAGGCATGAGTAATTGCCCTGTCCTCTCACCGTTTGGGTTGATTGTAGGGATATGGCCCCCGGTTGGGGGTAACATAAGGCTCAACGATCAAGGTCATGTCTTCCTCTTTGTCTTCCACTTCTTCATCAGCCTTTCTTTTCTTCCCTTTGTCCGTTTTATTTGAGATGGGAAACTTGATTCTGGTAAAAAAAAAAAAAAAAAAGGAAGGAGGATATAATTTAATAAAATATGTAGTACAGTGACATCAATTGTATCTAGTAGGCAAATTATACAACAGCTAGTAAACACAATGCTTACTGTATGTTTATATGTTTACTTGGAATTAAATCAACTCCAACAAGACTCTTTATCATTCAATTACTGGATCTTTGACTTTCACCTGAAAGGGAAGACTTGCAGTTCGGGGTTCTCCTCAGTGACCTTTATGGTGTAACCAGGGAAACATGAGCGCAAATGGTCCAGTGACAGAAAGGTGTCATTGAAGTCCAATGTGGAGATCTGGTTAGGCATTTTGGAGTAGTGGGCGCTGCCTGGGTCGCCATAGCCTAGGATAATGTCATGAAGCCAGTCTGGGACGACACACTCTGTGTTCATCAGGTTTCTGATGGTCTCTAGCACTGCCTAAAATAGAGAGACGGATAAGTGTGTGACAGACATCAAACCAATAGATTGCAAAGTTAAAAAAAGAAAAAAGGAAAAAAAAGAAAGAATAATTTGAGTGAGAAAAACTGAATGAGGCACATTAGACAACAACAATAACAACCATCCCACAAGAGGGGGTTTAGCTGGATAAGAATAGCTTTGTGGTGGGCTGATGGGACAGCAGGTAATTTGTATGTCTGTCAATTACATTTTAATGAGCTGCAACCTGTCTAATACCCGGAGCATCAAACATTGGGTAGGGAAACATGTTTACTTTTATCTGTGTCACACATCAAAGATTGAGACGAGTGTTTCTTGAATACCCATTAGTTCCTGTGCTTTTCAAACTCAAAAAAAAAAAAAAAAAAAAAAAAACACTTCAAAATCATCTGTTATTGCTCTGGCTGTGAAAAACAGAAATGGGTGTGGGGAATAGGAAATTGCAGATTTTACAAAGCCATAATTAGAAGCTCTCAAATAAAGAGCATGATAAAAAAGCAAAAAGGTTTTGTGCATGATTAACATTCTTTAAAAAAAAAAAGTTGAACAAAATGGAGCAAAACAACAAGAGACAGAATTGCATGGATAACTTTATAATGACTCACAAAGAACTTTAATATCTGTGAAAATATCAACCTGGACTTAGCTTTCTTAACAGCAGGGTTCCGCTGAGGGCACCTGTGTGTTACTTTCTAAATTAAGTGCAGTGCAATGTTAGAGGGATACACATCACATGAATATCCAGTGAGAAGTGTCTCTCACTGGGATCACTGGGAGGGCCTTGAGTGGGTGGTAATCTCAGAGTTGCCCTAGCCCCAACCTTACAGCTGCAATACCCAAGGGAGTATAATATGTGCGATACATCACTCTGGGGTGGTGTTGGTAGGACCAAAGCTCAAGGTCTGAAGATAGAGCACTCAACTACAATGTACAGTGAGGGCTGATCTGTGTGTGTGGTCCAAACCTTGAAATTGTTCTCCTTGGGTTTACGTCTCATGATGATGTTGAAAGTCTCATATGGGTCTTCGGTGCTGCTCTGAATACTGCTGGTCATGTCCTGTTGATACTGGTTCGGGTCCAGCCACACACGGAACGTTCTGGCATCTCCTCGCAGTTTAGGCTTTGGATCAGGCCCTAGACCAGAGTGGTTGGGAGAATACTTGTTACAGCAACTGAGTCATGATAACATTTAGTGATAAATGTAGAAGTAATCTTAATATGGTTGCCTTTAAATAAGTTGTGGTAGACTTATTAGTGAGGAGCAATATGTGTAGGTTATGTATTGATTGTTTTAGCATATTTTAGCAATTTAGATATTTATTTATTCATAATTTTAGCATGTTTTAGCAAATTGCCTTTCTGGGGACAACTTACTTTTCTTAACTAAACAGGACAATAAAGCAGAAAACTAACATAAATTGTTAATATTAAAAGTGATTTTAAATCAGCCAATTCAAAAACCCTGATATCAATAATAATTTCCATCCTTTCCTTACATTAAAAAATAAAACCCTTTAAAAAAAGAGCTTACTCTGGCTTGCCTTGCTACAGTACTATGACTCCTCAGGAAAAGGAATTACATGTAGACGTTTGACTGACAGGCCACAGGCTTTAGGCTTACTCCCAATGGGTGCATGAGTGGTGCAGCAAGTGAAGCTTTCACAGATGTCTAAATAGATTCTTGTATGGAGCTGCAGGGCACAGAGCAGGAGAGTGAAAGTCAATCCTGTTGGCCTGGTGTGCGTGTGCCCACCAATGTGTACATCTGTCTGTGTGCACATGTGTACAGCTATGTGGGGATCATCAAATCCCCTTTACTAAAATGAGTGTGGCGATAGCTTAAGAGTGGAAGCTACACCCTCAACACCACAGGATAACAATGTGGACAGCTGGGCCGAGGTGGGGGTGTGTGTGTGCGCGCGTGTGTGTGTGTGAGCAGTTAAAACAAGTATGTGCCATTGTATTAAACTGTCAGTCATTAAAAGGATGGATTAAATGAATACATTACTTAAGCGGAGATGCATTGCATTTGTTCATCACGGAATTTGTGTTTGTAACATCATATTTTACACAAATATGGCATATTTGAGCAATACAGACTGTATGCAAGTCAATTATTAGTGTCTAGAAATGCATCTCTCAGCTTGTGTCTTTCCCCACCTCCACCAAGTGCCCAGTGATTTATGTGACATCATCCCACCACCCAGTTAGCCAGAGTACCACTTAGCCCTGTTGGGGATCTGAAAGTTTAACCAAGCCGACATTGGCAGGGCATATTCCCTGGCATTTAGAAAGCCCTGCCCTCTGCATATTTAATCCAAACAGATGAGGGAGGATAGGGGAAAGGGTGCTTCTGTGCATGGACACATGTTCCCGCAGGGGAAACACTTAGAATAGCAGGGCTGCAGGGTAACTTAGGTAAACCAACCACTCAGAGAGACTGCTTTGGGCTGTGGGAAAGAACATGACATGGTAAATAGAGGAGATCATGTTACTGTATAAACATATTTTACTTTCCAGGAAAGACCAGAGATTTGAATTTGGTCTGAGGGGATTCCTCCTGTGTGGACACACAAACAAAACAGACTCTCTGAGTCTACTGACAGCAAATTGTAAGGTTTTTACTAGCAAAATATAGTAGCTTACAGATAGAATTTCATGCTGTGTTTTCTATTGCTAGAACACACATTGTTGCTGGCAATGCCTTGTTTCAGAAACAGAGGTGAGTGTTTCCTATATGAGAGATTACTGTATTCTGCAGGACAAGTACATTTGGTATTCTCTTACAGAAATCCTCTATCCAGATATAGCCAACACAGCTCTTCAGTTAAATCCAATAAATAAAGTAGAGGGCAGGGCTTAAAGCTCTCAGGTGTTGATGTCAACCCCAGGTTAATGGAATGTTAATGTGAACAGGTCAGGTCTCACAGTGAGTGTCACCATGACAACACCAGTCTGACCCTCCCTTGAGGATCTGTGGGTGGGGATGATTGTGTATAAGAGGTCTTATGGGTGGATGTGTGTGTGTGTGTGTGTGTGTGTGTGTGTGTGTGTGTGTGTGTGTGTGTGTGTGTCGGCAGGGGGGCATATGAGCATACCTTCTTCAATGACGCGTCCCTTGTCATCCAGCATACCCTGCACCTCGCAGCCTCTCACATACACCAGTCCAGTCTGCTCCACAAAGGGCTGGCGCCGGTCGAAGCGTGTGCCGTAGGGCAGGTTGGGCCGCACCGTGATCAGAAAGCAAACATCATGCTTTCGCAGTCCTACAGGGAAAGAGGTTGGAGAGACAGGTTAGAGAAAGATAGAGAGGAAAGAAATGGTTTTAAAAACAGAGCAAGAGAGAAAAGTACACAGGGAGAAACTGAGGTAATGGGGGGAGTGAGACAGAATTTGGAGATGCAAGAGAAACCACCCTGTCAGCATTTGCCTGATCTTTAAAACATGAAGCACTAATTATACAATAGGGAAATGGCTAGTGGATGGAAGGAAGTAATACTTCATACCTCCACTGAATTACAAGAAAGAAAGTAGTAGTGGCTATAAAGAAAGTGAAGACATCAATTTGGGATATATTAGGCATACTTTCTTTTTTTTTTTTTTTAAATGCAGTAATCCACGCTATTACTTCTACAGCACTTGCCCAATGACAGAACACACTTTTTCTATATTAATTAGTGAATTTATCCCTTTGCATACATTGGTGTGTGAACATATCCTATATTTTTCTCTGGAGAGCTATAGCAATCAGCTTGCCGAAAGGCTTCATTGTGCTTTCTATGTTCCCAGTGAATCAATGTCTTTCAAGGCTGACAAGCTCCTGTTAACATTATCTACAATGCCCATCTGCCACACGGACAGATAGAGAGAAAAACGATCAGAAAGTAAAACTCAGCGGTAGAAGCTACACGGAAATAGCATGTCTTTGCTGAGACATGAGGTAGGTAAGGTTCATGAGTCAAGGCCCAGTGGAATGGAAGAGAGTGGAGAGGGAAGATTTTATTGAGGTTATAAACTGCTTACAATGAGGATTGTTAGAAAACACAATAAGAGACAACACAGGAAAAGAAAGGGTGTAGCAAGGCAAGATGAAAGAGGGAGGTAGTGAAAGTCTTAAGGCGTTGATTAATTTTTTTTTTGTTAATATTCCATTCCCATTATCCTTTGTGAGTAAAAACATAAATTAATAGAGAATGAAGCATAGCTAGATTAGCATAAGCAATATAAATGGTGGACAGACAAATCCAAAAAGTGATGAAAATACATAAAAAATATTGATCATAAAACGCTCTACCAATGAACTATTACCTTCCCACTCATGCTTGATATGATCTTGTACATTGAGGTTAACGGTAACATCGGCTCGCACACGGGCAGGCCAGCTCTCTCCGATGTTGGGCTTGGCAACCTCTACTATGGAAAAAGAGGTGATCGTCTGAGCCATCCTGGCCCAGCCCCCAAATACCACTCCGCCGTACTCTGATTGCCTGTGTAGAGGGACAGACACAACAAGCAGTTAGACAAGCGCTGTGGGCTGTTGTCAAGATTGAAATCAGTCGGATTTAGGGCAGCACATGGCACTACTGCTTACTTATTTACTTTTGCAGGAACAACAAGCAAGTTGCTACATCACTTGACATAATGGGAGCACTTATTATGTTAAGCAATGGGTTTCGAAATGTGGTGTACCAAATGTCACAGTCTTTTAATAAAATATTATCACTGCTCCATGCCACCATGTGAGAGGTAGACAGGATAATAATCTTCATACACTGAAGTAAAAAGACAAAGTGTGGTGTTACTGAGTTAATCATAGAAATGTGTTCTACTTATGCAGAAAAAGACACAAGAGATGCTCATCAGTGTGTGTGTGAAAATAACTTTAAAGTCAGAACCTGTAAGTTCTTTATGATGATAATAATTTAAAATGTTATTCTAACTATGATTATTGCCATGAAACTTTTACTACTTCCTCTTGTGTATCCACCACGAGCATTTCACTGCACACTTTGAAAATATGAGTATATGGCAAATAAATCTTTGAACCTAATGCCTTTAGCTCAGGTTTACTAACAATTTCTTCAGACCTTCGGTGTTTCAAAGAGAGGTACGATTATGTGATATTTACAGACATGTAATTTAATTTAATACTTGTTTAAACATGTATAAAAATGCCTGTACTAAGAAAATTATACGACATTCTGGATCAGGTTTTCCTCTAGCTTGACAGAAGTGAGGAGATCTCACCATGGTTTCATACGCCACACCACATCTTCTATGTCCTGTCTGATCTCATAGGTGGACTCCAGACGAAAGAGGTTAAAGTTCCTCAACAGGTAGTCATGGAGGGTCAGGAACTGGAGATTCAGCTTGGGTAGTGCTAGACAGCCTGAGAAGGCAAACCAAGGAACAGAGAGAGACGGAGTGAATAACAATCTACATATGTGAGTAATTACACACGTACACACCCACATAAACACAAACTTACAATTAGTCAATAAAAGGTCATAATATTATTTTCTATAAGATTACAAAAAAAGGTTAAATGGCCTAATATATATGAAGCTATCTCTGTAATATCACCAGTGTAAATATGTTGCTTCTACAGACTTGTAGATGTCAATGTCTCTGTGTTACAGCTAAAGAGTAATATGCTTAAGGGATGTTGCTTGAATGGTAAGTTGTATGTGAGTTGTTGAAGGTGTCCTTGCCAACTAAAGAGGATTCCCCAAGAGAGAGGTGCCAGTTTAGAGCCAGATGAGTGCCCTTAGGATAAGGGATAACACAAGGTGTGGGTGGATACACTGAGTATGAAACACTGACTAGACACTGTGACCTAGTGCATGTTAACTCACAGATACACACACAGACAATCACACTTCACATGTGCAACACACACCTTCGCCTGAGTAGTACTCCGTCGGGACAATGTTCTCATCCCAGATTATCTTCTCTGTTGGATAAAGGGGCATCTGGTTAAGTTGCTCAATCTGAGAGATTCTGCGCTCATGACGGGACACCTGTGTGTGTGTGCGTGTGGCAAACGGAGAGTGAGACAGAGAGGACAAAGACACAGACAGAAATTGGGTTAATGAAACAAAATGCTTCTCTGCCCCTTTGGCTCAGTGTCTAAGATATTTATCTTCTCCTTTACTAGAAGACAGACCAGGAAATAAAGAAAAAACATTTCCACAAAATCAGGTCACTCAACAAACCTGTTACATCATACACACAGTAAATCTCTGGTTTAACTGAAGCTTTTTATCAATTGTCATCCTCAGTCCTCTAGTACTAAACTTAAGTTAGCCAATATACTTAAACATGTTTTAGATTATAAAACTTGGATGTGTAGATGGATTAACAACCATGTCATGGGATATCTAGAACTTCAACGTCAAAAGCAACAGGATACCTAACTGGATCTTTCAACCTTAGACAAAGAGGTTCAACATATATGAATATTACTGTGTAGTTATGACGTCACTGGTTATTTTCGTATGTATACACTAGGGCTGCAACTAACAATTACTTTCATTATTAAATAATACAGGGATTATTTTCTCAATTAATCGATTATTTTGTCTCTGACATGTTCAATGCTCATTGTATTTTCCCAGAGCCAAGGGTGACATATTCAAATGCCTTGCTTATCCAACCAACCCCAGAACCCAAAGATATTCAGTTTACTAATAAATAAAACAAAGAAAAGCAGCAAAGTCTTTAATTTGAGAAGCTGAAACCAGATAATGCGTGGCACTTTTGCTTGAAATTACTTATCAAAATAGTTGCCACCAGGGCTGCATAATTAATCAAAATATTGTCAAAAGTGCATTGTCCAAATCACAGAAGTTGCAATTTTTTGATAAAGGTAAAATGTGTGACAAAACAGCATTATAATGAAGTATTGTAGTGCTGCAGAGATGTCATGGCCTACAAACCTTTTCTACAGATGTTAGAAAACATGTGTGTTACGGACGGACCACAACAAATGTCACATCATGATTTTAATCAGGGTTTTTTTTGTGAAAACAATATACACCATTCATGACCTTAATGTAGGTTTTTACTATAGAGACAAATTCATCAAACATTGCTAGTAAAGCAGGAGCTTCTAATCTGATGTGTCTCTCTACTTCATTTCATTAATCTTTGAACCAAGCATCTGTCCTACTTAGGTTTTGAGGATGTGCACACAACCATTTTGCTATTTTGTTTTTACTCTTCTGGTAAAAAAAAAAAAAAACAAAAAAACACCAAAAAGCATAAATTACTTACTATGTCAAGGGGAGTGATATGTGCTTTAGAATACACACCAGCTCATCTTTTCCACTAGAGGAAGTAAACAGCCTAATCTGGCCTAACATTGGCACTGGTGTAACAGCAGTACTACCTCTCAAAAAGAAGCATATTCATGAGTACATTCTCTGCAGCAAGTATGATTTGTTTTGCTACCATGTGGCAGAGTTCTAGTCCTGTGGCCCCTTCCTATTAAACCCACGCGGTCAGAAATGTTGGTTGTTGGGGGCAACCTCAGGCGCACACAAACGAGTCCCCTGACATTGTCTCCTGCAACAATCTAATCAGATAATTATGAAACAGCTCTTCTCCATCGCTTCTCAGAGAGGACCTGGGGAGGGCCTGAGTGGGTAATTATGAATAACCGCCGGACAGCCTTGAAACACCCACTTTGATGAAGAGGTCTACAGCACATGTGTGAGTGTGTATTGGGGAGGCTAGCGGGACATGGGTCTAGTAGTTTCTGGAGGGGTTTTAAAAATGAAAATTGGGCGAGCAAGGGAAGGGGAACCGAAGAGCACAATCAAACTACCTCTAGTCTTTCAAGAGATACTAAAAAAATAAAAATAAATAAAAAAATGTCTCTATCTCATTAGTACTGTCTTCAATTTACCCTACGTCAAACAAATGCCCACATAAAGCAGTAATTGGATTAGAAGGCAAATTCAAGAGGGACGGGGAGTGAAGAGGGGATACTATATGTGTTCCAAGGTCAAGAGCTTAAATTAATGACTTAAAATGAGAAACACAAAACCTATTATGCCGTAGCGCTGACTGGCCAGTTATTGTTCTGGAAAATAACGGCTCCCTAACATTGTTTGTAGAGGTGCACCAATACCAATTATACGTCTTTTTTACTGCCAGTTGACAAGCACATAGTGCCTGAAGTATTGCTTCATACCCTCATAGAACTAAACAATTTCATCTAATCAATTAAAATGCCTGGGGAATTAAGTACCGCCTTGGATAAATATTTTAATATTTGATGCACAGAAAAGAAACAGGATCATATGTAGTGGAAAATATGGTCCTAGTTTATACGCTTGATCAGAAAAGTCTGTAATTCCCCAAAACTAGCTTAAGTTCACTGGATATGTCATGGAGTATGGAGATTTAATAGATTATAGATAACTACTATATTATCATCTATTACATCTCACTATGAAGCCTCAGTCTTGCATTGTATGAAAAAGACTAAACAGAGCATTTGCCTGATAATTCTAAAAGCTAAGACCAACCCCCAAGAAACAGATTTCTGCCACCGAGATTTAAGAACTCAAATGCCTACATGGACAATTCCATAAAAGCCAAGTCTGCACTTACCAGCAGCTCAAGGAGAACCTCCTTTTCATAGGTGGTGTCTTGCCCTTCAGGCAGCTCAGGCAGCAGACACAGATATGACGCCACCCGGTGGAGCGTATTGGGACTACGGAGAAAGATGAGATAAACAAGTGGTTAGTCAGCTAGAAAATTTGCATTTGCAAATTACAATTTTAGCTGACACTCTTATCCAGAGCAGGGATGACAATAAGCAGATAATAACTAATTGCTGTCCAAAGACAATGATTTAGTAATGACTGAAATGGTGGAGATTAAGATTGGGACAGGGACAATCTGATGTCTATTCATATTCCAATTATTAAAAAAAAAAAACATTCTGGCAATGTATCATTACTCTGGTGTATCACATTTATAAAAAGAAACAATCTGTAGGTCCAGTTTCTCTTTTGGGACACTATCTCCCCTTCTGAGAAAGATTTTTCAAATGGCGACAGCAACACCACTATATGCGTGAAGATACACTGCCTTATCAAATTCTTTGCTTGTTAGCACTGCGGCAAAGAGCAATAGTTCTGTTTGCTTTGACACTGCACTCCTGCTCTGTCAGCATGTGTGTGTTAAGGGGCTGGGGTGCACTGATGCGACAGGATTATGAAAATCAAAGCCCATCTCCATCTCAGAAAGCTGAGGCATTGCTCTCTGCATACAGACCTGTTTTAATCAGGCTGACACAGTGTGACAAAGGCAGGGTCTGGTACACAACGAAGGACAGGGGCTGGACACATTGTGACAGCCACACGTGTCACTGACTGACTGTATCCGTGAATGTGCATGCATTCTCCTACTTGTAATGCCACGCTTGGGCAGTGGAGTGGCAATTCTGCCAATGTTGCAGTCTGGTGGCCCAGTAGCTGGCATAGGTCATGTGGACATCCCTTCCCTTAGCAACAAAATAACAGCAGACCAACAACTCACTCTGAGTAATGGAGATGACTGGACCAGGTCATGACTGACAGCTGAGCTACTGGTAGGGTAAGGTAGGGATGAGGAAATAATAAAAGTGGTATACAGTGAGTTTACTCTATAACCTTGTTCAGGTTTTGGAGATGCCATTATCAGCAGCTTGTGTAATGTCATTATTTTAGCTGAGAGCAAATTACAATAGACATTATCTGGTCAGTTAAGGGCACTTTCATTCACAACAACGGTTGTGCGTACACAAGTGCCTAAGTGAGACAACATCACAAGCTGGATAAGCTTTCATTTTTTAATTAAACAAAAAGAAAAACCAAAAATTATGACAAATGGCTTTTATGGATTCAACCAGTGAGAAGTGGAATCAATCAAATTTAAACACCCTTTTCCATGACAGGCCCACACTGACGAACTAATCCACAGAACTAATTACACCAATTATTTTGACATTTCCAGTAGTGATGACTTTCCTAGCATTTCAAAGTGATGCATACTCTTTGATCTTGCAGTCAATTCATTTTTTTTGGCCTGAAATGACACTCAACATGTTTTATGTAACTGAAAGAAGTGTCTGTGTGTGTATATGGGAGAGAATGGGTGTGTACATGTGTGGGCAGGCTATGCTATAATGCTGCGTTTGTGTGTTTGGGGGACTTAGCGGATAAATTCAGAGCGGCGGGTGACTGGGAGCTTAGCCCGTGGGTAGTGCAGCTGGAATAAACTGGCATTAGCGTGAGTTGTTTGGATGAAAAGTGCCTCGTTAAATCTGATCGGCATATTTGGAGTTACCCAGGAGCTGCTTTGGTGACAGTTGCGGAGCAGGGAACAATGCAGTTCCTGCTATATTCAAAATCCTAATTCTGGGAAAAGGAGCAGAGCTTCTAGAAATACATGAAATGGTTCAGCTAAGTCTTTACCTGATTCAGCTTGGCTCGGCTCATAACCCTCTGCCTGACTTAAAGAAACTTAGTGTGGGTTTTAAGCATTTATAATCCAATACAGAAGTTAAAAAGAGGTGATGGATATACAAACAGACTGCAACAAGGAAATTTGTGTTGTTTCAACATAGCAAGTCAGAAATCATGAGAAAAACATCAAATACTGTACAAAGAGGTAATCAGTCATTCATTGTGAGTACGTTGTACAGTAGAGCTAAAACACGATTGTTTAAAAACCTTCTAAAAGTTTGAGTGAATAATTTTAAATTTTCCATTAAGATATCAAATGCCAAGAAAGGTTAGAAATCCTAAAGTAATTACAAATTCACAATAAATCAGTGTCTTTTCACTCCCCTTCACGCAAGCGTACAAGTTAAAAAAACCCACACACAGGCGAGTTAATCAAAGCACGGGTGCTTTTTGGCTCTTTGGCAAGCTAATATGATCTGACAAACACAGCTGTTCAAAGAGTTTATTCTCAAGCCACTGCAAATCGATTAAATTAATGAGGCGTGCCGCTCTCTCTGGCTGGTACCAGCTGCCTGTTCAAGGGCTCACTAGCAGCCATTTAGCAGGGAAGTCAGGCAACAACACTGGTGCTGATGCTATACTGCAAATTAGGATCCAGATAGGGAGTCTGCATGTGTACCTGTACTTTAACTGGGGCTTATCTGTTTTGGAGATCAGAAGAACCTCTATGAAAAGGTCAGATTTGTATCTTCTGATGAACTGCTGGAGGGTGTGGTTTTTGTGCAACTCTTTACCACTGACAGCACTGTGAGAAATGATGGTATTAGGGCTTCCCCCCGAAAACTCAATGACTCGAGTCATCAGTCGAGAAGACCCAGATTCAACTTGCATTTTTTCAGTTGTATCCCTGCACTCATGCGCAGAGCGACAGCATGGCAGGCTGTAAACTTTACAAACCAGGTTTCAAAAATACCACAACTCACAAAACTAACTATGATGGAGGTGGAAAAGAGTGATAGTTAATGGAGGGCAGCGTGGTGCCAGACATGCTGCTGCTGCGACACTCTGCACTAAAGTCAGCTAAAACACTTTTGAATTCATTCCAGATGTTTTGATTTACCTGAGATGCCCAAAGTGTTTGGTCAAGGATTCTCGTGTGTCTACTGCTGCTACGCTGGACAGAGCAAACTCTTGCAGTTCCGGGAAATGAGCAAAAGCCGCCCGCTACAAGACAGAAAACATAGAGCAAAACACTCAGACTGATGTTGACACCATTGCTGTAAAAAATACATTACTCATCATTACATATACTACAATGCCTTGACCAGGATAAATGACAAAAAAAAACATTCTAAAAAGACAAGTAGTCCAGAAATTTACGACATACATATATAAGTCAATCCAAGAATCTTTACATTTATTTTCACAACTATGAAAATGGCAGATGGCAGTATCATTTAGTATTCATGTTGCTCTCTCCCACCACCATGTACTCCAGATGCACAATAATACCCAAAGAGATCAACAGAGAACATTCTGAGCACACAACAGCAGAACCAAAGCAGGCAGGACAAAGAACGTAGCTGAGATACGCTGCTGCATGCCTGTCTTGATTGTCCCTCTTTATTTATAGTATTTACCTGCAGGGAGGTGATTTTGTCATAGTGCAGAGTCGTCATCTCTTTCCCTGTCAGGGCAGTTCCTGTCTGGTCACTGATCTCAAAACCTGTGTAGAACTTCAGCATGTCCAGCAACTACAGAGATGGGACAATAATTTAGTTAGTTTGTATCTCAGTGTGCATGTATACAATTATTTTAGGTGGACATGCATATGTCCTAGTGTGTTGTACCTGGCAGAAGAGGTGTCCCTCCTTCTCTCTCTTGGTGAGGTTGGACAGGGTGCAGCTGACCACCAAGTGAGAATCATCCAACACTGTATTGAACCAACGCCTGGTGGGCAACAGGGCCTAGACACACAGGAAACCATGTTTACAGTGTTGGACTACATGTTTATAGTTGTAGCTAAAACACCTGACCTTAAAATTCTCACAACAACGTCACTGGTGAAGAAAAAAAAACATCCAGGTGAAATTCTATTTCAGTGGACTGGACCAAAATAGCCAAATGTGTTAGATTTGGAGAGGAAAAAATGCTACATACACAAACTTAGTCTGCTGCCTCTGCATCACAGAAAAAGGGAATTAGATATTGTATGAACGTACCCCTCTGAAGAATCAATTAACTGAACAACAACCACATTTCCCAGCATCTGGGCCATGATTATCCATACATTTTATTGATCCATGGTCTTTTCTTGTATTGAGGTTATTTTGAAACATATGATAGAGCAGCAAACAATTGGGCAAACTGACAGTGAGATGTGAAGAAGGCTGTAAAAAAATCCAAGCTCAGCTGCTTCTATAGCCATTATTTATTTGTTTGTTGTAGCACACGAACGTGACATGAAGGCAAGTACAGACGAAACCTGTCAAGATGAGATAACAGAGCTGCTTTGTTGGGAATATAAGAAAGAAATACTGAACATGTTGATGAACTGACAGAATGACTGGTGCACACAGAACAAAAAAGGAGTTCAATCTATCATATAAAGGCTGAAAAGGAATAACTGCCCAGAAAAAAAACATGTTGTGAAATAGAATATGAAATGGGAGACTGAATTACAAAACAACAACAAAACAAAATATGTATTATTTTATTCATTCAAAACCACTCTTCAAAAGGCAGCAGGCGCAGCAAGTGATACCTAAACACTGGGAGAACAGCTACCTTTATATCCAACACCCATCTTTGATCTCAAAACAGTCCTGACAGCCGACATGAAACAGGCATGAAAACGGAGGTCTTTTTTCCCTGCATTAATTTTCAGGTCGTCATCAGAGAGGGGAAGTATGGATTTCAAGCAACTGAGGCTTTGTAAAAGGATAGTGCTGAAGGACAGAAGATGTCTCTGGAGACCGTCGGCTGGCCGGCCACTAGCCGCTGCCAGGAACAGCAAGGCCGGCCTGTCAGCAGGCAGCCAGATGAAATCTATTGAACTCCCTTGCTTGTAACAGGAGATCTGCATAGGCAGCAGAGGTAACACTCTTATGTGACATTGTGTCTTTAGACAACCTCATTGGCAAGGTTGTCAATTTCTATTTTCCTTAATGAAATCTTTGAAATGAACCAATATCATGATATTAATATCTTTAGGAGCCATTTCATCACCCTGAAAATGCCAAGTTTTGAAACAGTGTGTAGGTCCACTCCATGAATCCCAACACAGAATATACTCTACTGCATAACAATTCAGCGATTAAAACTATTGCTCTCCGCGGTATAGGAGTAGATCTTATGACTAAAACACTTTTTTTAAGACCGTGACATAGGTAAACCAACACTGCTATCTAAAAGCACAACAGGATAGTTCTATTAGAGTAGAGCTGCACATCAGCCACTCTCCGCAAGTAAGTAAGCAGGTAGGTCTTATAGGTATATTTCACCTACAAGATGTTTTTCTCAGCTTTCCAAGCAACAGCGCACGAGCAGACACTGCACTTCACTCTTCACCTTACACCACATGTCAAAAGCCATCAGGTTGAAAACAACCCTTCTCATACTCCAATGAAAGACTTCTGTTTCAAATACTGCACAGCTTTGCAGACAGCAATGACAGAGACACATTGGGTGGAGCTGAGACTCAACATTAATCCACTGTCCGTTGACCTGAGTTAGCTATAAATGTGAAGGACAAAAGGCAAATGAGCTATGCAGAAACGGATGTCTACAACGCTTGCTTCATCAGGATTCCATGATTAAGCAAATATACTTGAAGCCCTACACTCTTCTAGTGTATATACACATTGGAAATGAGTGTCTGGCTGGTGTCTGTGTTAAGGTTGAGTGCATCCTCCTGCACTGTAACTTTCAAATAAAGCAATTCAAGCTAGGGAGTAAAAATGGCAAATTCTGTGTCTTACCTCCAAATCAATAATGAGTTCAATGAATCTCTCGCAGTAATGTACTTTGTCCATGGATACAGGCTCTTTGGAAAAGGAAGGAAATAATGGAGGTTAGCACTTCACTTCAGTTCAGGAAATGCATGTTATAAATGACAAACGTAATCTGACAGACAAGCTGACACGACGATATGAAACATACAAGGCCAAAAAAAAAAAAAGATAGGGAACGATAAGATGTAGCAGTGGAAAGGAGGTTGTGTAGTCCTCACCAAGGATATGAGGAAAGCAAACGCATGTGGACAACACCAAGGTGCCATGCTGAGTGTGTGAGCCTCACTATGAGATACCGCATTGCTAGCACAGCAGCATGCTGGGACCTCAGCCCTCATTAAGAATGTCGGCGTGTATATGTGTGTGCACTTAAAGTTGAGGCATGTAGCAAGCATTAGAGTGATGTGGATCCTGCTGGGCTTCAGACTATAATCTACTCTGTCAGGTTTGAATTCTACCTAAACACACAAATACACGTTCTGTTTTTAGCATTCAGGTGGGGGGCTTCTGTGTCGGCCTGCATTACAACATAGTAGTTGGTGCCGGTGGCTGTATGGCAGCTGGAGCACATGCTCCTTCAGCAGCTGCACGACTCAGAAAGAAAGGAGGGAGTCCTGAAATAGGGATGATAAAGGGTAATGTTGTGTCTCATAATGGCAATATGGCCCCAGACTGAAGAGATGTGCTCCCTGACACTGAGAAAGCTCTAGAAAAGCCTAAGCAGATTTATTATGCTGAGAAAGGTAGACAGTGCACATGCAAAGGCCTGCTTTGGACTAAAGTCACAGGGAGAATCCACCGGATCATGAATTATATTCAATATTTGGAGGTACAAATAAACACCAGGGATGCACCATTGTTTTTTTGTTAAAATAGGACCAAGAACTACTTTTTTCCCCTGTTTACCTGTTTGTGGAATTGACATGAGAACTCCAAGAAACTTTTTAATGAGAGAGGAGAGGAAGGTCCTCTCTCTTTTTGCCCTGAAGAAGACACAAAGAAAGCAAATCAGAAAAAGCCTGGAAACTTGTAGAACACAAAACAAAATCTCCTGACATTAGCATAGATCTGAACACGCAAGCAAAGAAAATAATATTACTGCTCAGTTGCATCAGCATCCATCTTATCAAACTTCTTCTTGATTAGATTCCAGAACTTCTGCAGCTTCGGAACTTTCTTAAGCTCGTGTTGGAGTCTGGACTGCAATCATGATTGAAACAAATGAACAAAACAGTCAATTTTTTCCTCAGAAATAGTGTCATAGCAAGGAGGCAAATAATCAAACAACACCATTACTTGGTGTGTGCCAATAACCAGAAAAACTTAAGGTTAGGGTAATAGATTGACATCTTACTGGTAGAAGGCACATCCACATTGGCAGAGAGATGAGCTGCTGTACCTGCTCTCTGATCAAATCAACCTCCTGGGAGGGAGGTGCAGAGAGAGAGAAAGAGTTGTCAAAATGTACTGTGCATGACAGATTTTTATTACACATCAGCCCATAATAAAAGTCTGCAACTAAAATATTTAGAGGCCTTTATAGGATACAGTCAAAGTGCAGCAGGCTATCACAGCAGATTTTAAAGTGAGACATCTGCAGTGCTTCCCTGTGGTTTAATGCGGCTGTGGAGTATACAGATGGGTGGGAGCTGACCCAAGATGTACTGCCTAGTCTACTACTGCCACCTAGTGGACATTACAAATAAATGCCGTAATTTCCACATTTATCTTGAGCAACAAGGCATTTTGGCATTGCTTACATTAATAAGTAAGAAGCAATTTAAACCTCTTTAAGACAAAACCATTTGCTGCAATTCTCTTCCATCTTTGAGTCCCTGGACACAGCATAAGAACAGACCACAGTGAACTAAAGTACAGTTGCTCTTTACTCACGATGGTGCTGCGATAAACAATACCGTTTTTTTCAAATAAATCTGTTTGACCTAAGCTGAGTAGAGAAATCATTTTACTTTAAACCATGTAAGTATTGTAATCAAAATATAAACCGTTTACTGTTTTGTTTAATATGGATATCAGTGTAGCGACACGCACCAGACTGTTGAAACAGTGGTCCAGGAAGACCAGCAGAACGGTTTGTTCCTTCAGAGTGAGGCCTGCCTCCTCGCCTGCCAATACAGCTTCCATCACACATTTGAAGAAGAATGGGAAATGGCTTGGCTCCTTCTTGAACACCTGATACACACCAGAAGATAAAATTGTGTTGTACAAAGCCATCAATTTAAATGGTAATTGTAAAGAAGTCTTAGAGTAACTTGTATAAACATGCTCTCTTCAGAATCAATTAGCCTAAACTTAGATGAGGCACCACAATTCTTACCTCCCAAGCTGGGACATTCTCTCTGAACTTCTCATTGACGATGCAACAAATGGACATGAGGTAGGCATTGCTGGACACCTCAGGAGTGTAGTTCACCCACAGGTAGTTCTCAAGATACTGGCTGAAATATGAGAAAATAATTGATGAACATCTATAGACAAAGTAGTGAGACCACTTTTTAATCACTGGCTGCTTCATAAAAACAGGGAATAAAAGGAGGTCAACTATCTCACCTGAACTCAAGGAGCATAATTTTTCTGATGGCAAATCTGAAAACATATGCGAAAGAAGACAATAGATCAAGATTAGTAAGTGTAAGAGGTGTTCAGTGGATTAAACAGCAGTTCAAAGGAACAGTTCAGCCAAAATATTTTTTTTCTTTCCAACTTGTAGTGATTTATCCATCTAGATTGTTTTATTGTGAATTTCTGAGTTTTGGACATATCAGCCATAGAGCAACCTCTTTGTGAATATAATACTACAACTAGATTTATCTCTGCTTCTGGTGCTCAAAGCGCTCAACAGCAATGTCTCTTTCCAGAAATCATGACCTGGCTACTCAAAGAGAATCCACAGACCTTGTTGTGAGCAGTTTCATGTGTCACTGCACAGAAAGAAGTGCACATCTACTCATGGATGAGAGACTCATACCAGCACAGGATGTAACTGCTCACAACTAGGTCTTCAAATACAGTTTTTGGTGCTTTGAGCTTCAGAAGCTGATATCTGCAAAACTCACTAACACCAAAACAACTCTAGATGGATAAATAGCTCCACAGGTAATTAGAAAAATGTGTTATTTTGATATTGTGGTGAAATGTGGCTTTAAGCCGAAGATGCTATATATTTACTTACTTGGACTTGAGAATCTCTTTTTCGTAAACATCCTCCATGACCTAAACAAAGAGCGAAGAATGTTAGTATATTAGGGGTTATGGCAAACACAGAGGAGTCCCACCTAATGCAACATAAAATAACAAGTGTGTTTAGGTTGAGATTATTGACTGGTAAAAGTAGCACTTTCGACCATCTTTCTTACCATTTTATCAAACAAAATGATTAAAAGACATTTTAGGTAGAACCAACAGACATGTAAATAACACAATTATAATAACAGCATACACAACTTGAGCCTCTAAGATGGAGCAATGCATTTAACTCACCTTAGGGTCAAATGGGAGTTTATTCTTTGCATGAGGAGCCCAATATTTATTAGCCAACTGAAACAAGAAAAACAAATAGTAAACATGGCAGCATGTACACTCAGTTTCATTTAGCTGCACAGGAGTTGCTACAAAATTATGCATTACAGGGTGGTGTATGGCTGGCAATATCAGACATTCAACAAGTTTTATTATGGCTTTCTGGATGGGATATAATACTCTTTAACTTTATTACCAACCCAACTTATACTGTCATTCTTTTAGACCAAATATCATGTGATACACAGCACAAATCCCCAAGCCCACTGTCACAGATTATACACTCCTGTCTTGCTCCATATCTCCCCTTTCCACACATTAGTTCTTTATACATGTACTAAATTGACACAGGATGCAGTAAACTAATCTTCTATGCAAGTACACTTCACAGACCTGACATATTACAGGTAAACATACAAAACTGACTGCAGGTAAGGAACGACCTTTCTGTCTTCAGCATAAAAAAAAACATGATAAAACTTATTTCTACACATTGCTAGTGATGGACCACGTGTGTAATGTACATGTACAATGATTACCTGTGTGACATATTCAGCATTAATCTGAGACACAGAAGGCGCGGCAGCCTTTTTAGCGGGGGTTTCTTTCTCCATGGTGGCCATATCTCAAGCTGTTACAATGGCGACTGTCAGAAAAAGAGACACAATTACATATTGTATGGAGGTAACCGTAACTAGCCATTAACACCAAAAAGGCTTCGGGTACTGAACCCTTTAAAATAATGCGGCCACTAAACGCAAGAACAGTGCAGAGAAAGTTAGTTAGCAAGGTTAAAAACTTCAGCAGGTTAAAGTCAATCGGTTAAATGTTAAATTACTCAAATACGTACCCGATACGTCAAAAAAAAAGAAGAGAAAACGTCATACCGGTTGCTATAACGTATTATCATTAATAAAACATCGTCAAATGCTAGGTTAACATTATTAAACGTTAGCTGTTTTCACACTATCAGGCGCTGAGCTCATTCAGTAACATTTAACATTTAGAAACTGAGTCGGGAATTATCTTTGAAGATAGCGTTACTGTTAGTCTTATGGTGTATGCAGAAATATATGAAAAAGTAAGCCTACAAACCTTTTATTTTATTTCGACATGAGTGTAACTGCCGAGGGACGGTTACGCATGTACACAACCAAAACGCGCTGAATGCGACTGACTTCCTGCATGGGTACGTCCCTAAAATCGTCCCCAAGTACAACATGAGTTTCCCGTTCCTACTTGTGAAAGTTCTTATATTTCTCTAAAACAACTAAACTAAGTCTTAACTAAAGTACGAAAATCCGTGGAAAGTATTTTTTTTTTTTTTTTAAACATTTCAATATCAAATATGTACAGCATGAACAAATTTAACAAGACGCACTAAATACCATATGAAACACGTTTATTTTATGAAACACTGAAGATATAAAAAATGATCTACATTATTATTTAGTGCACATTATTATACATCTTTTACATACAGTATACACAAAAATCACATTAATGACATATCATGATCATCATAAGCACAATTTCACACAAAAAAACAAACGTTACACTTTTTGATTATCAGTGAGTCAGTCGGTGTGTTCTGACGTGTGCCGACTGTGTGAACGTTTTACCACAAATATCACACCGAAACGGCCTCTGACCTGTGTGGATAAAATAATGCCTTTTAAGTTTAGAGGGAGACACAAAATCTTTGAAGCAAATGTCACAGCGATTGTTCTGGGTCGTTTTAGGTTGAACTTCAGTTGAACAAATATGCAGCTTCAGATCGTTTCCACTCGTAAAACTTGCAGGGCACTTGTCACACTCAAACACAATTAGTGGTTCACACCAGTACTTATCTGTCTGCATTTGACTCTCAACCACAGAACTCACACATTTCTCACTGAGCAACCTGCTGCGATCTGAAACGGCTGTAACTCCTTTAGGCTGACATGGTAATACTACATTGTGTGCCTTGCCCTCGTGGTGATGCGACAAAGGTGGAGCTGCCATATTCTGATTTTGGACAAGCTTATTTATTTCCAAGGTAAGTTCAGAGGGAAATGAATAACTGTGATGATCTGTAGCCTGATCATAGTTGTCTAAAGCCTCATTACATTTTTCTCTCTGCTTTTCCTCTGATTCATTACTCTCCTCTTGTAAGCCTACTTCTGGCACTGCCAACCATTCAGTGTCTCTAGCCTCTGAGAAATAAGATAAATCTCCATCAGTAAATGGGTAATGACAAACACTGGTATAATGTGACTCTGGCTGCTCTGTTGTTGCACCCACACTAAAATCAGTACAATCGGTAAGGTTTTCAATGCATTTAACCTGGAGATGGTTCGGATTTACCATTTCTCCTTGAATATAATGTGACATCCTGTTACTCTGTCTGCATTTGTACTCATGAATTTTTAGATGTCCACGCTGTGTGAAGGTTTTGCTGCACAAAGTGCATTTGTACGGCCTTATCCCAGAGTGAGTGACCAAGTGCCTTGAGAGCTTATATGGAGAAAGAAAGTTCTTAAAGCATATTCGGCATGTGTGAAACTTCCTCTTTTTACAAGTTACGTTACTTTTACAGAGACTGTTCACTTTTGTAATGCATATTTCACGCCCTGTGCAGAGCGTCTCACTCACTCCGTTACATACAGCACCATCAAAATTTGAAAGTGTAGTGTTTGTGTTCACAGATTTTTTCTTTGGTAGGATACGGACACCGATCCTTGGGTAAAGCTGCTGTTGACTATTTACTTTCAGTTTTCTGATGTTCCAAGGTTGATTGACGGCCTTGGATGGTTTCTTCTCACAGTGAGTTCTTTCATGGGTTTTCAAATGTGGAGCTTGCCTGAATGCTTTCCCACACAAAGCACACTGAAATGGTTTCAGTCCTGTGTGTACCATCTCGTGCCTTTGTAATTTAGAGGCACTCGGAAAACACTTTAAACACCGGGAGCACTTGTGTTGTGCGTGACCTGGATTTTGCATTGATTTAGCGGTTTGTGTCCTTATCACAGTCACTTTAGAAAACTTTCTCAGGTGCGCCTCATTTTCCTTTAAGGCGTGTGGCTCGTCGACTACGTCACTGCCAGTTTGTCTCTCAAAATCCTTCTTATGCATTAATATTTCCTGGACTGGGACATCTGCTGCAGTCCTTGCATTAAAGCCACCTACGCAAGAAGGTGGCCGATTGATATACAATGACCGTTGCTTGTGATATCTGGACCACAGGTGAGTGCGGCAGTGGACCCTCAGGTGTGTTTTTTGACGAAATCTCTTTCCACACACCTCACAGCCAAAGGGCCTCTGCCCAGTATGAGTCAGTATGTGCCTTTGAAGTTTTGATACAGATGGAAAACATTTCAAACATGTATGGCACTGATGTAAAGTGTTGATTCTCTGCTGCTTCCTGGTGGCGTGGTAGGTTTCCCTCTGCTGTTCTTCTGATGTCATTAACTCAGAATCCTGAAGAAGAGAGTCATTGTGATCACTGCAATTGTCACTCCATGTGTCTGATTTAGCAATGATGTTCAAGTCAATGGGGTTTGCATGACTGGGTTCAGGTTTTATTGCATTTGCAGACATTTTCACATCATTGCTGTGTTGTACAGCGGTAGGACTTCCCAATTCTTTTTGGTTACTGTGAATTTTATGATGGCGTATTAAATTAACTTCCAACCGAAATGATCTGTTGCAGATCACACACTGGAACGGTTTCAAGTCTTTATGTGTTCGGTGTTGCTGCTCTTGTTCATCTGACTTATGACAAAAACTCTGACATCGACTGTCTGTATTTAATAGTGGCTCTGATTTTACAGTTACATCTGGCCTGATTTCAGTCTTGTTCAGGTCCTGCACAGCATTTACACTTATTTTACAGCGAAGCTCCAGTTCCACTGCTGAACTCACAGGATTGTGATGGTTGGTGGATCGTTGTTGAAGTGATGACTGAGGCGGCACAGTGGAGGTTTGTCTGCTGTCACAAAACCTCAGTTTTTTCCTTTCAGTGCCAGCAGAAAGTGAACATTTATTTGCAGTACTTAAATGAGATTTCAAGTGTACCTTCTGTCTGAAGGCTTTCCAGCAGACTATACATGAGTAGGGTTTCTGCCCCGTATGAATAAGAAAGTGCCGCTTTAATTTGGATGGCGAACAGAAGGTTTTGAGACATTTAGGACACTGGTGTTGCAAAGTAATTTTGCTTGTGATGGAGCTCAATTCTTGTGACTGCTGGTGCGCCTTCGAACAGGCCTTTTTAGAGAAAGTCTGTCCCAACTCTCTGCCCCTCTCAAATTGTTTTGGTCTGTTATGAGTTGGTGAGTGAATCCGCAGGTGAAGGGATGAAGGAAATGACTTGAGGCAGACTTTGCAGGTGTATCCGTCGTGAGCATTGCGCACAGAAGTGCCTACATTTGCAGAATCAACTTGCTCACTTGGTATTGGATCCACAAGATTCGAGCTCCTGTCCTCAGTCATTGAGCCATCATTTACATAAGGCACATTTTTTGGTGGTTTTCCAGTCTCAGAGGAAGGAACACAAATTTTGTGACTCACAATTTCCCCTTTCCGCTCTGTCTGGGAGGTCGCAGAGGCGGACACAGTCGGTAGCATTGAAGTGTAATTACTACAGCCATGTGTGGTAATCCCTGCAGCTGGTCTATCACAATTTGGTTGTTGTTGATGAGTTAAAACTCCACTTTGAAGACGGTCTGTCGGAAGCCTTGAATGGTGGACATTCTGCAAGTGTGTTTTCAAATGCTCGGACTGCGTGAAGGCTTTTGCACAGATCTCACAGTTGAAGGGCTTCTGGCCAGTGTGGGTGAGATAATGTCTCTTGAGTTTATATGGCGAAGGAAAAGATTTTGGACAAACAGAGCATTGATGCATTTTCAAATCGCCACCAAGGTGATCCTCTCATTAGACCTAGGGCAAAGCATACGGCATTAAAACATGGAAATGGAGGTCAAGCATAAAGGAATTCCAATCAGTGCAGCTGACGATAGAAAACAAATAACTTTACATCATGAGTACTATAATGCAGCTAACCTTGCTATAATTCATACTCAAATACGTTATAATGTCGTATTATGTTTGTGAACGTATAATATGTATAAAATCTAACGTTACAATACGTTACTGCCAAAACCATTACAGTCATTTCCGTAACGTTACACATTCATAATAGGCCCTTTAAACGCTAATAAAACAGGAATTTGACAACATTGCCGCAAACGTCAGAACTGGCTAACAAGTCTCTACACGCTACAATATAAGTCAAAAGTACTTACTATTTGTGTTTGAAGTCCAATTAAAACTCATTTATTCGTTTGAAGTTGAGTGTTTTTCTGTGGCTTGTTAGCTTTCTTGCTAACAACGTAGCAACCTCAGACGTCACTTTGGTCAACAAGCGTGTACGTCTCTCGAAATGTACGGCGAGAAACAAAGATGTTCGGTTCCTACTCTCTGTCGTGATGTTTATTTATTTATTTATTTTTAAGTTTGACGAGATTGATGCTGTGCGAAATTACACAGTTATACCATTATAATGCTAAACCCCCCTTGAAGACATATTCTTAAATAATACGAAACAATCAACTCAGAATAAAAAAACTGCTATTTTCAACACAAAAGTTAAATACATAAAAGAAAGAAAAGTCGGGTTCTTTTTTATTTTGTGTGCAAAAATATTTTGCAACTTTGCAATATCTTGTTCCCAAAACCCACAACAGGTGCATATATCAAACCTTGCTTCTCTACCAGCCACAGCAGTGAGAGACTTTACTGTAATGATATCTGTGGCCACAATACTTGACACATACTGCCTAATGCTGTTATTGTGGATCCTAACAATCCAAAACACCATGCAATACAATACCACATTGCAATTTGACCAACGACAACCTTACACATTAAAAGTGCTGGGCCTCTCACACAACCACAGTCACAGTATTGATTACATAGAAATATAATTGTGTAAAATAAGACTTTAGTGTTCAGGTTTATATTCCCACCCCATTCCCTTTTATTAATGAGAATAAAATTATACAGACCCTTATCACATTCATGTCTTGAATGATTTTGATCAAAGACTATGCACTGTACATCATCACATCACTGTATGTGCAACATACCCATCCTACAGAGTGTGTCATGTAGAAAGTGGATTAATTATACATACAATGTACAGTATACACGTTACCTGTTCAGATTGCTCCAAAAGCGATATGCCTTCTATCCCCCAGGGAAGGGCTGTGTCGTAAGCAGCAGACAGGTGGATTTGCAGTCCCCCACCCCTGTTAACTGAGGGTTTCTCTAGTTTGACATAGTACTATATGACCTTGTTCACTCCCCATTTATTGTAAACCATCTGTTCTCACTGGTTCATTTTGGTCCTCAAACGTTTATTTATTATTCTGTAAATAGATCAACAATTCGGAGTTCTAAGCGGAGGGTTTCTCTTTTCTATGCGGTGCTGAGTGTTTGTTTTGTTAGGTTTTGTCAGTGTATATACAGTATCTATGTCTCTTCAACACTGTGTCAGTGTTTGGGCAGGTTTGAAAAATATAAACATGTTACATTTTGCACAAATTCTATGGGACTTCTTGGGCGTAATGGGGAGATGATATGATTCCTTTTCGTGTTGTGTCTAGATTGAGGTGCTTGGTCTGTGAACCTAGTTTAGTCTAGCAAGACCCAGGCAGAGTAACCACAGGTTTTCAACCCCTGTTGGATGTGCTGCTTTTCCTATGGTTTTAACCTCAGTGTTTGGTGATATTTATTTTCCAGGAATGTGGATGATGAGAATCAAAGGTATATCGATATGTGTGGGTGGGTTTTCTACTTTGGCTTTCCCTTATTCCAAGGATACTGCACAGCCCAGGATAGCCAACAGGCTGTTCATCTTGTAAATAACCTGACTAGTCAGGTTGACATTGATAAGTCAATCAAAAAAAATTAATCACTACCAATTTGATTGAATATCTTTGAGTCTTAGACTGTGGGTCAGACAAAACAAGTCATTTGAAGATCTAGGAAATTGGGGATTTTTTATAAAAGATTAGTCGGCCTTAATTGATTATGACTATATTCAATAGTTGCAGCCCTCTTGTCAAACACAGGTGTGTCTAACATTGTTAAGAGCTGCATTACATTAAGGTGTTACAGTGCCAGGGCCTTAGTACATTGGCACACCTGCATGGAGCGGACCCAACATTACACATGTGCTTTTCCTGTATGACAAGTGAAAAATATTTTACTCTCTTCTGAAAATCTGGTTGAACTGGACTACTGAATTGATCTAAATTCTGCTTACAGTCACGTAAGCAATAAGGCCTTTTTTTACAGCGGACATTCTGACAAGTCATAGCAGGGAGACACTGACGTAACCTTAACCTTAGCCACACAGGTGTGACTAAGAACATTAAAAATGCAGTGGTTGTGTTCTGTTATTGTGTCTTATTAAGCTTAAGCCATTGTGACATTGACCCAAGGCCATAGTTAATTTTATTATTTACTCTATAGTGCTTTTCCTACTGTAACATGTCAACATGTCATATGAGTATAAGCCCTATGTCAGAGCACTATACACAAGTAATTGCATAACACAGAAAGTGGAGGAAAGCTGTAATGTGCATTGCAAAATAGTAATCATGTTTATGGGTTTATCCATTAAAATAAAAATCAAAGATACTTTGCAATAAGGTAGAAATAAAGCTGAATTGTTTAAATGTCATAAATATTTTTTAAAAACCCACACACATAAGGTGCACATATCTTCATTAACTCATAAAACTTAAAACATTGAAATTGTGAAATTGTCAATATTAAGAAATATTTAGAAAATAATTCAATATTTTAGTGTCTTAACACAGCACAATGAAAACTGAAGAAAATATTTCAGTGATGAATGTAAAATATTTCTAATATAATAATAGTGAATAATAATATTTTTAATAATATTATAAAATACTTTTTTTACTGCTCCTTGGCTTAATTTAAAAAATGTAGCATTCAATGTATTAGTGGAAATACTGTGCAAATAGAATTGAAAGCTTGTTTGCGTTTAAGTTGCACTATTTATGTTGACCACAAGAGGGCAGCAGACACCACTCAATAGCCTGAAATGGCTTGCTAGTTCAGCAGATGAACAAGTTTCATGAAGTCAGGACTGTGACCATAAAGACATGCTTTCGTAATACATCAGGGGAAGAAAACAATACATTATGAAACAAAAAGGATTCAAACATGAAAACAAACAAAACCGCAGTCACTGAGGCAAACAGACCACAATGTCAGCAGGCGTCTCGTGCACCAAGGCCGCTCCTGAGCCGGGCTCCCCTACTGTAGCCCACTGCTATGGGGAAAGAGAGTCACACGCATCAGCCTGGTTAGCCTGGAGGAAGAAACACACAGTTAAAGTCCATGTGCAAGGCCACAATGACAAGGGCCGCAGGCTGGTACACTGCACACAAAGGACAATGTTAGCCACAACAACCAGTTTGTTTGAGAGTGGTTGCAGGTCAGCTTGGTAGAAAATGTACATTTGACAAAACACATGAGAAAACTAAATGTCACCCTGTCTTTATTCATTTTGTGAGGAAGCACAGCGGTGAAGAGACAAAGAAATGTGTCTGCCATAGGCCATCACATTGGCTATGATGAGGGTGTGATGATATACTTGTGGCTTTGCCTGTGTCTGTAAGAAAACATGCCCGCTGAAAGACAGAATGTTATGTTTACAGTGAGAATTGACAAGCCTTTGTCTTACACTGGATTTTAGTGGCAGAGCTCCTCTGTGTTTACTGAAATGCTGAGTCTTGTATTTGAATGTTTTGTTACATATGAATTCATATAATTTAATTGTTCCAAAAAGAAAAAAAACACATGGATATAAAAAAGAATTTTAATATTTATGTTACATTTTACATTTTAAGTACATTTCCAGTTCATGTCGTTATTCTTCATTTTCATCGCTCAATTTGAACAAAAACATTTTTCAATCTTCCTTGTACACCATTAATTAGTCCATAAGACTGCTGAACATACATGCTTGTTCAGCAAAGACTTGTTTGGCCACATCCTGCTTTTCTTTCAGACTGTTACACACATTCAGAAATGAATAAACAAAAATAAAAAAATCAAGTAATTTGACAAAGAAAACACTTATGCCACTGCAAAATCTGTCGCTGTTTTGTGGATGTAATTCCAGTTTACCTGACTGAGGTGTAAAAGCACATAATAAAAGTACTTTATTAAAAAAAATACTTATATCTTAATGCTTATCAGACAGCTGCATCACTCAAAAATTCTTAGTCTCCCCCTGGTAGGGCCCTTTAAAACCAAACAGGTGAACATTAACACACACTGTATATTTATGGGGCATTGGCTTGCTCGCTCTCATAAATAATTGCGTGTTTGTGTTTTTCAACCCTCAATAAAAAATCTTCAGGCTCTATTGGTTGCCTCTATTGTTCAATTTTTGATAACAACAATCAAAACAACATTGCGGTGGGTGAAGATCAATAGCCCACTCCACTCTCCCGCCATCACAAGAGCGATGAAGAGAATAGCCGGAGTGAAGATGCATTCCAACTCGGATCATCAATACGGTTCATGATCTTTGAGAAAAGAAATGTTCCAGGAGCAATGGTTAATAGTGCTATTTTCTTCCCACATCGTCACACTGTGTCCATTGACACTCCCCAATACACACACACAGAACACACACCTGCCCTGCAGCTGTGTGTTGTAGTGTCCCCTCTCCTATTAACCAGGTTGCCTTAGAATCAATAGAAAACATAAAGAGGCTTAATCTTTTCAGGTGCTCTGCGCTGATTGCCTATTACACAATAATAACACACCTTGAATCCCATGGAGCATGAGAGGGAGATACACAGTCACCTCATCCGCACACATTACACACGGCCACAAACCAGTCACACAGTAAATCTATAGGTTTACAACTGAACAGATGGTGTCAGCGGTGGTGCTAGGCCTTTATGAGGGGTGTTAGCTGGTGTGCTAAGAGAAATTCCACCAGAAACAGTGGGATATCAGGGGATACAGTTTATCGCCTCATGGGATGAGACACTGCTGGCGTCTCCTTTTGTAGACTATGGTCTCCGGTCTTCTGGTATGCAGCCTTAGCTTATAGAAGTTCCGTAAGACTCATCTCTGAGGCGGAATAGCAGCTGCTGCAGTATACAACTCTAGGGGAGGACAAGGTGAATTACTAGCCTAAGTTCTGGGATGTGAAGTGGAATAAACACATCCTCAAAACCGCACATCACCAAAACCACTTGGAGACAGACACAGCTTTGCATTTCAACAATTAGCAGTGACAAACAGTCCAAATTCAGGAGCAGTTATGCAGTTTTTCTTTTCCACATTCACTGATGTCCTGTTGTAAGTCATTAGGTGTTGGGGCTGTCAGAGTCGCGCCTCCAGAAAAGCCCCACTGAATTCCAGTGCTGTGATGACTGGAGTCTGGTTGTTGACTCTGGCTGTGTTTCTATAAACTGAGCCAGCAGGACAGGTGGAGGATCTGGGTGTCAGGCAAGTCCAGGACTGGAACCAGGGCCAAGGATGGACTGGACTCTCCCAGAGAGCTTCTCAAACCTTCTTCAAGTCCTGACAGGCAGAGGTGGGGAGAAAGATAGGAAAAGGGAGAGGGAAATGAGAGAAGGGCCGGTGTTAGTTTGATGAGAACTTTGGCAGGACTCGGACATTAGGTCCTCATATAGTTGTCCCGCTGGGGCCGTCCCAGGACAGAGGCTGCACTTAACCCTTCAACAAGGGAACACAAACCTATTTACAAAATATTGGCATTCTTAAATCCTTGGCAGATTGTAGCCCCCGCCCCCCACCCATTCAACTCCCTGCAGTGCAGACATATGGTCAGCAAGAACTGAACTCTAAGCTACCCCTCCCACACTCGCACACACGGCCATATACAACCAAATAGATACACCCTGGGGGGGGCAACCCTGCCATGCCCTTTTGGACAATTGAGCAGCTTGTTGGGGGGATCTAGTGGAATGGATCCTCTGCTCCTGTTGTGTTGGGATGTTAGGAAGCTGTGTTGGGACTACCTCTCAGTTTTACTGGAGCTGAGAGATGTTGTTAGTGTGTGTGTGTGTGTGTGTGTGTGTGTATGTGTGTGTGGCCGGACTACAGACGGGCAGCGGACATGTGAGAATTCATTGAGCGTCTCAGCGCCTGGTCTTGATGACAGCCTGTCTATTTAGCAGCTGCCCGCTGGGATGTTGCCCCTTCCCTCCTCTGCTCCGTGCACTAATTGGTCACAAGTGTTCCTGTCTCATGGTTGACTGTCCTGGCTTATTTCTTCTGATTTAACAGCATGTTGCATGGGACTTGGGTGTGGTCACTGTGATCTTGCATGGTTGTGATAGAGATACACATCTGGGGAAAGCATGTGGTGTCACTTTTGTACCATCACTAGCGCAAATGTCAATTTTTCTGTCATATGATGCGTGTCACATTGTAATTCCTGAGCAGTTATCTCGAGTCTCAGTGGACAAACACAAACTAATGCTCTTTTAATAACATCTACCGGCACTGCAGTACCACTATGTGACATTTACGTGAACTTGTCGAAAGAGAATACAGGACACAGAGGTTAAGCGAGCAGTTCAGCACTATTTAATAAGCCTCATTCTCTTTCATTTGAAGCGCACGCAGCATGCCAAACATCCTTACAAAGAGCCCACACACCCTAATTAGCTAATATGCACTACAGCTTAAAATACCCCCACTGAACACAGGCCTTTTTTTTGGAGGGCATTAAAAGCCTAAATATGTGTTATCAGAGCATGTGGTGTACTCTGGGAAGCAGGATCCTCTAGAGATGGCTAGCTGACAACTGAACGAGCTCAGGAGATCACAGACAGGGGATGGTTTTATTAAGAGAAGAAACACACCCTTCATCACACCTTGCACACTAAGCCTGTTTTATGTCAGGATGTTTTAATCTTTGTACTAACAGATAATAATTGCACTCTCTCTTTGAGAGTCTCTTTCAGTGTCTGTGTACACAGACAGGCCTGCCTTTGCATGAATGAGAGACACAAGGGGGGTAAAGGTGACTTGAGTGCGCATGCAATTTTGTGGGGGGGGGGGTTTGTCTTTGTGAGTGAAAGGCGAGTAAAAGACACAGACTACTTTGCTTCAATCACTTTAAATGCTTCTGTAAAATCAAACAAAATCCTATGAACGCTTCCCAGCACACACCCAATCCCCATCCCCTGGTCTCTCAGCCCCCCCTTTGGGCTACACGGGGAGCCTCATTGAGAGGCCCAGTGGACAGAGGATGTAAGATTCAAAAAGCCATCACATTAGCAATGGGATGGAACTAAACCATCTACCCAAGAGGACCAGCCATTATTCTGCTTCACGGCGAACACACAGGGAGCTGAAAAAGGCTGCTGTTAAATCTCTGTGTTTTCAAAACCAAATCATTACTAATGCCCACAACACCCTTTTATGCTAAACATCAACAGCCATTTCAGTTTGAACTGATTAATATATAAATGTAAGCCTAAGTGAATAGAAGGAGGGGTGTCGGAGAAGGCAGTGGTAAAAAAGGAGAGAAAAAGGGGGTCCCTGTGTGGAATGGTTGATGCCTGCTGGGCTTATGGGGCTTTTAAGCAGTGGCCAAGGCCCAGAGCCAGTGGTTTTTAGTTGTGCTACACTGACTTCCAAACTGGTCAAATTATCCGGTAAACGAGGTGGTAATTAGCAAGTGTTGGCTCATGAAAATTGTTCATTTAGTCCAAGGAGACTGAACAAAGAGGCTGAGGGGGCTATGAGTATGCAGTGGAGCCATGAAGATGCAAAAACTCCTTCACCTTTCTTTAAAGCAGCTATAATAAATAATTTATCAACAACAAATCACACGCCTTCTTGTGTGTGAAAGAGGTACTCGTAGTGATGAACCCACAGAAAATCGCAAGTATCACCCGACTCAGCAGTTCCCCTGAGCTCTACTGAGCTTTACAGCATCTTTTAGCTAATTGTTTTCATTTTCTGGCCAACAACACCACTGTTTGGTTCACCCTTGCCAATTTTGTGGTGTCATTTTCGGTCACAGCAGCCAACAAGCCAGATATTTTCCTCAGGAGTTGGTGTAGACCAAAACAAATAAGTGAGCGAGAATTGAACTTACAGTCATCAGGTGGACATGAACACAAATTTAAAATAAATATTAATGTTACCACTATCTTCTGGATGTGTAAACAGGTAACTGTTCACCTTATAATTTTAAAACGTCAAAACATGTCAGTCCCAGCTTGTTTCTGCAGCCCCCAAGTTGCCAATATCACTTATTGCAGGGTTAAGTATTAGAGGTACCCTAGAGATTTGTGTTTTGAGTATTTAGAAGCAAAGTGATCAAAACTTGCTTGAGTTTGATACTTATTGTGTAAAATAATTAACCATTTTCTATAAAAATACCACATATCACACTTCTCTAAAAGTTGACGTTTTAGCTGAGTTGTGGGGGCCTATCTTTGTGAGAGCCTTTCTATCGTAAGTAACAAGTTGAGACAAGATGTTTAAAGGTTTCATTTGGAGCATATGTCATGTCTATCAGCTGTGAATCCTAACGCAAGTAACCAAAGGGATGGGGGGGGGGTGCAGTCACATTTTGCTCCAGTGTTGTTGTCTGTCTGCTCGCTGACAGCAGCAGTTGTGAGGCTGTGACTGCTAGCGCCAGAGGTGTTACTTTTCCTCGTTTGACTTTTTGGATTCATCACCCAATGAGCATCGGCTGTGACCCATAAAAACGCCCATGGGTAAGCTTCCAGGGCATGGCTGTGCGTGCAGGGTAAGGTAACAGATTCCAGCTCAATGATGAGTCAGTAAATGGTTTTAGGGAAGCAGTCTGTGTAGTCCATAATCAAAGAAACATACATTTCAAGGGTGAAGATTGATGTTGATTTTGTTTCAGTTAACCAGTGACCTAGTAACACAGTTAATGGTTTCTAATAAAACCTTTTGGGGGACTTTTTGTAGAGATGTTTCAATAGTAAATTTTGATCTCAATGTGTTAAAATATATACATTTAGCCTATATTGTCATATCTACATCTATTTTATTACCAATTATATCAATTATATAATAGAATTTTTAAAATCAAATTTGAGATATTTTAATATGATTTCTCCTCATTGCTAAGTCATCTTACTCTTCTATGGTGGATGACAGAAGAAATAAATGACATGCATCATATATCATGAAACAATGTTGAATAACAATTATATAATTAGGTAACAAAACAAATAGCACCATTCGTTTGTCATGCACATCAACACGTATTGAAAACAGATCAACCTATTTCCCATTCATCACTGGTAACCATAATTTCACGTCCTCAAAAAGATGAGTTATGTCAGGGCTAAAAATGACAGTAAGATGGCTGGTTTGGCACAGATTCAAAAATGTTAATTGACTGCTTCAGCGATGACTTGACAACTGAGCCCGTGTGATCGATGTGCTCGTCGCCCTTTTCCCTCCGAGAGAACATCTCTCAGGATAAAACAAATACCATTTCACATTTGCCTTGACAAGAACCTAGGATCCTGGGAGCAGGAGATGGTGCGTATAAAAGTGTAATGATGACAAAAGACTGTGCCAGCTGCTTGGGTTACTGTACACAGTGCAGACACAACAAATGACTTACAATAATTAAACACAGGAAGACGAGGAGATCCTCTGGAGACACTGCTTCCTAGAATGTCTTATGGAGTTTACTTAAGCAATGTCAGCTCAAACTTTCTTTGAAAAGAGAGTGCAGAGAGAGACGAGCTGTCACTTTGTTTCCATTAATACATTGATGTAGAGCCTAACTTGCAAGAGCAGTGTATCTCAGAAGTGTTTTCTTTAACAGAACAGCTTATTTAGGATAAATCCTCTTAATGAATGTAAATATTAAATACATAAATCAAAGCATATATGTAGTGTCTTGAGTGAGATACATGTCCAGTGACATACCTTTCACAATCTGCTGAGCCGCTGAGTGGTTGCACTTGTAGAACGCCCTGGCACACAGTGGCACCAGCTCACCATCCATCTTCTTCATGGCTTTATTGAATGTAGCGCCAACTGCTTCCGTAACATCCTTCACGCCTACGACCTCCAGGTTATCGCCGGGCACAGCCACGGAGAGGGCAAGGGAAGCACTACACATGTCAGCAGATGTTACAGTGTGGCACTGTATGGATCCACATGCCAACTTTGTAGTCATGTGACAGGAAGTCCTTTCGCTGGGGTCATCCTGAATTGCGGTTACATGAATCTCAACAGCTGCACCCTTGGGTAATGCAGGTACCACAACGACCAACAATGGCGCAGGTTTGCTCTCCGGCTCCCACGACAAATCCTGCAATGCAGACAGATGGTATTCAAATGAACTAGCTGGCAAATTATATACCTTGTTGTGCCACACACTGCAATCAGATGTATGGCCCTCCTGCTGAGATACATGCTGTGCTTTCTGACCACAAACCCTACTCCATCCACATTAAACATTATTGTAAAGCACATCATAAAATTCTACCACAGGGCACTAAGACAGGCTTTTTACTTGACGGACTGACAGGCTATCAATTAACATGAAATTGTGAGGTGACCCTTGGTAATGATAGTGTACAAACAATTCAGCAAGAATCCATACTGCTTGCTTGCCTCCGTAAACAATATGCACAAACGCTTTCACTTTGAGCTGCATTTGCTAACATGACAGGTCCTATCCAACATGACTTCTCACCTTTCTAAGAAGATCACTCACAACATGTTATGGCAGTTTCACCACACACATTTAGTGGAAAACTGCCTCAATTTTATCCACAGAGCCAAAATCTCTTTATTTTTTTTTTCTCCTCTGGACTGAGGGCCATTAGCAGTAACAAAATGTCTTGGAGCAGTGCTACAATGTGGCCCTCTAATAATACTTGGCTGTGGCTTCATCTGCTAATGGGAGAGAAATGAGTGTTTTATATAACCGCCATTTCAGTCGGAGTCGATAGGGCAAAAACACTTAACCCCCTTTTCAATTTGCTGGATCAATTTTCATCCACTTACACCCCACTTCGTAAGTGCAGAATAATAACAGGTTACTTACATTTTATTTTGATATTCACTCACAAAAAAAAGAGAAATCATTGACAAGAGCAGACGACAGCCTCTTTGTCCCTTCAACAGACGAGCCCGTCATGACCCAATCAGCCAGATATTCAGTGAAGCAGCACTTACCTTCAGAATAAACTTTAGCAAACGCTTAATTGTGTATCAACAGCTAACCCTTTGGCTTGGAGAGTGGAAAAAAACAAAAAAAAAAAAGCCAGTGTCCTGAATGAGCATGTGTGCAGGGGTTAGGTTAAGATTTCTTTAGTCTGTTTTTGAAGAGAGCCTAGCTTGCAGTGATCAACAATAACAATCACGAGAGTAGAGAACAATAGCTGTGTCAGCACTGGAGCTCTTAGCATGTCAGACAAAGTGACAGCACACATACGTGTCCTATGCTTTGATAAATGTTATATTAGCACTTCTGGCACGGGCTAGGTATTCTCCTAGAGGGAACTGGTCCTGCACTTGTCAATAGTGATTGAACATGGAACAGAGACCGGGAACTGGGGAGAGAAGTGACAGGACAGGGGGTCTTGCTCAGCCAGGCTTAAAGGCCACCCTGCAGGGCTTGGGTGCTGAGGTACTATACCCAACAGACCGTCCACAAGGAGATCAGGGGACTTCAGCACTGCAGCTCCAGCCTCTGGCAGGACTTTGTTGTCACGGCACAGTTGCTGACTTTTTGTCAGAGCTGTCGGACAAGGTTACATCAGTCCCTGTTTGTTTCTTTATTAATGTATCCACCAAAATGTTCCATTAAGTTGGGAAGTTTGTTCAGCAGTTCTGTGGAACTAAATGTGCTAATGGTGCATTATTGTGTGTGTTTCTGTATGTGCACATGTTGTGAATGTGTGCGTGTTTCAGACTTGACTTCGGTCAGAGCTCCATCAGTGTGCGTGTCCCTGCCAGAGGAGTGAGAGGGGGAACACTGGCTGACATCTCCTACCTGACCAGAGATCATTTATTAAATTAATCCAATAAAATACAAACTTTGATATATGGTGGAGCTGAGTGCTGGAGTGGCAAGTTGGGAGGGCAGGCGGGTGGCAGAGTGCGTGTGTGTGTGTGTGTGTGTGTGTGTGTGTGTGAGAGAGAGAGAGAAGGGCTCTGTTCCGCTCTACAGCAGCCACTTAACACAATCCATCTCATTACTTCATCCCACTTCAGTTCTAGGGCATGCAGCCATTCCCCCAGTTGTTCTCGCACTCCGTAGGCAGCAGGTAAATGCATGAAGTCTGGATCTGCTGTGCTCAGCTCTCTACACTGATGGTGTGTGACCTGCCTCTCCTTATGTTTGTTTTCTTTCTCCCCACTTTCCACCCTCTAACTCGCGTCCGTGTGCCTGGAGCGTGCGGCGGGTTGGAGGGCTGAGAGGCGTGAAAGCCGAACGGTAAACACGGTAATAAGGAAGTGGTGTAAAGGCGGGGAACAGCGGGGAGCTGATGGGACTGCGCTGCTTAGCCAGTTCCCCTACATTTCCTGCCCAGCGGGACACCTTCAGCATGTGGCTCTATGTCTCAGCACTTACTGTAGTGCTGTCAGTCCGCTATAATATCCCTTCCCATTCACTCCCTCATTTACTCTCCTTTCTTAAGAGTCCGCTCTGAAGCTCGTCAGACTGTTTGTGTAAATGAAACACACAGGGCCATGTCAGTGGGGTGAGGAAAGGTTTAAGGGTATGAGGCCATTATAAAACCTTAATACAGGCTGGAGTTACTTCAAAAGTCCCAAGTAAGCAGAAGAGAAAATATGTAAAATGGGGTTACTGTGGTATGCAGGGAGGAAACTTTCCATAATGCAAAATCAGTACTATCAAATTCAATTTATCACCAATCAAATTTCAACAACACCAATCATTTATTTAAAAATCAAGTTTGTTTATGAATAGTTTATATAAAAAATATAATTACTTGAGCCTTAATAACTAACTAACTAAAGCTAAAACTAAATATTTTTTCTTTTTGACATGTTTTCAGAACCTATTATTGTTACAAAGTGACATCTGTTTAACATTTATTGACTTATCACATCAAAATCTCCATGTTCATCTAAGCCTTTGCACACACAAAGACAACCAAGGCTCTTGGTGGTTTAATGCACCGTAAATACAATTTCACACTTGTAGCGACTCCGGTATGCTCCCAATTAACCCTGCAAGCTTCTTCATCCACCTGATTAGAGAAATTATCAGCGCACAACAACAACACGGCCCTGTGACTTAACAGACATGCTAGGCACTGCTGTTTCTATCATTTCACTTCACAGGTCTGTTGTCTGAAAATACACCAAGAATACCATGTATATCCTTTTATATAAAACTAAAGCTACATAATCCAACATTTGACAACTGGATTCAAATCGGCATCCATAACTTAACCACATATTAGATGTTGTTCTCATAGTGATCGGGATGCACTATAAAGAACAGATTTCTTTATGGGGAAAAAGGACAAGAACCAGTGGCAATTTAATTGCTTAAAAATTTACTAAGTAAGGCATATTTAATTACTTTTTTTCTCAATGACAGTTTAAGATCAAGTATTTAACTTTCCTATTTTATTTTTAGTCTTCATTTTAAAATAAATAAAAAATAGTTTTCAGCTCAGTTTCATGAATCAGAATGCCAAAATTAAACACTCAAGTACATTAGATTACACATAATAGATGCAGAAAAATATGACATAATTGCTTAGCATAATTAGATTTTTTTGGTTGGTATGTATAAACATATTCTTATCTGTCTTATTTTCTGTTTCCTTTTTTAACCTCTTTCTGTAAAACACTTCATAGCTTATGTTTTGAAAAGGGCTGTATAAATTAGGTTTACTAACTAATTAATTGTTTGTTGTTTAAAGATATCACCTCATAAAGCTGCCTATAAGTGAAGCAAGGCACTTTTGGTCAATGCCAACGGGTGGAGTTATTTCTTTGGGAGTTGTGTTATCGGGGTTTGACCTGAGACAAACATTCTAATTACAGTCAGTTCAAACGAGCACCAGTGTTTTGTATAATCCCCACCCCAGGGAGAGACGTTTTCACCAAGTTTAAGATGAAACAGTAGCCCCCCCACCACCACAGCCGCTCCCTATCTTTTGCTGCACTTTAATACGTCTGCATTTGAAGTGAAAGAGAGGGGAAAGTGTGAGGACCACGCAGGGAAGTCACACCAAGGTGATCTGCCTCACAGGCAAAGAAAGAGCGTGAGGTCAGGTTAGTAACCCACCACCTAAGATGGGTCTATTCTTAAGGGTAGAACTCACCGGTTTACAGATGGAACTGTCAATTAGACACACTTAATTTTGCAAACAGTTGAAAATAAAACATGGTCTCCTGGTGGCAACCCTGGGCCAGCTAAATGAATATTTTTGATTGTTCTGCCGTACCGCATGGAAGCACAACAGATGGACGGTGTTGTCCATCTTCAGTGACCTCTGACACGAGCCTAGTCTTGCCAAGTCCCAAAGGTTTGCCCTTGCTTAGCCTTGTTAACTGAAGGAGCAGATCAGCATGCTAAATTGAAGGTACACTGTCAGCGCTCTCAAGATTTCTATCCCACTGTGAGTTACAATAAGGCATAATATGTCAAATAGACAAACAGACACCAGCTCTTGACTGAGATGAGCTGACACATTTACAATTTTGTATACTACTACACTTTTGTGGAATTGACACAAAGTTGACGTCCTCTCTCTATCCTTTAACACTGTTCACCACTGAGCAGAGCCACATGTTTGAGGTGGGCTCCTGCCTCTCTCCCTTAGGTCCAATTCCCATGGCTAGGCAGATTACTGTGGGAGGAGAAGGGCTGCCAGGGGAGACTGGTGCCCCTATTAGACGTATGGAGCAGGGGTTGTAAGCAGGGGCGGTGGAATGGAGGGAGGGATGGAGGGAGGTGGCAGGAAAGAGGGGTGGAGAGGGGGATAAGCTGCTCTGAGAGTTGAACGGAGCTCCAAAATGGTGTGTGGGGGCAAAGGATTAGGGAAGCTCTGAGGAAGACATCTGCTTCTGTGCCAAGCTCCACATTATCAAAGACACCAGCGTTTCCCACATCATCAACTTTTCATGAGCGCACTCACTGGTAAATATCAGTCGCAGCGGCTTGGCTCTCCGGGGGCAGAGAGGGGCGAGGAACTTTCCCTTATTTCTCAACTATAAAATACAATTCTGAAAGGCCTCTCTGAAAAACTTGGATAACATATCAAGTTTCTCTTCTTTTACTTATTCATCTATTCATCATCCCACTGTCTTTTAATCCATTAAATATGTGTTCGTACTATGCGGAAGTAGTATCGTATTATAAGTATGATCAATATTTCCTCTGCATGTATAATAAAACAGCCAGTCATGGCTCTTCTTCTTAACCACTAGTATATATTTCATAAACAAAAATCTCACTCCATAGTGGCTGACCTTTTCTTCCTCTTCAGCCCTCAGCATGCTCTCCCAGACAGCTCTGATGATGGGGATATCTTGGTGTCTTGTAGTGTAGCAGTGGGCCTGGACCACATGAACTAGAGTCAGGCTACTGATCACCGCCTCCAGAACCTTCTTCGCATAGCTGAAGGACAAATGGGCCTGCGTCCTGGTGCCAGCCTTGACCAGCTGCATGGTACAGGGGACCAAAGCGATTTGGCCAGCACAGAAAACTGACTGATCGACCTGGAGAAAAGAGCATACAAGAAAAACACAGCAATGTTGGTTTTATTATGGTAAAACCTGCAAGATTAAGAGTCAAAACTAGCAGCTCTGTGAGGCTGTACTTTGGCACAGTGGTGGAGCTATATTTGAATGTCAGTATGCTAACATGCACAGAATAACAATGTTGACATGCTGATGTGTAGTAGGTATAATTAGCACTGAACACAGCTACTGATGGGAATGTCATTATTTTTGTCATGTTAAGGGATCACCAAAGTTATTACACTTCATCCTGAGGGGAATAAGAATGTCTTTACCACATTTCATGTCAATCCATCCAATAGTTGTTGCGGTATTTCACTCAAACCCACAAATGTGAAACAGGAAAAGTCAGTAGGATACATTGTCTGGAAACCATGAATGTCTTTACAAAATTTCCAGTAGTTAGTAATTCAGTCATAAGTTGGATCGACCGAAGACAGACCAATGTTGCTATCCGTACAGCCTCGCCACTAGTGTGGCTAAAAACAAGCAAGGGCTGCAGTTTTGGTGTGGTATTGGCACCCTAGAGTCCAATGCTTGATCTTATTGATATCACACTTTCATAAAAACACACAGGCTAAGGGCTTACATGTCTCTACTAATCAACACTTAACTTAATTACAGCCTTTTAGAGACTTGCTCCAGTAGGGTATTGTTTGGTAGTGATCAAAAGGACAGAACAAAAAAATAAAATAAACTTATTGCTAAGACAAAGATGTATCCCTCTAGGCCAAAGAAGGTGAATCTGAGTCATAAATATCAGTTTAAATAAATAAATACGTTTGTTGATATTCGTATGTATATTTCAAGATATTTTTCATCTCGAAACCCAGCATTGATTGTCGAAAAACTTTGCCTTTGTAGTGAAAGCGGTTACTGATGAGGTTGCAAAGATTTAATACAGTGCATTATCAAGACTGGATCATTTAGTCATTTAATTTCAGCAGATTACAAAACTTCTGGCGCCAATGGAATGTGTGTTAACTCCTAAATTAAGAAATAAGAATATTTAATTGGATAATTATCAACTTGGGCACATGGTTTCCATTCAACCAGAAAACAAAGTCATCAAAGTCAAAAAAACGAGTTTTATAAAAAAACAAAAACAAGTATTCATATTCATCAGCGAGGTGCTATTATCAAATTAACATTAATTATAAGTGTATGTTTGAGGAGCACTGTATTAATTAACAAGTTCAACCTCTGCCATTTTTCAGCATCTTATCACCAACAATTCTCATTTCACAAGCAGCTATTCTGTGAGAAACCTGCCAATGTATCTCCGTAGCACCACTGTTATTTATAAGCACAATTAACCATGTGATAATAAGCTCAATTCTCTGCTAAATACCTCTGTTAGAATTAAGCTTCTTGTATAATGGAACCTGAAAATAATCTATCTGTTTAATGCAGAGAGATGAGTAGGGATGAGGAGTGGCATTAAGGAGGTCAGGCCTTTAGAGACCCTGTAGCTCACCAGTGTTTGAGCTTGGATGGCATTATTGCAGGACACTAGCTGCTGGTCAATGCAAATAGCTGTTGGTAACATGTTGATAATTACTGGCCTTTGCAGGGACCCTGGAGCATATGCACATCTCCAGGGAAGATCAAGAAGGCCTGAATCAATTGATAAATGGCCTTAGACAAGGTCCTTTACTGATTTGTAAAGACACAGCCAGGGGTATCATGTTTTACAGCGAGATAACCAGGGTGAGCATGGACCAAAGGTATTACTTTAAACTTAGCATCCTCTCATCCAAACTTCCTCTCATTTCAAACAAGTACTTTGTTTTCTTTACTTGGTTCAGTTGGATAAAGCCTTAACAGATAAGCCATGATGCAGCTTGTTCAAAGGACAAAAACTGCAAACGGAATATTTCCCCCTCATCGAAATGTATGTCTTTCATGGGATACTAGCAGAACAAGATGCTAGCCGCACAACTGTTTAGCTAGAGGGCGGACATGGTCGTGGCTATTTCCATAATCAGATGGGTTTGTCATGATCCCCCAGCTCCTGGGTTCACTTGTCAACTTTGATGAATCTTCAGCTTCCATCTCCGCTGCTCCAAATTACTGGGACGGTGCGGGAGACAAGAGACGGAGGGACGGTGGGCGTGAGTGAGTGAGGGGGAGATAAGGCCCTCGCTGCTTTCAACCAGTTGGATCAATCACCAGATCATTTACCTGCAAGCACGCTCTGCCCGAGTGCCTGCATTACTATGTCTGCCTCACATAAAAGCCAGATTCCCACACATCAACAACAAATTGTCATTGGCATTCCATTTACGAGCCATCAAATGCCATCATATCGTCTCCAACAAAGAAGGGCTCCATCAGGTTGGACGGGTGGCCAGAATTTCTTAACAAGCTTGTCCCCGTGAAAAGAGCTTGCTCCATTTTGAATTCATAAAGGCTGGTTGCCATTTGTCTATTTGAATATCAAAAGGGGCTAGCATGGGGCCCCTTGACTGTTAAAGGCAGACTCCCATAGCTTCTACCAAGCAGGTGTGTGATGATCAATTATTAAGAATCCCGCTCTGGTTACTCTTAGTGGGAGGTGGAATTGGGGATTTGGGGGTTTGTGGTAGTGGGGGCACATCTTTCTGTGGTGAACCTGGATGGGGGAGAGACAGTGGAGAAGGGAGAGCGAATACTATTTACATAAAATTAACAGTTCAAAAGAATGAGTTCACACACCAATCAAACTTGTTAATTGACTGTCAATGGTGTGTCCCTGAATATACAACACAACTACATTATTCATCTTATGCCTTGACAGGGAAGACAGTCCAATTTGCATGGGCGTTCTAAACGTGATCAACAACCACAATGCCACATGCATTTTTAATAGGCCAGAGATGGGATCCTTTAATATTCATAAGGGTCAAACAATTGCATATGACATTAAACTTTCTATAACAAGGTAAGTATTTTTCAAATGCTAGCCTTAGCAGTCTAAATGGCCCACAGAGAAAAGGGACACTGAATCAATACTACATGTTCATGGTGGTATTATTTGATATTTGCTGTCATAACTTTAGAGGAGTCTAGAAATTTGAGGTTTTGCCTTTTGGAGCATAAATTTATAATATTTGTTATTGTCATCAGTTTTTTCCATCAGAGAAAACATGCAGTAACCTATGGGTGAGCAATCTGGACTAAATTGATATCACAATAAATGTAAGAGCAGAATCTAATTTTCAATATTTGAGGATGTTTACTAAAGAATTCAAGATGATGAAAAAGTTATGCGCATGCACAGTGTAGACACAACAAAAAAATAATAATCAACCAGCTTTAACAGTACGAATGGACAAACAAGCTCCCAGTCAGGTCAACAACTAAAGTGATCACAACAACACTTTCTCTTTCCTGTTTAGTATTACTAACTAAGCTGCTTTTGCTCATGCTATATCAACCTTTATTTAATGGTTACAACACCATCATTTTTCTAATAAACTCAATGACATGTCAAAAGGTCACTATCCCCAAAGACATTCTCTCTCTCTCTCTCCTTCCCTGTGAGCTGCAGACAGTAACATATATGTAAATGTACTCAGGAAGCGCCTGGCTGTGTCCGCTTCCAACCCTTAGCGGTGTCTCGTTTCAGGCTGGTGTGTCTGAGGTGTTTCTAATTGCAGTTTTTGTCAAAGAGCTTCCAGAGATGACCAGACAGTGCTAGACTATATTCACATTGGTGTTGGAGCCCTGTGGGCCCCCATCGTGTTGAAGACGTCTCCGAGTGTCATTAGCAGAGCTTTGGAATGGTATAGATGAACTGGGCTGGCCGGGATAAAATGACCTGGTATTGACGAACAGTCAGGTTTTTCTGCCTGGTTCCAAGGACAGAGAGAGGTGGAAAACTGCTCCACCGCTCCTATCAGATATGCTAATGGTCACATTTCTCCCCATTGAGACCTCATGCATAATTTAACTAGGAAAATGATAATACAAAATGTGTAAAATAGGTTAGATTAATATGGTGTAACTTTTCCCTTATGCAAGGACACATGTAACCAAACTAAAAGGGTAATGACAGTATAAGCTACAGGATGGGTAATTAAATGCAAAATGTAATTCATATTTGTGATAGGGCTTTCATGGAGATGTTACTACATCTTTTGAGTGCTGTTTACAGCTGCACCATCGACTAAGGGTGAATGAGTGCATCTTCAGAGCATGAGGGCAAGTTTTTCCAACTCATAGATAAAACTTTTTAAAATAATATTTTTGTAAGTTGTATGCGTTTATGTTTATAGTACATATAGACAAAATATTAAAGCATTGCACTAGGCTGCTGCATTTACATTATATGTTCCATCTAAAACTTAATTTGATATATAAATTATAATTTAGTGTAAATGGGACACTCTTAGAATCACTTTTAATCCTTTATGGAACATTCTTAATATATGTGACAAATTTCCAAATTTCTGTCTCGACTCTTTTTTTCACTTTATTAATTTTCTCCTTTTCTTGAATATTTTAGGGTTGGCAAATAGCTCAAAATAGTTCAAAATGTGGGGATCAAAAAACTGAGGTTGAAGTTTTGTTCAATGTATTTAAGTGCATATATTATTTCTGCTTTTTGGCGGGGATTTGATATGCAACGACTGTTTAATCCTTGTGTGGTGGATGGCAGTTTGTCAGGGATGTGTGCTGTGATTTCATCTCGAACAGGCTTCAAGTCTGTGGGGCTCTTTCGGCATTAGTGCATTCAAAGCAGATCACGTCTGGGAGTGGGAAATGATAAGAGATGGGCTCATGTTGTGCTGCGCCCTGAGGAAATCCTGCCTCTTCTGACACCTCATTTCTACAAATACAAACCTTTCAGGAGAACCACAACCGTTCTTCCTTCTACAGAATCTCTCCCCATGTTAGCCTTCTCATATAAGGCTTCATAGGAAGGGGGAGGGAGATATTTGCCTTTTTTATTCTCTCCTCTTTTTTTCCCCACTATCTCTATTTTTTGTTTCCTG